GTGGGTAAGATTTTGCTAGAATAATCATATTTTATAGGACTAGCCCCTCGGCCCACCAAGCCAAGTCCAATCAGGCTAGTCTACTCACCATGTCAATCCGAGTCGATTCTGGGGTACTGTACCCTCTGAACGTGGCAATGGAAAAATCCCCATTTATAGATGTTTTTCCCATTAAAACCTTGATTTATAACGGATTTGCCATTGCCACGTTTGATTGCCGGAGGGTATGAGTATTATTATTGAAATGACATTTGTCAAATGTCAACTATATATATATTATTTAATCCTCTTTAAGTTGGTTATATTCAACACATCCTAAATCATCCTAATATTACGGCCAGGCGCTGTGTGTTGCCCGGAAGGTTCAAATGGCGTTTAAACATGTTCAAACATTATCCTTCAACATGCTCAAACACCTGTGCAGGGCCAGTGTTTTGAGAATTCCCAGTTGATGAACCCTAAACCCTAAAACCCGAAACCATCCTAAACCCTAAAACCATCTAAAACCCCGAACCCTAAAACCCCAAACCCTAAAATCCTAGAGCCCTAAAACCTAGGCTCTGAAAACTTTGAATCCCAAACTGGAAAACAATGCGTATGGCGTATACGCTGTATTTTCTGCGTATACGCTGTGTTTTCTGCAATGTCTCCTATCATATATTCGACAGCACGACATTCTCAATGTTAATGTCTGGGCAACACACGGCGTCTGTGGGTAATACTTGTAAATATTTGTATGTATTTCGTGTTTATCGTTATATTTATATTTGTATAGATAGATCCAGTGTAACATGTTTGCAGCAGGCATGTTTTTCGGGGTTTGGTCATTTCGACCCCATAGCCACATTGAATTTGACATGGGTCACTTTCATTTACTTTTTCGTATGATTTAGTTGATATTTTAGCAGCCCCAACAAGATAAGAAAGCACAACACCAGCAGAATGGGGGGAAATGAGTCTGGATGAAAGAATATCATAAATAATCACATTTTTTGGATTATATACCATGATATACCCATGTTTCAATAGTCCACTTTGTACACCCATATTTCGGGATAGTCATAGCATCATTCATGGGATTTTCTGACCTTCCCCGAGGCACCCTGTACGGCATGTACATCCCACTTAGTAAACGGTTCATACCCCCAATTATAGATATGGAAATATATGGAATATCCATGAATATCCCTTTTGTATATGGGATTGTTATGGACTATGACTAATTATATGCCTTAGATATGGATGATAAAACCACTTACTAGGGCCAGCACATCCAAGTAGGACCATCATTTTTGGGCCATCGGCAGGTGCCAAAGAGGCTACAGAGGCTCCAGAGGCTCCAGACAAAGACGGGGGCATCTTTGGCGCGCCTCGCTAGCAGGATGGGGCTTGTCATCGTTATTGTTATTGTATGTTATTGTTATTTATTATTATTGGATATTATTGGTACTATTGGTATTTTTAATTATCATCATCATCATCATTATTATTATTATTGATATTATCTAAGTTACTACCTGGTATTGTTTTTTTTGAAACGTAGCGATCATTTTTTGGAAGTTTGAGTATTAAGCATGCCTTCGTGTCATTTCGTGTCCGCTGTGTCGTTGTGGAAGGCAGTTCTTGGCTGATGGTCCGCTGTTTTGGGATGAAGGGGTATTGATCTGAGCCTCCCATTGCTGTCCCAAAGGTAGCTTTCCAGCACCTAATTAGCCCATGAGTCGAAGCGGAACCACGAAGAAAAACAAGCTCATGGAAACTGCTGTGAAAAACTCTCCCACAAATTGTAGGTGTATCAGGTCAGCACTCAACCGCAGCCCGTGCTGAGGGTTGCTGGAGGCAGTTGCTTGACCCAATAGCTGGAATGCCGGCGATGACCTGTGATCCAAGGGATTTGCGTCCAAATCCTACGCGTGAGAACTCCCAAATAGATAAAGAATGTTGAAAGCTGCTGCAAGTGATGTTGAAACCATCATCCACAAGAGACCATGACACCCTAGAAATGCTTTTCAAAAAATCATTCTTTCGTGGGGGAGGGTCGGGCAAGTGGTTCCGAACTAGAGCCACGCAACGGCCTCACTGTAAATGAACTGTCGGCCCATTTGCATATGTTTTTTTTTCCAACGGCACGTGTGATTTTGTTTTCAATAGCTATGCTAAATTACCAGATCCCCAACATGATTTAAATCTGATTTCGGATTTGTCAATGATGCCAATTTACTCCAGAGGAATCTTCCTTGATGCCACCACGGCGGCTGCCGATCTCTAGGCTGCCTGATCCGAAGAGTGCGAAGGGCGCGAACGCTTCGGAAGGCAATTTTTCCCCACATCTTTGTGTGGGGTTCTTGTTTTTGGTTGTGCACTGGCGTCCGCTCCTGCTCCTCCTCCCGGCTCTCTCACACACAACTCTCACACACAACCCACTCACACACACACAACTTACTCACACACACACACACAACTCTCTCACACACAACTCTCTCACACACAACTCTCTCACACACAACTCACTCACGCACACAACTCACTCACACACAACTCTCTGACACACAACTCACTCACACACACACAACTTTCCCACACACACACACAACTCACTCACACACACACACAACTTCCTCACACACAATTCACTCACACACAACTTACTCACACACAACTTACTCACACACACACACAACTCTCTCACACACAACTCTTTCACACACAACCCACTCACACAGACACAACTCACTCACACACAACTCTCTGACACACAACTCACTCACACACACACGCGCAACTCACTCACACACACACAACTACTCACTCACACACACACACAACTTCCTCACACACAACTCACTCACACACAACTTACTCACACACACACAGCTCTCGCACACACAACTCAATCTCTCACACACAACTTTCTCACACACAACTCCCTCACACACATGTGACATCCACCTTCACTTTGCGTGGCAGGCGTGGCACTTGGTGACATCCACCTTCACTTTGCGTGGCAGGCGTGGCACTTGGCGACATGGATCCTCACTTTGCGTGGCAGGCGTGGCACTTGGTAACATTGACCTTCACTTTGCGTGGCAGGCGTGGCACTTATGGCACTAGGCTGGCTCTTGTGACGCGCTTGGGTCTGGCGGGCGCCGCGGCACTTTGTGTGGCAGGCGTTGCACTTGGTGACGTCGACCTTCACTTTGCGTGGCAGGCGTGGCGCTTGGCAACGGCGGCCTGCAGTTTGTGTAGCGGGCGTGGCACTTGGTGGCATCGACCTTCACTTTGCGTGGCAGTCGTGGCACTTGGTGACATCGACCTTATGGAAGCTCGTTATGGTTTTTCTTGAACGACGGTTGCCCTTGACGCGCCGTGCGAAGAGGCAACGTTCTGCATCTGCAAAGAACATGCTGCAGACCGATCTGCGGGCTGCTCGGCCACATTGCGCATGCTGCCGAGACCGGCGGTTGCCATTCACCTCTACTCATGGTGTTGGCACGTCGGTTGTTGGCACGTCGGTTATGGCTACATAACATGATCACCCACCACATCCACAACACTTGTACATACAACACTTTAACGCACAATACGTTCTTACACCACTCCTTTGCACACACTTCTGTCCCACACAACTCTTTCACTAGCAATTCTTTGACACACACAGTTTCCCACGCATGCCTTGGACACACAACACTTTTACACCCACTCCTGTCCCACACCACTCTTTCACCCACATCACTCTCACACACGACTCTCTCTCTCTCTCACACATACACACCACTTTTAAAAACCACACCTTTGCATACATGTCTTTCACCAACTGCACTTTTACACGGAACTCTTTTACACACCTCACTTCGACACGCATCTCTTGCACACACCGATCCTCCACCATCTCTTGTCTCTTTCCTGCCTCTCCCATCCCATTTTGACCTTTCTTTGCCTACTTATTGGAAGAAGTTGACATGTGGGGTTTTCCGGTCCTTTTATTTGCGGAGGGTGCTTTGAGCCCGCTCCCAAGATTTGATGTAGAACCTCAAACTGCAACATTCACAACTATATACATATATAATTACATATATATATATAGGATATTAATTATACACATACATATATATTATGTATATATATGTAAGTGCATGCATGCACACGGTGCAAAGTCTGTGGGTGAAAAGCGTTTTGGTGAAAAGTCTATGGGTGAAAAGTCTGCGGGTGAAAAACTTGTAGGTGAAAAGGCTGTGGGTGGAAAAGTCTGTGGGTGAGAAGTCCGTGGTGAAAAATATTCTGAAGTCTGTGGGTGAAAAGCCGGTGGGCGAAAAGTATATGGGTGAAAAGTTTGTGAGTGTAACGTCTGTGGTGAAACATATGGTGAAAAGGCTGCGGGTGAAAAGTATATTGGTTAAAAGCCTGCGGGTGAAGAGTACCTGGGTGAAAAAAATGTGAGTGAAAAGTCTGTGGGTGAAAAGCAAAAATGGGTGTAGATGGGATGCTGGCTTTCGTTCCCCCCTTCTCAGGTTTCATTGAGTGGTTGGTTCTTTGACTCATTGATTGATAGATAGATAGGTCGGTAGATAGATAGATCGACAGATAGATAGTTAGATTGATGGGTTATTGCAGGGCTTCACACACCGGTGATGCCCCAAGGACTGCTGTTGTTGCCCAGAATGTCGCCCGCTTGCTCTGTTGTTGTTGTTGTTGTTGTTGTTGTTGTTGTTGTTGTTGTTACCCCCTTCAGTCTCATAGTGAGCAAAAATCGTCACATAGTTGGTGTTTCCACGGTTTTTTGACACTCACGGAGCGAAAAACACCGTAAATATCGTGTTTTTTTGCGCCTCGGAAGCCCATGGGCATGCTATTTACGATGTTTTTTCACTGGCAATAAAAACAACGGTATTTACAGTGTGTTTTGGCCAGCGCCCAGTATTTGAGCAGTTTTCAGCAAAGTTTCATGCTCAGGCCTTCCCGTGGCAAACTTGAGGGGTACTGTAGAGCCTCCGAATTGAGCAATGTCGTCTGTTTGGAAAGAAATTCTGGATGAGTTTGATCTCTGGATGTCAGATGGATGTGCCTTCAAGAAATATGGCATTTTGGTTGCTGAGAATATTCTGCCTTTGAAAGATGGTTGGTTTTCTTGCTCGGTGATTGCCCCTGAGGGTATCAGCAGTTCTTGCATTGCCAGAGATTTCATGCGGTTTCATGATGACAGGCCTTCTCATGAGGCCACCATGATTTGGAATGTTGAATGGTCGCAGCCCTTGCCTGAAGTGAAGTACATGATTTGCGGTGTTGATGTCTGCCCGGATAACATCCTTGCAGATTTTGAGGTTCCGAAAAGTGCCATTCCATTGCCCTTGCTCCAAGCAAGTGTCATGCCAGTGAACGTGATTGAGCTTTTTTCAGGGGGTTTGGGAGGTTGGAAAACTGCATGTAACTTCCTGCATGAACATGAGAATGTTGCTTTCAAAGTGCTTGCCGTTGAAATTGATATCGAAGCAGCCTTCACGTATGCAGTGAGCCATTCAGTTCCTTTGATCAGTGGAAAAACGCACCTGGACCCAGCATTGGCACAGCAGCACTCACACCTTGTGGTGCATGCAGATGTAGCTGGAGATACTTGGTTGAGTCTTGGTAGTGCTTGGTGCCCAGACATTGTTGCGATTTCCTCACCATGCCCGCCTTGGAGTTCAGCAGGTTCATCCTCAGGTCTCTACTCAGAAGAAGGCCAATTGTTGATCCGATCGATTGCAATCTGCAAGTTGCTCCGTCCACGGGCAATAGCACTTGAGCAGGTAAGTGCTTTTGCGTCACATGAGCACTTTCACTACGTGGTGCAAACCTTGAGATGGGCTGGTTACCAATTATACCATGCTCAGGTCTTGGATGCATCCGACATTCTTCCCATTGCCAGGTCCAGATGGCTTGCCATTGCTTTGAGAGTGAATGATGATGGAGTGAGCCACATGCCTTTCCAGGGTTGGTACCCAGTTGAAGCTCAAGTGCCCAACACATGGGATGTCATTTTGCAAGAACAGTTTTTGCATGATGCACGTCTATACCCGAAGTCCGATGTCCTGTCCTTGTCTGCCAGACATGACCTTTTGCCTCCTGCGAAGCGCAGGGTAGTGTCCAAAGAACATGTGCTTGCTTCCAGATGCTATGACGGAACAATCAAGATCCCGACATTGATGGCATCATATGGGTCCCAACATTGTTTGTCCGACGCATGGCTCAGTGAGAAGGGATTGATGAATCATTTCTTCCGCCAAGTTGGAAAAAATCCAAGATACTGGCACCCAGTTGAATTGTGGCTGATGCATGGGGCTCATGGACAGCAGTTTTTCATGAAAGATTGGGTCAAGGCGTACAGGCATGTCGGTAATCAGATTTGCACTCCTCATGCCCTGTTGATTATCACGAACATTCTCAACTGCTTGGATAAAGTGCCACAAGGTTTTGATGCATCAGAGGTCATCCAGGACTTCATTTCCAGCAGGAACAAGGCATCCGAAATTGCTGTCACTGAAACACAGGCAGGTTTCCTTGCACACAACGCACACAAGATCCTTTCCGACGAACAGAAAAGACACATTGAGAACTTCCAGTCTGGTTTGTATGATGGAACGATCCCACACGACATGTTTTGGAATTTGAACGGATTCCAATCTTGCAATGCCATCATACTGGATGACACAGTGGATCTTGCCCTGACTGCACCCATGCCAATTTTTGAGAAGGTCACCATTTGCACCGCTGGATTGACATTCGAAGTTTTCATCCAAGATGGAATTCCCTGCGAAATGGCCTTGCAGCTTTGGGATCATGCCTTCCAAGACTTAGAGTGCTTCGAAAAACAAGATGCAGTTGCAAAAGTTTGGGTGCCCACTGACAATTGGCAAGAGTCACATGATGCCACTCCGAACTTGTGGGTCGTCATACATGAAAAATGCTTGTACGTTGCAAAGCCATCAGAAGAAACAGTGTCATGGTTTCTGGAAAAGGGAAACGGGATCTACGTTGACACACTTGGCAACCCCATGAATTTGCCAGGTTTTGCTGGAGCTCTCACCACTGCAGGATTTAGCCTGAAGTCAATGCCCTTTGTGCCATGCAACATTGCACGCTTTGTGCTTGCCAATCAATTCTGCAGTATGCAAGTGATCAATGAACAGCACAAGTTCCAAGTCACTGCAATCATCCAGGGACCATGGGAACATCGTGTCATTGTGGCCGAATTCTGGGCGAACCTTTTCTCAAAGAATGCACTTGATGCCATTGGTGTGTCCCTCACATGCAATCACCAGAGCAACTGCACAGCATTGATTTGGACAGTCCAAGATGCCAGATGCCCATTGCCGGTGCAATCCCTTTTGACTGCCATGTTTTCCAAAGCTGGATACTGCCTTTTCTCCAAATTGCAGGACTTGACAGGGCGCCACATCCGAATCAAAGTCTTTGGTAACGTGATTTGGGAAGGTAAATTGCCGATCAAGTTTTCAGTTGCCACTTTGAAGCAATGTTTGCACGCCATCACATGTCTTGTGTCAGGTAACTTGCAGTACCGAATGATTCAAGGGGGTAAGCAACCTGCGCCAGAGTCCACGATTGAACAACTTGCCCAAGACAATCCTTCCAGCAGGCTGACATGTCACTTTGTTCTGCAGATGAATGGAGGGGGTTCCGAAAATGGAACAAAGGCAGGTCACAGGACTCAGATCAAAAATGCCATTGCAGGTGTTCTCTTGGAAGAAGGATATGACCTTGCATGGACCTCGAAGTCCGTAGACCAGATGATGACGAAAATTGGCACCAAAGAACTTTCCAAGTTTCTGCAAGTTGAGACCTCCAAGAAAGTTTTTGCAGCCATGGATTTCTTGCGTAGCTGTGACATAGACATTCCGAAGATCAACACGGCAAAATCTTCCCAAGTTGCAGCCAATGCCAAGAAGAAGAGATTCACTTCCATGCCAGATCCTGCCAATTACACAGTCTTGGATGGTGTTTTGGTGAATGAAAACGATTCCCCTTGTGCTCACATTCCCAAGTTTGGGGGTCATCAACAGGGATATCATTTGTGCACGCCAGCAGTGGCTTTGCCATGGTTGCGTCAAGGAGACATCCTATCCAGGGACGAGTTGGCACTTTTGATTTTTGGGGATTTGCCAGTTACCACAAGATTGGCCCATGAACATGTCACTGTACCTTGCCAAGATGAAAAAGGCCGCCAGGTCTTAGTCGCCGGAGTGTTGGTTCAATGTGGTGACAAACAGGTCAAGATTGTACAAGGTGACGGTTACAAGGTGGACACCGATGGAACCATCCTTGCAGCAGTCACTTGGAGAAAAAGTGATTGGCCACAACAATGGACCGAGATCTGTGCAAACCCATACAAATTCCTGAAGAGCTTCCCTGGAGTGTCCGATCTTTTGGTTTCTGTTTGGGGTAAAGCCTATAGACAGGGCAAAGCACAGGCCACTGCCAACAATGCCAACTCCGTACAAGTGCACTGTCTTTTCAAGGAAGATAAGTTTGCCGCTTTCCTCAAATTATCCGGATTTAACATGCTCTGGTTATCTCCCAAGACGAAGGAGGGTAAGCCACATCCGGCATGGCGCATTCTTTGGCTTGATTCCAATTTGGACATGCAAGCTGCCACTGCATTGGCAGCAAAAATCCATGACAGTGCAGGGCTTGTGTGCCTATCTGAAAGGTATGCCATCCGAGTGCCAAAGAACAGTTATGCAGAGGCATGGGCAATCATATACCCATCAATCCCAGTGCCATTGGAAATGGATACGTCCAGAATTTTCAAACTTGAGAGTCTCCCTTTTGGAGTTACATCCACTATGCTTACAGCATGGGCAGAACACATCAGTTGGCCATTGAAGCCCTTGAGGGCAGTAGGTCCGAGAGCATGGCTGATAGGAACGGGACAGGATCCCCCATCCACGCAGCTTCATTTCAACAGCTCCCCGATTCTTGCCAGAGAATTGAACAGCAAGCCGCAGGCCTTCAATAATCCAATTGTGGCTGGCCCGCGACCTTCCAAGCCAAGTCATGCAGCTGCGAATCAGGACAACTACCAACTGATTGGGGACCCCTGGGCAAACTGGACAGGTCCCAGACCAACTGCACCAGCGGCGCCCATTGCAGCTTCTACTACGATTGGCCCAACAGAGCAGCAATTTGCCCAGCAAGCTGACCGGTTGAACAAACTGGAGACAGCCATGCAAGAAATGCAAACAGGTCAGAAGAAGCAAGAGATTGTGATGGAAAAGATCCAGAAGGAGCAGGTCAATCGAGATCAAGAGGTGCGTCAACAAATTGATGACAAATTTGCCGCCATGAAACATGAGATTGACAAGACGTTCCAGAACGCTCTGAACATGCAAGCATCTCAGTTCAATGCCAACATGGAGGAGATCAAAGGTCTTCTCAGGGAAAGGCCGAAAAGGAAGTCCAAGACGGAAGGTGACCAAGATATGAGTGAATGACTAGATCCTGCAGTCAAGAGCTTTGCATTTCCTTTGCATTGTTTTGTCGCCTGGTTGGTTTGGTTCCCGGTTTTTGTCTTTTGCCAATTTTGCCAAGGAATGCAGTTGTTGAAGCGATCCAGTCCAGTCTTCTTCGCCCAGCCGGGTGTTGGCTATGAACGGGGAAGATGTTTGTACATGATGATTCTTTGCCTGATCATGTGTCACCAGCCCCATGCGCTTGCTTCCAGCATCCCGTGTGGATGGAATAGTTTTGATCATTTTTCAGATCAAGTTGCAATCTCAACTTGGCGACCAACCTTGGGTGCAGCCGAACGTTTTGGTGAAGCATATCATCCAGGGCCTGTAGACTCTTGCAATGAAATTCGATTTTGTGTGACTAATCCTACTTGTATTGCCAAGAAATCCGATACCTACAAAGATCTCATGAAAGCGTATGACATCAAAGTGTTTTCCATGTCTGAAACTGCTGCTACCGAAGTGGTTCAAAAGCATTTTGCCCATGACATGAAGAAACAAAAATGCAGAATGTTGTGGTCGCCTCCAGTGCAACCGCATTGCCAGACTTCACAAGGCCAAGCCCATCAGAGAGGCAAAGCCTCCGGTGTAGCTGCAGCTTCAGCTGTACCCATCCGCCCCATACGTAACAAGTTGCCTGATGAATGGGCAACAACCACACGTTTTGTGCATGGAGAGCTACAGCTTGGACAGTCCCACTGTCAACTTCTAGTACTTTATTGCAAACCGGTCTCCCAGACCAATGCAGTGGAATATAACAACCAATTGCTACAGCTGGCCATTCAGCAAGCCAGCCTCTTGCCATTGCCATATATGATACTGGGTGATTTCAACATGCCTGTTGAATCCTTTGAATCTTGGCCTTTGCTTGAATCCAAGGGGTTTAGATCTCTTGATCAGTTGCACTTGCGGTTGTACTCCACTCCAATGCCAAACACTTGTAAAGGGGTTACTAAGCCTGATAATGCCATTGTCAGTCCCTTGCTAGTCCCATTTGTGTCCCGCATTCAGGTCTTGGAAGAAACATGGTTGGCCACGCACAGTCCCGTCATGTTCCAGCTGTCTTTGCCGGGTCCTGTCTTGTTTGCCAAACACATCCGTTTTCCCAAGTCTTTTGTCGAACTTGACATTGCTGACCAGCACTGGGATAACATGGTTGACGTTTCGGGGGCCTTGCAAAATGCTAGCAGCATCCAAGAATGGGGAGAAGCAGTTGAAAACAACATCGACAAATACCTGCGTCAAGGGGTGGGTTCAGTTCCCTTTCTTAGTAAAGCTTTTCGGGGCAGATGTCAACCAGTGACTTTTGTCAAATGCCCTATTATGTCTCCCACCAAAGTTGCCAACCAAGGAAGCTTTGAGCCATCCTGTGAAGGCCTATCCATGCCCACAAGGCGTAAGGTCACCCAGGTACGTCGGCTTGAATCCTTGTGGAGACGTTTGAATAAGCTTGAAAAAGAAGGGCCAAAACATGAAAATACAATGGCAGAACTCAAAGGTGAATGGAAGGCCATTGTGCGCTCTCAATGTTTTGGGTCACCCTTTCTGCAGTGGATTTGTTCTTGGTCTTGTTTTGACTTTCCAAGTTGGCCTCTCCCGGAAGCGTCATGGGTTTTCGAGGTTCTTCAGTTTACAAAGTATCATCTTGAAATTTCTTTGAAAGAAGATGCAAAAATTCAGAAGAATAAGCTTGAATATCTTAGATTCCTGGATGCCGCCAACCATAACAAAGCAGCTTATGCCACGGTGAGGGGCCCCGGCATGCCCCGTGTCCATGAAATTGGGCGGGTTCAAACTTGTGAAGCCATTGCAGTGCCAAGTGACGATGGTCACGAACACTCCCTCTATATGGACTCAATCGAAACGGAAAAATTCTCCATGGACTTCCCTTTGGCCATAGGTGAAGTATCTGCCGAAGTTATATCCATTGAAGAGCATCGCTTACAAGTCCGTACCAAGGAAAGTTTTCCAGAGTGGCCTGAACAAATCATGGTTAGCCAACATCAGTTTGCCATTTCGCCTGCAGACCTTGCCAAGCATCTTGACAGTTTTTGGAAGCCTATATGGAACCGTGATCATGTTTCCATGGATTTCATGCAAGCCGAATCAGACACATGTCCTTTCCATGAACTGCTGACACACATGCCTGCACACCCACAAATACAAGTTGACATGCTCAGCCGAGAGGCGTGGTCCAAAGCAGTCAAGAAACTCAAAGCTCAATCAGCCAGAGGTACTGACAAGATCAGCGCTCAAGAGTTGAAACTTTTGCCTTGGTGTTACTTGGAAAAATTGGCAGTAATCATGTCAAGCTATCCACAGGGTTTCCCAGCCAGTTTCATGCATGGCCTGATATGCCCTTTATCCAAGACCGATGAAATCCCAGAAGCAAAACAGACTCGTCCCATCACATTGTTGCCACAACTTTACAGGCTCTGGGCAGCAGTTATGACTGCGGAGATCACAAAAGTTTTGTGCACTTGGATTCCACATGACATCACTGGTCTCTTGCCAAGGCGTGGGGCCGCCAATGCAGCCTACTTTTCCCAGTTTCATATCGAAAAAGCACGGAGGTACCATAAGAGCATCTCAGGTTTGACTTTGGACATCATTAAGTGTTTTAACTGTATTCGCTGGGACTTCGGCTTTCATGCGTTGCTTGCCCTAGGGGTGCCCAGGCAACTTTTGGTCGTTTGGATGGCTTCAATCCAAGCCCTCACTCGCCACTGGCTCCTGAACAATCAAGTCATCACTGCAGGTCAGGGATCATGCGGGTTTCCTGAGGGAGATCAATTCAGCGTCATCACCATGATTGCGGTTGCCACAGTTTGGACAACGTCCACAAGAGCTAGGTTGACCAACCCTGAAGACACCCTTTTGTCAGCATATGCCGATAACTGGTCATGGATCAATAGTACAGTCACAGAGCACTTGCCAACTCTGAGAAACACTTTGGCCATTATGGATGCGGCTGGTACCAGCATTGACTGGCAAAAAACTTGGTTTTGGTCAACCTGCAATCGGCATGCAAATGACATCCAGAACATAGTTCAGCAGTGCGTTCCAGGGCAGCAGATTCAACAAAAAAGCTCCGCCGCGGACTTGGGGTTTCAATTGCAATATAGTGGGAATAATACTTTGGGGATAACAACTACTAGATTGCAAAAAGGCTTCCAACGCCTCTTAAGATTACAGGCCATGCCCCACACACTTGTAATCAAGGAAACCATGTTGCGCACCAGTGTCTACCCAGCGGCACTGCATGGATCCGAAATCAAGCCTTTGTCAATTGACAACTTGCAGCAACTCCGCACTAGAGCGGCAAGAGCACTTTTTGGCCACAACAACAGCATGTCACCAGCATTGGCACTGTCTTGCACCAAAGGTGGTGTTCTTGACCCAGAGTACTGGATAATTGCAAAAGCACTATGCACTGCCAGGCACTTTCTTCTCAACCAGAGTCAAGAGGTGCAACATGCCTTTTTCTACATGTGCTCACGGTTTCAAGGCACTTTGCAGCAAGTATGCGGCCCTGCATCAGCCCTTGCGTTCATGCTGAGCCAACTGAGCCTTCAACTGGATGCCAATGGGTTTTTGCATGCCACAGCATTTCTCAAATTTTCAGTGCTTGGGGTTAGCCGTAAAAGACTTCTTCGGTTTCTTCAAGATGCTTGGATGGAACGACTTGTTATCATGCACACCAACAGGTTCAAGTGGTTTCAATTCCCTGACATTTCCTTGCCAGAAACTGTTCAGGTGCTTAATGGATTTGCTGACTCCAAACGATGGATGCTCATCAGAGAGATCTCAGGAGCCTACCAAGTTGCCACCCAAAAACAGAAATGGTTATCACATGCTACAGGTTTATGCCCACACTGTAACATGGAAGACAGCCCTTTTCACAGACTTATGGAATGTCCTCTGGGGTCAGACGTCCGACAGCATTACCAACCTCTCCTTGATGTTTTGATTGAAGAGGAATCACTGCTGCCGTATTACCCAGTAATCACAGTGCATCCAGACGCAGAAGCAATCACTTTGTTGCAGTTTCAGTTGCCAGAAGCAGTATGGAGTGAAAATGTTCTGCAAAAAGTCAGGGAAAAACAGGATAACAACGAAACACTCCACTGGTTCACAGATGGTTCTTGCATGCTGCCTTGTCAGGTAGGTTCCAGTTTTTCAGCATTAACGGTCATTCTTGATTTGTGCCAATCAGATGATGAACGATGCCTAGTTGCTGATCAGTTCCGTGACTCTCCAGTGAACGTGCCATCATTGCAGATAGCATGCGTGGCCAGAAGCCAAGGGGAACAGGACATTCTCCGTGCAGAAACCTGGGCCATCCTGGCCATTGCTGAAAATGTAGGGTCTGGGGTTGTTCATTCAGATAGCCAAACTGCAATTAATAACGCCCGTAAAGCCCTCACAGCTTTTTCTCCTAGTGACTTTGCCACTTGTGAACACATGGACTTGCTTTGCCGTCTCTGGCAAATTCGACATGATGTGAATCTGGAGCTTGTCAAGGTCAAAGCTCACCAATGCATCCGTACCATTCCCGACCCTTTGTTGCGGTATTGGGCTATGGGGAATGATTTTGCAGACAGTACAGCACAGCATGCATGCCTTTACATGATGCCAGATTTTGTCAGCACAATGCAGAGGAAACATGCAGAGGTTTCCAAGGATCAGAAAAACCTTGAGATCGTTTGCTGTTTACATGTGGAACTGCAAGAAGCTCGTGCCAAAGCCACGATACAAAACCCGGAAGAGAATCAGGTAGTTCAACATGATCACCGTGCCATTTGTGAAGCTTACAGTAACTGGACAATCAACAGGACTCCTTATGTTTTCCCAGAGGCAGACCTACAGTTTGTTGCAGACTGTGCATTTGGTAATGAGATTGCGCTTGAGACCTACGAATGGATGAAAAAGTTAACCTGGCCTTCCACTGATGATGGTCCTTTGGGTTTCAATACGGGGGTAACTTGGATTGAACTGGGTTTGTCATGGATGTTGCACAATCAAGCGTTATATGCCAGTGCTACGAAAAGACAACTTAGGAATCATGCGCCTTCTTTACCCTGCAGACTATGTATCAGCAAAGGACAAAGGTTTTACATACGTTGAAGCTGGAACAATGATGCAACGGATCACTGACAATTTGACAAGCTTGATTCCTGGCCCAGTCTGGCCGGATGACACGCTGAGACAGAAAGTCAGTGCAATCTACAGACTTGGTGCACATCGCTTTCATCAAGGGATCAATAAACGGCCGTCATTTCCTTTTCAATCTGAAGTGGTTGACATTCTTCAGAAGTCAGTGAGCTGCGGGCAAACTGATGGACTTTCGGCAACTCCGAGTGTCGACTGTGTTCGGAGACAGGAGGAAGTGGCAAAGGGAACTTGGCAGTTTAGAGTCGATAAGGCAAAGCTGGCCATGAAAAGGGTCAGAGCCAAACGGCTCCTTTGTAGCTAGTTGCTTTTGGGACATTTGGGACTTCGCTCGCGTTGAGTGCTGCCTTAGGCTGCGGCCCGGGGTGGTGCTCCCTTTCTTCAAGGAAATAGCAGTTTTCAGCATGTTGCAACAAACATCTTTTGGTGCAAAAGGCTCAAGAAATGTAAATTACAGTGTTTTGGCCCTTGACATGCACCACCAAAAAGCGCTTTCCAGATCCTACTTGTGTTGTTGTTGTTGTGGTGGTGGTGGTGTTATGAGCATATGTATGACACATATATACATGCATACACACAGAGAATCACATTTGCATATATAGACGCATCTGATCTTTCAGGCCCATTTTTTTCGTGATCCGTGTTGAATTTAGTAGTGGAGTCAGGTCATTGTTTGAACTGTGCACAGCAGCATAGCTTGAGTCGGTTCCACAAGACTCAGGATTTGGTTTTTACAACAACAAATGCCATCAATGCTGACCCAGTGACCAATTTTATCACGCGTGCGTGGATCCGATCGGTCCTCTTAAGAATCCCCCAGAAGAATTTATGGTTTGCAGTTGAAAATCCATGCCCCATGTACAGGATCGATCTATTCCAAATTTGTGACTTCAGGATTTAAAGCCAGCCCGGTTGAGTTCACAGAGGGTCTACAAATTAGCCAGATCAACCAGAGGTTACCAACAAAATTGAGCCAACTTGATGTAGTTTGATCCACTTTTGTGTGGTTCATATTTCTAAGATTTGTGAAGCCAGGTTCCAAGCAATCCCGAAATTCTATGAATGGGCGCTTTGCAGGAAACGATCCCCTATAACCCAATGAAATTGACAGTGTTTCATAGTTACCGAACGAATGCCCTGCCTGGTGCAGGATTTCGAAACCACCCACAGTAGGATCAGCATCCTTTGTCGCCAGGCTTTAAAGGATGCCAGCGTCTATCCACGAGATGCTCAGACGGATGGCATGCGGTCAGAACTCCATGGATGATGTTAATAGCTATAGCCTATAGCAGTTCATCATCAACACCACCACCACCATCATCATAGTCATCATCATCATGATCATCATCATGATGATGATGATCATCATCATCCTAATATCATATCTTATCTTTATTTAGATATGTACATATATATATATACATAATTATATATAAATATTTATTTATTCTCATCGTATCTTTGATTGTCTACACTATACCCGTGCAAGATTATAAGTGCTTAGTATATGTGTGTGTGGGTGTATGTGCATTCATTCCTTTCCACATACATACGTATAATATATGTACATATATGTAGTAGTATTAATTTACTTGTGCATGCAAATGGCTGCATACACTCTTGCACCCTGGGACGGACATACATACATTACATTACGTCACGTCACGTTACGTTACATTACATACATACATCAATGCGTTGCAGTACAGTACAATACAATACAACACATAGATACATAGCTACATAGATACATTCATACATAGATACATATATACATACACCACAGTAGATACAATCACACTACTTTCATACATAGATACATGGATACATGGATACATGGATGCATGGAGACATCTATAGATCAATACATCAATACATCTATACATCTATATAGTACATCTATACAGTACATCTATGCATCCATATACATCCATATACATCCAGATACATACATACATACATACATACATACATACATACACACACACATACACACATACACACACATACGCACATACGCACACATACACACATACACACATACATACATCCATACATCCATACATCCATACATCCATCCATCCATGCTTGCATGCATGCATATGTGTCTCTAAGCTAATCTAAATTTAATATACACTACTATGCCACAATATAGTTTAGTATAATACAATATGATTTAATTTAATATAAATAAATCAACTAAATAAATCAACGCATGAATGATTGAATAAATAAAGGCATAAATAAATAAAACATATTTATTTATTGGCTACGATTGTCCCCGTGGAGTGACAGGGGAAATGACATGTTGATCAAAATCGCCACCGAGGCAAGCCCCCAGGTGCTGGATGTAGCTCGATGAAATTGGGGAAATCTTGTGGGTAGATCAATATGTCAATTTTTTGCTGGAAATGGGAATCCGGGGAAGAGATGAGCAAACAATGAAATGTCTCTTCAGTATACAGTATATGTGAGATTAACCATCAACGCACCACCCCGAACAAATCAGGAATCCGTGCTCGGCGAGAAGGATGCATGCGGTGTAGGCGACGTTCACGATGATATTGCTAGTTGTGGCCGAGGGTAGGTTCAATAGGAAGGGGCGGCATGTGCATTTTCCTGTGAGGACTGGGGTTTAAATGGTGATCTAAGCAACAAACGTTCTGGTGATTTAACCCACCAAATTTTCCCAACAAAATTTGGTGATGTAACACCAAAAAACATGGCAGATTGACATCCCAAAAATATAATGGTTGAGTCTAGCCCATGGTTAAACTAAACCAACCAGTCTTATCCATGGCGTGCTGAGGATCATCAGATCAGCCATCAAAATATCCATGTATCCCAGTGGTTTTTCCTCTGAGCATGGGGGAGATTCAGCAATAACAGGTGACATGTGGTGATTGGTCAATACCTATGGGACCAGATTGAACGCGATGAATACCCACAACTACCAGCTAGTTTGATGAGGTTTTTCATCCATAGACATCCATGGGCCACGTGTGGGCAAAACCACAAGGGAACAACATTGATTTAGATATGAGAATTACTTGTTTGGCGGAACATATATATATATATGCATGTGTAATATATAGCTACCAACGAACCTCCACAGAATTGGATGATGGGAATATTTCGATGACACCTCTATACTTAGATAAACATGTTCTATTTGGATGAAACCTTTATTAATTTATTTATATGTATATATCTATCTAGAATCTAAATGAAACCTAGACGAAACCTGTATATTTAGATGAAATGAAACCTTATAACATTTAGATGAAACCTCCTACAAGGTTACAAAAGCCAATGTTTTCCTGCATTCTTTTCCTTAAACCAATGCATTGATGGCAGGCATGATTGCCAACATGGAAAAAGCTGCGAGCCACGAACTGTTAGAAGACCCTTGGATTGCGAAAAAACATGGCCAGACCCTTCGATACAAGGTGTTGCCCCATAGTTAGCTAAGTTGGTGTATAACTCCAATAGCTACAACTTACAGGGGATACAACTGTAGGTATTGTGGAAGAAAAATATAAACTAATTATTACTCGGGGAGTTCCACCTTGGGCGAGATGACGCAAAGGTTTTGGGTATGGTTCATGTGACCAACCGTAAGACTGAGAGAAGGACTAGGATTTGTGGTTTCACCCCGCGGTAATTTAACCGTTTGTTTGGGAAAAATCATTTTTTTTTTAGGTGGTGAATCGAATTATATATTATAGAAATGCCCGTTTCCATACCTGCCATAGCCATAGTGAATTACTGGAGGGTATATCAACACCACTTTATCCATCAAACCATTCACTGTGCTATTCCAGTATATATATATGTATATATATATATCATCAATATTTTATCCATTTCAGGTTATATTCCCACTAGACGAATCACATTTTTTTTATTCCTCTATATATATATTTCCTCTATATATATATACATATGTAAATACATATCATCCATATACCAGTAGAGCCCCGGCAAGCCAGGTGACGGGAGTTTCGAAAGGGGGGAAACCTATGAAGAAAAGGGGGGGCCTACAGGAACGAAGCCTGACCGGCTGAGGGTCAAGGCCGTTGACTGCGTCATCTCTTGGAACTCTTTCTCTTTGAAATTTCGTTCTTTTGGCATCCTTGTTTGATGATGCAACTTTTTCTTGATTCGGTTTGCCTTTGACATCTCTGTACTACAAGACTTGTACAGTACTACTTCGTACTACAAAGCTTGCACAAAGTATTTCCCGGTACTACTTCGTACTACAAAGCTTGCACAAAATATTTCCCGGTACTACTTCGTACTACAAAGCTTGCACAAGGTATTTCCCTGTACTATCTCGTACTTCCCAGTATTGCACTGTTAGACTTGCGCAAAATACTGCCCAGTACTACTTCGTACTACAAAGCATACACGAAGTACGTCCCAGTACTACTTCGTAATACAAAGCTTGCACAAAAAGGACTTCCCACTACTACTTCGTACTACAAAGCTTACACGAAGTACGTCCCAGTACTACTTCGTAATACAAAGCTTGCACAAAAAGGACTTCCCACTACTACTTCGTACTACAAAGCTTGCACAAAGGTACTTCCCAGTACTACTTTGTACGACAAGACTTGCGCAAAGTACTTCCCGGTGATATGGTCATGTAATGATGTTGTGATTGCGGGGGTGGTGCTAGTGATGTGATGATGTGTCGATGATGCAGTGATGTTTTGATGTTGCTGGTTGTGGTAGAGATGTTGATGTCTTAATGTCTTATACTTTCGTCGAATTTGCACGTATCACAGAGTTTAGACATCTAGACTTCCTTTGGTTATGCAGTGTTCAATTCAGGTGGTATTCCTACTAGATGATCTAGATGAGAATGTCAATAGCTCCAGTTGAAGTCTCCGGACCCAGGTTGCGCTTCGCGCCCTAGCATGCATGGAGCACCGTGGGGCCTGCAGCGGTGGCATGGACAGCAGCCTGGCGCCCGTTGCAACGGCGGCATAGTGTAGGGTAGAGTAGCGTAGTGTAGTGTAATGTAGTGTAGTTGTAGTTGTAGTTCTGCGAGACTTGTTCCATTTTGAACTTGACAACATCAGAAGTTCTGCGAGAATTTCCTCAATTTTTGAACTTGACAACGTCAAAAACGAAGCAACTCTGCGAGACTTCCTCAATTTTCGAAGTTGACAACATCAAAAACGAAGCAATTCTGCGAGACTTCCTTCAAAAATGGAAAGTTGAGTGCAGAGCTGATGGCCTCGTACCAATGCGTTTCGCTTTTTTTCCACTCCATCTGTCTAATGTGTAAAGTGCTGCGGCTCATTTTTGACAAGGTGCACGAAAGGACATCTGAACGTCCAAAAGTGGCGCGGACATGTGGTGCTTTTAGCGTTTTGACTTCGAAATGTGCTTCGTGCCACAGCGGTGTGCAATTTTTCAACATCTCAGCTTCCAAAAGCGGTCTGAGCATGTAGTGTTTTTAACATGTTGATGTTGACTTCGAAAGGTGCTTCGCGCCACAACGGCGTGCACTTTTTCAACATCTCAACTTCAAAAAGCGCTCCGATGTTGGTGTGTTTTGTACATTTTGACTTCGAAATGTGCTTCGCGCCACAACGGCGTGCACTTTTTCGACATCGCAACTGCCAAAGTGGTCTGGACCTGGTGTGTTTTGTACATTTTGACTTGGAAATGTGCTTCGCGCCACAACGGCGTGCAATTTTTCATCTCTCACCTGATCGCTCCGCCCGCCGCTTTAGCCAGGCCAGCCTTCTTTTCGATATTTTTCGACCATCCGGAGCCACAAATCATTGGAAAAACCTAGTGATTCGCGACTTTTCTACCTTTTCGCGCACCTGCATCTTCTTTCTTCTGACTCTTTCTTCTGACTCTTTCTTCTGACTCTTTCTTCTGACTCTTTCTCTTCTCTGATCTTCTTTCTTCTTCTCTTCTCTTCTCTTCTCTTCCTCTTCCTCTTCCTCTTCCTCTTCCTCTTCTCTTCTCTTCTCTTCTCTTCTCTTATCTTCTCTTCTCTGACTCTTCCCACCTCTGCTTTTTCATTTGTCCATATTGTCGAAAGTTTGACTTCTAAACTTCCTTTGGCCATAGGTGCGTTCTCCGTCCATGGTTTGATGGTAAGAAAAATGATGTGTGGATCCTTGTTGGAATTTCCCGTATAATTTGGGAGGGGTCGACCCTTTTATAAATGGTTTATATAATAGGGGCATTTGGAATCCCCCTAACCAAGGCATTTTGTAACAGGACACCTAAAAGGCAAAATTCTACATTTTGAAGTGTTCATTTTGTAAGAGTTTTGAGGGGCCAGCTCATTCTAAAAGACCATCGAGTTTGTTCTCTTGAGGTTTTTTGAAAGGCCAAGATGCTGTTAGTAAACATCAATAAACGAAAAACTCAGCAGGGTGTGCAATGACATTTTGTAAGGAGATGTCGTCAAGAGTAGAAAAACCATTTTGTAAGAATATATGTTTTTTAGGCATTGATACAAATTATTGTTCGGATTTGTGCATGTTTTTGATTCGACTCAATCATCAGGAGTTCTGGCAGGCAATGATGCCAAAGAAACAAAAATACAAAAATACAAAAGGTGGCAAAAAAAAACATTACAAAAAGGCTGCTTGAAAATCAACGAGGCCGGGGAAAAAAAACAGGGAACCAGAAATTGTTGCCTTACAAAATGATACCCAAAAACGTTATCTGAAATCACAACTTCTTATAAAAAGGTCATCGAGTGGGATACAACATTCATATCATGAAGAAAGTCGTCACCTTACAAAATGATGACGGATTTTAGAGTCGAATGTGGATACTAAAAACCTATGTTTTTTGTAAGGGCCAAAATTCCCAAAAACCGATCCATTTTATAAAGGATTTCAAAATCCCACCGGTTTATGCTTACAAGAAACCGGGTGCGACCACTTCCGCGAATTCGAACCCGGATATATGTGGACATTTAGAATCACTAGCTAAAAATGAACTTTGCATTGTATTTTTCAGGTTTCCGGAGGGATTGGAGTGGACCTTATGGTCTGTTGTGGAGGTGAGAGGTGCCGTTCCTAAGAGTAGTTGATCAACCAGGGTATTGGTCCGGCATGGTCCAAACCCAACCGATGGGATACAGCCCATGCTGGAATGCAGGGTCTCCCGCAAAGTACATGAAAGCAACAAAAATTGGGGTCCAGTCTGTGCCATTGTGCCATAGTCGAAAGTTGGATTCGTCTGTATATCATATATATATATTATAAACTGGACAAATACTCAGGTTGGGCGATGGGATATGTATATATATATATGTGTGTAATTATTTGTTTATTTATTTTTATTTTTTTTACCTATTACAACGAATCCCTAATGATGGTGAGATGACCATGAACCAAACACAATTTTTGACCATGGCAATGCGTCCGACTTTGGGGAAGATGTCCCAACTGGCCCAAGTGGCTGTGGCTAGGAACCTTGCACGATTTTGGGTATTGCGGAGCTATCCTAACCATTCCTAACTTGCTTAGCACATGTTAGTCCAAAGATGTAAGGATTGGATGCTGTGAATGGACTTCTCCAAGTTTCCAAGTCCGATCTCGGGTTTTGCAGTTTCACCCCCATCACCTTAGAGCCTTACAGGATCGTAGAGGCCTTTGAGGACATATCTACCTTCAGGCTTTGGGATTGTGAATCATGGGATTCCAATGGCACTTTTTGTAGCACTACTGGCACTACTCCCTTTTTTGAAAATGTCAGTGTCAGACACGGCCCTAAGGGCCACCCCATCATCTCTGGGTGAAAAACCCCTCACCAAGGCAACATTCTGCCCCTTGGTGTCCCGATATGGGCAAGCCCGCGGGAGACCAATCTAGTAATTAAGGAGAATTAAGGTATTTGGAGACACTAACAGGACATCTTTGGAACAGGACGTGTTACATGCGATCATTCAAGAAGGATCACTCAATAGGATAATTTTGACATTGCTAGCCTTGATTTCCATGAAGCTTTCGGGAAAACATGCTGTAATCCCATCCCCGATTTTTTTTATGGATCCACCACCGAACCAGTGTTTCGTTGGGAGGTCATGTGGCGAACCCACTGCTAAAACCTACCACAATTTTCCGAAATATGAGGTTGTTGGAGTTGTTGGAACCAATGGTTTGTTGGGCAAATCATCACATTGATATGATTGTATGATCAGATGGTCCAGCAAAAGCCATGGACGGGGATAAACACCACTAGCCGCTAGCCGCTAACCAAAGATTATCAAAATGTATTCAGATTATCAACTGCTCAGATCGCTTTGCAGCCACAAATGGGGACAACAGCCACTTAAACTTATCAATATTGAGGGATATTATAATTTTCATCAACTGTCACATCCCCTCATTTAAACTCCATGGGGATAAAATCATTTCATACACGTATTCCACTTCCCCTAATTATTGTTGAGATATATCGTGGGATCAAGATTTCCATCAAAAGATCCATCAAATGAGTTCCAACTTATTACTGGTTGGTGGTTTGGAACATTTTTTTTCCATGTCATATATGGGTTGTCATCCCAACCCCATTGACTTTCATATTTTTCAGAGGGGTAGGTCAACCACCAACCAGACATTTATTCCATTATATTCCATATAATAATAGCCTCTGATATTGACTATATTCCTTCCCATTGACTATATTTGACTATATCATATTTTTCAAGAATATCAGAGGCTGTTTTGTTGGTTAAATCACCATTTTCCCATGGTTTTCCCATGGTTTTTCTTATGTTTTCTTATGGTTTTCCTATGGTTTCTCCACATCTTTACTGCTTGGGCCTTTGGGACCACCAACCAACCAGGCTCTGTGGTGGTGACGACAGTGGCGATGGGGCCGGAGTCATGACGCAGATCCCGTGCCTCAAAGGGTGTGATTTACCATCTGGTTATGACTAACATAGCCATGGTATAGATGGCCATTATGCTAGTTGATTTATCATGATTTACCTCTTAAAAATGGGTGGATTTTTCCATGGCGAACTGTTAGTCATAACCAGATGGTACCATGTTTTACCCCTCAAAACTGGGTGAGTTTGTGGAAGAATGATGAAGAATTGGCGATTTTACCTAGTCAATTTTTGAGGTAGCTATCAAAAAATGGGCGATGTTCCGTGTGGCTTCTTAAATTACCCTGACAGTTCAGAGCAACCCTTGAGAGGTGGCTCTTAAATTGGAGGAGCAACTTCATTCTCATGGTTACTGATTAATTAATGTACATAGTTAGCATAGTTGTTGTCACTATTATAATTGATAATGATTATCAATGTATCTTAACTTATGGTAACTTAAGTTAACTTAACTAATTGTGATTGATGCCAACTGCCCTTCTGAACTTCAGGCCCTTCTGTCATTACCATGCCCAAAAAAACATCCCCAACTAACTCATTGACCCTGAGAATAACCAAAATAATTGCTTTCCACCCCCGCAACCCATGGCAGGGTTGATATTGATTTGGGGAATTGTAACTTATGGTGATATGATCATTGTGACATTTAGTTGTGATGCTGGAACATATTCTAGTTCACCTGCTGGAAAATCCATGGCTTTCCTTGGGAAATGATCCACGCTGCCAAAGGGTGGAATTCCACATCTATCTTACTTTGTTGGAGGAGAGCAATCCAGGATCTTTATTCTGCCCATGGGCTACAGCACATGGGACCTCATTCCTGAGTTCGGGTTGTTTATCATGTGGTTAGATGAGTTTTTGTATCCATTGACTGGTGGTTTTATAGATCATCTCCGCACTGTGATCCGGGGAAATCGCTTGATTTGAAAATCATGGAACATCGTATCTACAAAGTTTTCCCATGATGTTCAATCGGAATCTTCATATTTTTGACCTGGAAAGACTGGTGGATAAATATAATTCTATGATTATATAATATTATATATTCAGATGTTATCATAGATAATCAATGATAGTCAGATAGAAAAATGTGTTATCATTGATAGTCAGATAATCTATGATAATCAATGATAGTCATTATTAAATATCTCCGGAAATCGGAGATGTTTCTGGAATTTCAGGTTGGAGGTCCCAGTTCCCAGGCGTTTCTTTTCCACCTGGGCCTTTGCATCCTTCGCCGCCCACACCCAGGTGGGAGCTCTTCAGCGCCGATGTCAATCTGCCGGAAGACAAGAGCTCCTGTGCAGTGGGGATGCTGTTCCTCTCCAAGGAACCCGCTACAGCGAGCGGGTGGACATAGAAGTTGGATAAAATCCTACCAAAATTTGGTGATCAATTACTTTTCGGGACTCATATTTTGTGGGTTCATTGGTTTCCTAAGAACATCTAAGAGCCGAATATCAACAACGGATTCCAATACCCAACGTGTGTTGAGCTGTTGCCGAAAGCAGCAGGGGAAAAGATGAGCCTCGGCTAAGTCAGTCAGCTCTGCTCTTTGCAAACACCAGGCCACAGCCGCTAGAAATGGGATCAAACTACAGCACGCCATGTTTGATGGACTTAGAGCTTAGTCCGAGCAAACAATCGGCAAGGTTTTCTTTTCATTGCAATATTGCAATGAGATTTTGTTTGAGTTTATGGGATTTCATAGGGGGATACGCCCTGACCCTTTGACGATTTTTAGTCATTATCCCATTTTTATGGATACGATGGAAAATCAATTTACCAACGGCGTTTGGTACTCGTAAAAATCCCAAGCCATCAACATCCGTCAACCATATTACCCTCTGGTAATTTGTCACATAACTATGGAAAATCACCATAGAAATAGTGCTTTATTTCCCATAAAAAATGGTGATTTCCCATAGTTTTTTGTATGTTTTTTGTATGTTTACCAGAGGGTATTGGGGATACGCTTTTATTAATACCCCTATGTCTGGATCGTCATCGGCCTGGGAGATGATCCGCTGAAGTTTCATGCGAAACTGGGCTATTCAATGGGGTATCACATATCTTCAATATATTTCAGGCAACAATCCACACTAGTAACTAGTAATTATGTAATAGTGCTCAGTTGTATGATGTTGTATCTAATAATCTAACACTTATACAATCAATAAGACTAACGATGATTGTAATAATAATAAATAAAAAACATATTATAATATATAGCGACGATAGATACCCTCCGGTAGACTAACATAACTATGGAAAATCACCATTGTTCATGGGAAGACTCACTGTAAATGGTGATTTTCCATACTTTTGTTAAATTACCAGAGGGTACAATGATTGATGCTATGTGTTGAAAATGCCATTTTGATGTTATGTACACTTCCATCTGTACATATCTACACTATATGGCCAGTGGGTCATCCTCACGCAGGATCGTGATGTGCGCATCGACGCCAAGATGAAATTGGAGACGTCTCTTTTGCAGGCGGGATGTGGCCACGGTTTTTTTTCTTGGTGCTGAGCGTGCCAGTTTGATCATTTTGCTTAATTGAGTTCTTATATTTCAGTGTTTCAATGCTCACTGGTTAGCTGCCCAAATACTGCCCAAATACTGCTCATGTCTGAAACGACAGCGTGTCTGATCGGTGGTTTCGATTTGAATGAAATTCTTTTTTCCAAAACAAACGCAGCAAACCATCTCGAAAATGGGAACCAAAAAATATGGGTTCCAACATGTTCCCAACCATCCCCCAGTCTGACTATGATTTTCAGCATTATATGGCCATTATATAGCCATTACATAGCCATTATATACCAATTGATAGCCATATTGACGGTAAATTCCACGATTCCAGTGTTCATGGCTCAACATCCCCAGGAAGGCTTTGATCTGCTGGGCTACAGGATCGTCTCGGTGGACTCGACCGTGCTTGGAAGCTGGGATGGCGACGGGGTTCCCGAGCCAAGTCTCATCAAGTCCGATTAGCATTAGGTTATCCCATAGGATCCATGGTGCTGCCATATATGGTAACATTTACCATCGATATACCCCAAATGTTAGCATATATACCAGCACCATGGATCCTATGGGTTAGGTTATTAAGGGGCTGGTTCTTCAGGATTTACGTTTGGTAAAAGGCGAGATTTCCATGAATCAAATGTCACCAGTCCAGGGGGGTTGGCACATAAATTGGACCCAGCACATTTTGTGAACCTCGTTTTTTGGTTCAGTTTGTCCCAAAAACCAAGGTCCCCCAAAATCTCAGTGGTTCATCAAGAACGTGGTAAAAATCAACCCCAAGTGGGGATGGTTCATTACCCATGACGGATCCGGCTGGTGCTGGTTTTTTTTGATGCTAACATGACTGGGGTATATTGATGGGATCCATGGCACACCATATATGGCAGCACCATGGATCCGTCATGGGTTATTGGGTTAATCACATGTCGTTTTTCATTTTCCCATGACAGGCTCCGCATGGAATGGGCCAATGGGCCTCTCGCCCTCCAAGGAGAGAGATCTGCACAGACAGAACCATGGATGGAGACATGGCTGGGTTTGGCCGCCAGTTTATGGAGATCAGTGCAAACCCCGGGATGAATTGGGGTATACCATGCAGATCCATACAACATTATACAGCTAATGTGGATAAAACAATAGTAATAAACCACCCATTTGAAAATTGTTTATACCACCTAGTGTATTTATGGTGATTTGGGGGACGTTTTATTATTGTTTTACCCACATTATGCCCTATCTATTTTCAGGCAAAGCCAGGCATTGCAATCCTTCTTGGCGCCCGTTTTTTAGCCAACTTGGAGCCGCAAGCCCCCAAAAAACGTAGAGCACATAGTTGCGAAGCCATGGCAAAATGGATGGCTCAGACCTGGGTACCCTGGGTACCCTGGGTACCTCCTAAATTGTGTTGGTTTATGTTGGTTTGCAATGAAACATGATGAACATTAAGTTACGGAGTTCCATGATGTTCCATATCGGCTTTCCCAGCCTTTGGCAATTCAACGTGACCATGGCAAACCATCACTTGACCACTGGAATAGGAGCACCATTTGCAATTGGGGGGATAACCTGAAACTAGAAAATGGAAAACCAATAGCTTCAACCTCTGCAATTTTTTGGTGGTGCAGTGATGCAGTCTTCACTTCTCCAAGCCATATTCCGGAAATAGTGCAAATATGCCCAAAACATTTCATGGCAAACTAGTTACTTGAAACATAAGTGGGGGTGGGGCTGGGCTTCAGTTGCGACCCATGGACCACAACGTGCTGCAATCCTCGATCTATCCTCCATGTCGAGCAACCATTGTCTCAGACGCCAGGAACAGATTTTTGTGTCGCATCCAGAGGCCAAGGGGCCAGAGATGGAGAATCTCTTGCTGCTTGGACTTCGAGGGCCGAGTCTTTTTTCACAGATGGGACCGTTCCAAGACGTAGCAACTGCTGCCTGGGGCTTGTCCCAGGATCAGCCTGAGGGAACCCTTAAAATTGGCCCTTTTTTTTATGGGAGAAGCGATCACTAGCGATCATAAACTATCATAAACTATCATAAACTGTAACTATCATAATTTTAAGTTGTTGGATATTTTGATATATTTTGGGCATCCGAAATTTCAGCACCACTCCCTCATGAACCTCCGTGCGGACCATGACAGCGTCCAACTCGTTTTTTGTTGATACAATTGCGGGTCGATGATGGCGGTTAAACCCCAAAAAACCAACCCTAATTCCTGACAATGCATGGTGTATCATGGTGTATACCCCCAAAATTAGTACTCGTACTGATATCTGATATTGATTGATATTGGTGTTCTTTATGGTGGGATTTCGACAAAAACTGCTTTGTTGGGAACGCCCCCTTTTCCGAGAGTTCTTACCACGCCGCTGCCGCGAGGTACATCGCCAGGAAAAAGGTGGAAGACATCCTCTCCTATGATGAGCTTTATGTGGCATCGTTATCTCCAAAAACCATTGTCTACAAGGTGCAGATTCCATGAATCCCTAGCAGAAATGGGGATTGAAAACCATCCTACCGTAGGGTAGGTTGAGTCATGTTGAGTCATTGAGTGATTAGGGTTTACTGGTTTACCACATTATTGAAACATATTGGAACATATCGAAGCTTGAGGGTTTTTTCCTCTTTTTCCTTTCAGTTTTTTTTTGGCCGTTTCGGACCAATGTATAAAGCAATGTTAAGCACATGGTCACATGGTGGAAGAATGAGTTGAAACAAATGCAACCGCTACCAACCATGGATTCAATCATTGGCATGCATTCCCTCATACCAGTGACCCTCAACCGTTGATCAACTGCCCACCATCACTTCAAGAACGTGCCTGTGCAGACATAAAGAACACAAACAAGCGGCATAATAAGAAAAGGAAAGGGAATGGAAACAGCAAGAAAAAGAGGAGGAAGAAGAGAATGATGATGACGATGATGACTCGTATAAAGTATTTATATGTTATTAATGAAATGATCTTGTAAAAGAGATTCTGGATCAAAGAGATTCTGGTTCGGTAAGGGTTTCAGTTTGGATTGTATCAATGATCCAGAATTTGTTTTAAAAGATCATTTTATCATGTTGTCTAGTTTTTTTTAAATGTCTTGTAAGGGGTAACTTAAATTATTATCAACATGTTGTCTCATAGTCTTGTGGTTTGAAGGGGTTAGTTTGGATTGTTTCATGTGATGTTGTTTGATGGTTTTGTCGGATTATCCTACTACTGTACTATATTATATCATGTTGTCTCATGGTTTTGTGTTGTGAGGGGTCAAGTTTCCTTGTTTCACATCATGTTGTCTACAGTAATGGGTTTGTTGCGATAGGGTTATCTTCTAACATCATCATATTGTGGCATGGTAGCGTGTTGTGAGAGATCAATAATATTACAATACATTCTCATGATTTCTTATTTTCTTACTTGTAGCATTCTTAGTCTTAAGTTGAACACCACCACCATCTCCCGACCAGGGGATGTTGAAATCATCTGCCATGGTGCGCTACTACAAGGTGTCCAGATGCGTCCAGGGTCTCATGGTGTTCCATGTGCTCCAAGAACCAATAGAAAAATATAGAAAATAGGTTGAACCATGAAACCATAAACTTCCTGTTGGTAAACTGGATCTAATTTGTGGGTGTCTTTTCTATTGTTTCTCTTGGGGACGCGAAACTCAAGGAGTCACCATTGGACCATCCATAGCTACCATGGCTGCAATACTTTGGATTATTTTGGATTCATCTACCGGCAACCGTGACGATGGAATATCATGGAATATCCCACAAGAACATTCGAAGAGAACCTCGTGAACCCCCGTCACAGTGCCAGGATTTGCGGGATCCACGCTTCAAGGTGCAGTATGCCCTGTGGCACCATGGCTAACGACCAGCTCAGTAGTAGGACGAAAGTCCAGCAGAAAAACACTTTCCCAAAAAGTATCCTCAGAATTTTCTAGCTCTCCAAAGTTGGCCATGCAACCATCAATTTCCATGTTTTTCCATGGTTTTTCCCTTAGGCACCGGCGATTTAGTACCAACACCATGCCGCGCTGGCCATTGGCCCAGCCATTCCGTGCCATCCTCAGCAACCATCGTTGGTTACCCGGTAATTTGTTACATAGCTAATGAAAGTGGGCCCATAGAAATAGTTGATTTATCTTGATTTAGCCATGAAAAATCGGATTTTAGCAACATGTTAGTTTACCAGAGGGTAAATCGACTGAGTGGTCTCCAGTACCCTCTGGTAAACTAACACTTTGCTATGGAAAATCACAATTTTTCATGGGAAAATTCACTATTTCAAATTTCTATGGTGATTTTCCATAGTTATGTGACAAATAATCCAAAAAATCCATAAGAAAATCCGCATGTTTGTATTGGCTTTGATGAAGGTGAGACGAGATGGGCACCATTGGGCACCCATCATTGACCCATTCCGCAGGTTACCTGGGCCACAATGGGGAGATCAACACCATCCAGGCAGAGAATTCCAGTGGGATAGGGATTTTTAAAGATTTTTAGCCCTTAATGGGCTAGTAATCAGTACGGGCATCAAATCGCTTCTTGGAGCCAATCTCAATATATGATGTTAGGGATCTAAATCCCCTGGAATAAAAAAAAAGTGACTTTCCACTGAGTTGACTTTCCCAACATGTGAAAACGATGGGGTACCAGACCCAATGCCATAAACTTGTCGCTTGAGGTTACCACTGCCAGAGAGGAAAAGCTGGGTAGATAAAAATTGGGTAGATTTGAGATGGCTGATGATTGGGTTTATCGCAGTACTATCAATTTGATAAACACACAGATTCAGTCACTTAGTTTTATTCACGGGGTTTGAATTCACGTTTAACGACAAGAATTTCGGGACTCAATTATCAACAATTATTATCAACCAACGAGGTATCTTAGATGCCAATTTAGATGCCCAGTTTTTGGCTGATATCAGATGCACATGGCCAGCATGGCCGAAGCATCGCCCTCTTTTCCAGGGCAACTACAACTGGACGCGGGCGCGGTCTGGATCCTTTGAGCACCCCAATTTCGGGTATCGAATGCGTGAGGCGTGGTCCTGGGGTGAATGGAGCCACCCTTGGAGGAGATCTAAGGAAGTGTGTCTGGTTTCAAATATCTTCGACTCTTCAACCATAATGTCAACCCTGCATTCATAAAGCCCTAGGCTGTTTATATAATTGGGAGGGTACCATTTAAGTATTAGATTATGACTATTGGAGGAGTACCACCCCCTAATTAGTAAACCATGGTTTATTAATCCGGGGTTGACATTATTTGGGAAGATTCTCCCAAGTAACTCATGATTTTTTGAGATCTTTCTTGTAGATCAAATTGTTTCACCCTCCATCCGGGAGATTCCGGGAGCACTGCAACTGACATTCCAGAAGGACTCTCCAAGTTCTACAAGGACTGGCTACTGAGGATATCGAATATTGTTGCTGGTTGATGGCTTCAGCTTCTTTCTTGTTACTGAGTTCCTTTTGATTCCTTGGATACTAAAGAACGGGATGGTGAGGCCAGTTGGCGGATCAATACTCCTGTGATGGGTGAGAAGTGGTTGAAGGTAAAACTCACAGGACGTCTATTTTTTGGCTGGTGAGCACATAGCACATTGCTGAAAATAGAACAATAATATAGATATAGAACACAATAAAACATCACAAGACTTCATGAAACCCCTTTTAAATCCTTTTGACGGTATGGTTTTGATATACCCCAATTGCGAAATGACTAAATGATCGCAACTAGGGCATCGTTTACCATGGATTCCTTCATATTTTTCTTGAATCCCCGACTTGGACAAACATGGAAAGAACACATAGGTTTTATTAGGTTTTACTTTTGTTTATTTGAAAACCTATATTATACTGTAGGTTTTATTAGATTTTACTTTTGTTTATTGGAAAACCTATAGGTTTTATTAGATTTTACTTTTGTTTATTTGAAAACCTATAGGTTTTATTAGAATTTACTTTTGTCTATTTGAAAACCTATAGGTTTTACTAGATTTTACTTTTGTTTATTGGAAAACCTATAGGTTTTATTTGAATTTTCTTTTGTTTATTGGAAAACCTATAGGTTTTATTATATTTTACTTTTGTTTATTGAAAAACCTATTGGTTTTATTAGATTTTGCTTTTGTTTACTGGAAAACCTATTGGTTTTATTAGATTTTACTTTTGTTTATTGGAAAACCTATAGGTTTTATTATATTTTACTTTTGTTTATTGAAAAACCTATTGGTTTTATTAGATTTTACTTTTGTTTATTTGAAAACCTATAGGTTTTATTCGATTTTACTTTTGTTTATTGGAAAACCTATAGGTTTTATTTGAATTTACTTTTGTTTATTGGAAAACCTATTGGAAAACATAGTTTTTTTTAGATTTTACTTTTGTTTATTGGAAAACATAGGTTTTATATAGATTTTACTTGTGTTTATTGGAACACCTATAGGTTTTATTAGATTTTACTTTTGTTTATTGGAAAACCTATTGGTTTTATTAGATTTTACTTTTGTTTATTGCAAAACCTATAGGTTTTATTAGATTTTACTTTTGTTTATTGGAAAACTTATAGGTTTTACTAGATTTTACTTTTGTTTATTGGAAAACCTATAGGTTTTATTTGATTTTTCTTTTGTTTATTGGAAAACCTATAGATTTTATTTGGGGTTTCCCCTTTGGTTTATGTGATGCTAAAGAAATAAAAAACACGGTTTTCCGGGCAGGTGCTGCCTCCATGCCGGGCGGAGAACAGCGACTCAGGGAACATGGACTGTGACTCGGACTCGGATGCTGCCCCGCAGTGATGTTTGTTGGTTAAGCCCATTTCCCTCTGGTTATGTCAAAATAGCTATTGAAAATGGCCATTGAAATAGTGAGTTTTCCCATTAACAATGGTGATTTTCCATAGGTATGTTAGTTTACCAGAGGGTAATTAACTATAGTTATATCTACCATAAACCGTAATTAAGCCACTTTTAATAGAGCTAAATCATGAGAAATCTTCGAACTAAATGGGAACATGGGAACATGGCTATGTGAAATGTTTGTCAAAATTGAGGGATTAAATTGATTAAATGTGTTTGTTGTTCCGCGAAGCGATCAAGCATGGCTTGGCTTTTAATTTTCAATTCTTTTGTATTTTCTTTTTGGGGGGTGAATTTAGTTTGGCAAAGGAAGGAAGATGAACTCTTTCCTGCTGCTGTAGGTGAACGCGGCGATAACTTTTGAGCTGCAAATTGATGGGGGATATCATATTATGCTTGATTTGCTGAAGATGAATTGTTATATTCCCAATGGGAAACCTGTAGATTCATATTATATACATATTTTTCGGGGATTCCTTATGCACGCAAATCCATGCAAATTCAAGTCATCCTGCTGAAAAGTGCCACAGTAGCTATCTTGAAGGGTATCTAGGACTAGCCATGGATGGAACTCGCTGCGAATTTGGGTGTTAGACAGGTCATCCCCATGATTGGATTAGAGACAGCTATAACATCATAATATAGCATAGTTTATTTTTTAAAAACATCAACCTATATATTTCCATGAGCCATCCAGCTATTGGGGTAGCCCCAATTTCGGAAACTTTCTTCAGAGCTGATCATAAGAAAGTCTGTCAGCTACAGAAAGTGCGTTCTATTGCACCCAGAAGGCACCGAGGCATCTGGTCAATTTTCGAAGTACTTTTGGCTGCCGACCGCGTCTTTCCAAATGATTCTAGTTCTTTTTGCAAATGTTCCAATGCATTACCCTTTGTAACTGGGACATTGCGGCCAGGAAATTTATAAGTTTGTCTGAGAATAGTGTAGCCCTCAATCCACTGGATTATCATAAGTTTCCCCATAAAAAATAGACAGAACTGGGTGTATACCCCATTTTCATTCGTCAATTCGAGGGATGATCCTCGTAATCTTTCTCTGGCCAATTTGGAGTGGGGCACCCCCAGCAAGGGATGAATTACTTGAAAAAACATAGCACTCCTTTTTTTTAGAGAGTGCCCCCAAATAGGGGCCCCAAATTTCCATGTAAAATAAGTCTTTTTTGATAGTTTATGGTCTTTATTTGTGTAGTGCTGGTGATTTTCTGTTTTTTTTTAACCGTCATGCAATGGGATTTGAGGGGATTTGATGTTTTTTTTTGTTGGGGATACCCAGCAATTAGACACGGAAATGCAACATCACCAATATTTAAAGATGACTTTCCCATTTCAGTGCCCATTTATTTCGGGTATTTCCGAGCCACCTTTGATGACACCGAAGGGAAACGGTAGAGCCCAGGTTATTTGGAGCTGATGCTCCGCTGTAACCGAGAGTTGCCAGAAGCACTCATGATGATGATTCCGGAAGCGTACAAGGTCCATGCAGCCCAGGAGTCTCTGGTGCTTGGGGTCCAAAAATGTCGCGTTCTGACCATTTTGGTGGCTGTACATATCATAAACATCAATGCATACCTACAGCCTCCAAAATCCACTTTTCTTTATGGGTTGCCAGAAAAAAGCATGTTTTTTCAAAATAACCCGTTTTTTTCAGCAAGGCATTTGGTTACGGGAAATTACCAGCAAATTACGGATAATTATGGGTAATTTACGGGCGACTTATAGGATCTTATAGGTAGAAATTTGGAAAACCTGTTTTTCTAAAAATACAATGGTTTTTCCATAAAATATTGAAAACAATAGGTTTTTCGATTTCAACCCCAAAAAACAGTGGATTAAGGGTGCCATAGGTAAGTATACACGCACGCTTTGCATATTGTAGATTATATAAATGATTATAAATGTATTATAATGAATGTGTTCATCTATCCATCTATACCGCTTATACACTTATTTAGATGGCTACAACCATCTACAACCCCAATTTCGGCTTGTGCTTTTCGGTGGGACGGGTTGAATCCTTTAACCACCTGGGACCTTCATCAATTTGGTGAGTGAGAAGCTCTGTATCCCGTATTTGAGCATCTTCATCGTAGTCCACCCGTATAGGACTATGGTGTGCAATTCCAGCCATCCTAAGCCTAATTCCTCGAGAATACTTGCTATATTTATCCACAGTATCCGTAAATAAAATTAAATGAACAGATGTTCAGATTCAGTATTAAACCATATTAAACCATGGTTTAACGGTGGAAGGGGATGGAAGGGGACAATTTTTCGTGGAAATTTCCATCGTCTCTAGGCGGATGACTCGGGGGACGTGCGCGACTTCTACGAGCCGCTGGGTGTCTTACAGTAGGAACCACTTGCCGTCCAATCCCAATCTACAATGGAGAAATCGCTGGTGAAATCCTGGTGTTTTTCATGGGTAAACCCCAACTTAAATCCCAGTTGAAGTCCCAATGTTTGCTGGATGAACTGCCCAGGTATTGGGGCGCCCTACAGGAGGCCTGGGACGGTCCTGCATTGGTGGCCTTCTGCGATGGCGAGTACATGGGCGCCTTGCGTTTTATGCAGATTTTTTGATGTTTTCTGGATTGCTGATGTTTTATGATGTTTTTGTTTCTCCTTGTGGGTTATGAAAGTTTATTATAGTTTGTTCATGTATATGATGCGGATGTTTATGGATGATTATCTCCACATATGAGCTATGGTCAATACTCATGGTTAATAACCATTAATAGGGGCTAGTCATCCAATGGTTCATAGGGATTTTATAATAACCATTATAAGGATCCTTATTATGGATGGGATGACCATCAAGCATATAGTGAGTATTGACCATGGCTCATATGGTGGTTTATGATGTTTCATGGATGATGTTTGGCATTTTGAAGCAATTTTGACGATGGCAGATGGAATATTTGCATCATTGGGGATATATTTGCCGATCAATCCTGGTTGCACAAGAAGTTCTTCAAAAAGTGGGGAAATTTGCGAGAAAGACATGTTTTACCCTCTGGTTATTTAACAGTTTGCCATGGAAAGATCCACCATTTCTAATAGGATTAATAGGTAAACCATCTATTTCTATGGGCCATCTATACCATGGCTATGTTAAATAACCAGAGGGTAACACATTTCTTTATTGGCAATGGTACCACCCCACATGAAGCAAAAGGGTGGTATTCACGGGTTAAAATGACGTCCCTGTCACACTTGGAACCCCTGGTGACATCCTTCTTTTTTTGAGAAACGTTCTGACAAATTGTTGGGGCTTGAGGTTAATATATAGGAATATTTACAATCGCAACTTTGTTACGGGGCAGGTTGTCATCAAGTGTAAAAGTATTATCCCCCCCTTATCCCTTCACAGGTACCGCCAAAAACACCAAAAGCAGGTGCCACATTTTTCGAAGTTGCTCCAAATTCATGGTCCATATCCAGTAAGTAATTATCTGGTTATTTAACAGTTCGCCATGGAAAAATCCACCATTTTTAAGTTCCGTAAACCATCTATTTCTATGGGCCATTTCCCATGGCTATGTTAAATAACCGGAGGGTAATTCATTTTGTGCGCGTCATGACGTGGACATGACATTCCATCATTTTTATAGTGGGGGAAATCACTGGGTCTAAATCAGTATGGTATGTTTTTATAACATGATATAGGTAGACATACGATATACAGATATACATATAGAATGATATATAATTACCAAATATATATAGACTATAGTACATGCAGGTAGAGAGAGAGAGGAACATCTTTGACATGCAGGTAGAGAGAGAGAGAGAGAGGTACATCTTTGTATGTGCCAATATCTGCACCTGTACATGTTTGTATCTATACACCGTGGTATGCCAATGACTATATGTGGCAGCTCAGGTGCGAGCCTAGATCGAAATGGCTTGAGGCCAGCGCGCTATTTTCAGCTCCATGTGCTATGGCCTAGAGGGCCCTGAGCTGTTCAATTGGGGGCTTCCAAGTTGACTGTATCATCCCAATGATGTAAGAAGAACTGTATCAAATTTCTACGTAACAATACGGATCTGCACCCCCAAGATTAGGAAGCCAGGCTTTCATCCGGGATCCTGGAGATCTGAATCTTTATGGTCTGAATCTGTCCATGGAAGGGACAATTCACGGGGAAACAACTTAGCTCATTTGGCAGTGAAAAAACCAGGATTTTCGATAAAACTGATTTTAAGGAAAATCCGGGAAATCTTTGGGAAAGACTAGGCTTGGGCTTGGATATGTGCCAATAATGAGCCACGGATGTTGCACATTTCCACAGGTTGATTGATGAATGTTGATGGGAAGGAGGATAAGGAGGTTCCACCCCTTGATTTGGATAATTTTTCTGTGCCAACAGTCGTTTTTGAACCGAGTGAGGGCCGCACTTGATTTGGGGACCATGAATTTCGACTGATTTTTGGTGATCCAACAGTCCAACTGCAACTTTGGATCCAGGATTTTGACACCCAACCAGGAGTGAATCAATTTCCAGAGATGTCCAAGTTCTATTTTTTCATCATTTCTGCTTATTTGTAAATCACTATGGCGGGGTATGTCTCACTTGCCATCCTTCATTGAGGATGGCACCTGTGTGGTGAGCTCGGAGACTGGCATTTTGGAGTCCAAAATCTTCCCACCCGCCGCTGGACTGGCGCCGGGGTGGGAAGGTTTCGAGATGTTTGGAGTTGCTTATCAACGCAGATGTAACGCATATTATATATATATTAACATGTTAAAATATAATATATATATATGTACCCTTAAGGTCTAAGGACGTGCAAAGGATACCCTTTCCTAGAACCCAAACATTGCACATCTAGCTACTACCTAGGATCGAACTTTGCACATGCAGGGCTCAGCTGGATGGTAGGTTCGCAGGAATGCTAAGATAAGGACATGACCAGTAGAAAACAAAGTGATATGATATAACAATTAATGAAATACATTGATTTTCAGACATTATGAACATATCTTTCCAAGAAATGTCACCACATGTTGGGAGTATATGAGTTGTGATTCAGTAGAAAGGATGCCAACACCTTCAATGCATGTCGGTACGCTTTGGGACTTTTTTTCTTGTCATCGCTCTCGCTGCTGCAATGTCTGGCGGTGATCTTCCTCGGCTAGACTGCATGGACTTGTGTCAGGGCCTTGTCTCCTTTGACTGACTCGGGTGACATGTGACATAAAATAGAACATATGACAGAACATATGTCAGACAAACTTAATATCAAAGATGCCCTGGTATTGTTTTGGCATCGATGTCAGCATGGAAAAAAATCAGATCACTAGTAAAGTACAGTAGGAGTGGTTCTACAAGGTCCTACGCATGCCATATGTTGCTTAGATTTGTTTAGTACTACTGCCATGACCCCCATTGTCTCTCACCTGGACTGGTCTCAGAGATTAAAACCAAAAAAAAGCCCAGCGCACAACGCCAGGTCATCTACAAAAGAATGGGCAAAAGGAAGAGACCAGTGGAAGGACTGCTGCAGTTTCTTTAAATATAATATAGCCCGTACTTTCACATGCTTTACTAAGCGTGTAGATTATATAATTGCATATGGTGCCACGGGGGTATGGGTTCCAAGTAGGCCCCTGTAGTCATGACGGCTGGTATTTCATCTTTATTGCCCACCAACTATATTAAGTTCCACTTCGAACCCCGGGTCTCACCATTTCGCTGCAGGACACAATGATGCCTCGTATGGGCTCTCTGGAGATGAGGACTGCGAGAGGACCGAAGGTGCCAGCCCTTTCGCCCTGCCTGGGAAATTGCAGGTCTTCTAATATACCAGCTGGTGACAGATTTTGCCCATCAACCGTGTGACAACATCCTAAGATATCTTAATGGTTTTGTCATAGATCATTAGCCGTATTGCGCATTATACTGGTTCTTTGGATAGCATAGCGGGTGGTGATCGATACTTATCTTTTCAAAGCGAAGGATGCTGAAGGATGTTGACATTGTTTGTTTTACTTTGTCACATATAGATTGATCAATTTCAACTTGTTTGTGACGTCACATGCATCATCCCAGCGGCGTTTCAACCATCAAACTGACATGTCAGAGTTCGTTGAACCAGTAAACATCAAACAGAATCAGATGATGCAAGGTCACCCTTTGAAACCGAAACCGCTGTTATCCAACACAAAGCCTACCCCTTCCTCACCCACTTCTCTCTTGCGATGGTGGTGCAACGAAGACCCAGTCGCATGAGCACAGAACGGTTGGCTCTCCTGGAGGATTGGGCTTTCCGCTGTCGATTCAGTTCTGCTGTTCCATGTGGCTTTTTCTACAAACGTGATACTACACTAGGTAGTGTTCAGATAATATACCACAGTTTCCCACCACATGATTAGAATAAAATTTCTGAACAATTATATTGAAATAGCAATTTCAAAGGTCACTTTTTTAATGGTTATTTTGGATTCTTGGGCCCTAGGACTTTTGGAAAAGTCTGCTGGAGCAAGATGATGAATACATCAAAGAACGTAAGCGTGACATCAAGAAAAAGACCGGGAGCAAGGCCGGGCTTACTTAAATGACCCATGCCCGCATGGACTGACCCTGCCCGCGGAGGTTTTTAGTTTCGTCGACCTTCAGAAGTGCGACGCAATTTCTGAAGCGCAGGTGGGCTTGGTTTAGGTTTGGGAGGGAATGGTATGGCTTTCGATTCAAGGCGATTGGTACACAAGTTAATTCATATACCTGTCACCACGGGCTATGATCAACATGAACAGCATTATTTTTATTGTAAATCATCTTGTAGATATCACTGGTATCATCGTACTTACTATCCATGTTGTACACAGTGGCTGCCCCCATCCATTGAACTGTCCTTGCCAGGTTGAACGAGAAGAGAACTACCAGTTCCTCTTGAAGTACTTGAGTACCTTCGCTGGGGACTTGCCAACGAAGTATGAGGTGGAGGCACCGACTTGACAAATATTTATTCTTCAGAGAAAGTCATATATTTTAATATGTGCAACCGGTCGATTTTAAATAAAATATTGAAGAAGTTTGAGCAGCTGTTGTATGATACATCTTACTGTCAAATCTTATTTTGAATGGTCTGCAAAGTTCATGCATGCTTCGTCATAACACCCTAGTTCGGCTGACACTTCCAGGAGTCCTTGGTGAAGATCTGTAACGAGGTTCATTTGAACCCGCACTTTACCAACAAGTCCCAGCACGAGGCTAGGCTATTAAAATAATTGAAGATCGAAGATGAGGGATCCTATTAATCATTTGCTTGAGTAAATCAAGTATATGCATGCATGAGCCATTGCATCCCCAGTCTGATGTCTTTCCCATGTGCCTGCCAGGCTTGGGCACGCAACGAGGCACAGATGGTTCGCCAAATGGCCTCGCATGTCACCAACTTGTACCAAAGGAAGCCAAGATCATGCAGGCCCGTCAGAGTATCACATCATGCTGGATACACATGCGCTCAAACATTCTATCATCTAATGCGCATCTCCAAATTTTGTGCAGTAGATAAATACAGATTGCACAGTACAAAATCCACCACCAGCGCGGGGTCAAACCCATTCACTGTGCCAGGACTGGGCATGACAAAATGCGTGCCCTCAAGACGATCGTGCACATGAGGTTGCAGGACTGTGTTGGGCCACACTGCAACCATGGCTGAATGATATTGATAGTTCATATTACCATCTTATAACACATTGACTGTCATATATAATGGGTATATTAGACATCGATTCCTATTATGCGAAATAATAATTTAATGGACCTGATTTGACCTGCGAGAAAAATAGAAATCACAAGTTGCAGACAGCCAGGACAAAGGACTTTTGACACCTTCTGGGAAGAAACTTCCAACTCCAGGAAGATCATCGTTTGAGGCATGATATGAAAGTCTACTGGCATGTTCCTCTTTGTTCCATTTTGTAGCTTCTACTTTTGGTTAGCACAGTACCGGTTGAAACTTTTGGTTTGTTTTTCACGGGCAGGTGAAAAGGCGATGCACAAAAAAGGCAAGAAAGATCGAGACAAAGGATGATGCACCTGACCAGCCAAATGCACCCAACCAGCAATTGGGAGCACCCGCTGACCTCGCCCAGACGGTTCCAATGACTGAGTCCCAAGTGGAGGCGGCCATGGAGAGCTTGCCCGATTCCCAGCAAGCTTGCGGGGATTCCGTGGATTTGGGCCAGGGGGACCTGACTGGAGACCAAGAAGATGAACAGGGGGAAGAGGAAAGCCTGACAGATGATGAAATAGTAACTCCCATCATTTGCCATGACGAAGCTGCATATGATTTGGTGAAAGATGATTCTGTTGATGCGCACTACATGGATTCACAATCACATGGAAATGATGCACCCCCGGCGATCCCAAAAGATGATCCCAAGAACATCCCAAAGGATGTGAAGGCTCCTTCAGAGAATGAACCTGCAGCCCCTGCGGCATCTGAACCTGTGCCCTCTCCCGGTGTTGAAGAAGTCTTGGGATCTGAAGACGAAGGTTTAAAGACAAAAGACAAATCAAAGGGTAAGACTGAAGAGAAGACTACCTACCAAAAAGGCACTTTCCAGGAGAGGTGACAAAACCAGTTTCGTTTTTCCCCAGCATGTTTGTCCCAAAAACCCAAAACCTGTTTTCCAGGACCACAAGCCGATCTGCCCATTACCCGACGCTGCGGGTGAAGACGATTCGTTGCAAGCCCAGATTGAAACATCAGTGGCAAAGTTGACTGAAGCGATGAAAGGAAGGGATGTGCAGAAGAATTTACTGAAGGCATCCTGAATTTTGTGTTTTGAAAGTTCAGTTTTCTGATCATCAATGTAGTTGTTAGTTTAAGTTTGGCTTTGAAGCATTGCTGTGTATGTCACGCTGGTAAATTTCCACTTCGGTTGGTTTACCAAAAAAGGCCCCCACAAGTCCCCCCAAAATAGAGTTTTCTTTGCATTTTATGAAAGAGTTTGGGACTTGTGGGGGCCTTTTTTGCGGGACCAGCCCAAATGGAAAATTAGCATGTCACGCACTGTCTTTACTTCTGATCTTAATGCTGTTTTGGGTGCTGCTTCTACTCATGTTCATTCATGCGATAGGCACAAGCGATTCTTCGGAAGTCCATTCGTGAAGCGAAGCTAGAGGAAGAGGCTGAGGAGGATATCGACAGACAGTACAAGGATGAAGGTGATAGTGATTCAGGCAACGAAGGAAAACCACCTAAGAAGACCAAAGGTAAAGGAAGGGGGCGGGGCAGAGGTGGAAAACATAAAGTGCCCAATCCCGACAACACTGAGCCAGTGAGCAAGAAAGCTCGCACAGACAAAGGTGGCATGCCTAGCCATTCCCTACCAAAGACACTAGACGTTGCAGCTGAGGTGGCAGCAGAAATTGCTGAACAAAACGTCGCAGACGCAAGGCAAGACAAAGGTGATGTCCCTGGTGAGGCTGACCAACCTGAGCAGTCTAAGGATGCAAAACCTAAGTGTTCAGCAGCAAAGACAAAAGCAAAGCACACAAGGAAACGCACAAAGAAGGAGGCAGAGCCAGAAGATGCCAAAGAGAAGGACAAGACAGACCCAGAAGAGAACAAAGAAGGACCAGAAGCAGCACAGCCGAAGACACCACCACCTGCAGGGGAGGCGCAGACACCCAAGAAGAAAACACCAACAAAGACACCTAAGAAGACACCCAAGATGACTCCAAGGGCTGCAAGAAAGAAGAGAAACCAGGACATAACACTGACCTGACCATGTATTCCCACATATCTTAGCATATGTTTTTATCGATATACAAATAATAAATCAAGAACTAAAAAAAAATCAAATCAAAATGACAATTGACCAAGTCAGCCTTCTTAAGATAGAACGACAGGTATCACATTGTTGACTTTAGTTTGCATGTGACAGTTGATGGAATCAACATACCGATTTTAAAGTTATATTGAAAAGAATCCAATATCATTGCAATTTTTCCATGGCTTTTCTTGTGTATCTTGTGTCCTATGCCCATCGAACCCATGGTCAGCCGACTTCAGGAGGCCAACGTGCAAGAGCTCCGTGACAAGGGGCCCCGCCTGCCATACTTCAATTTGCCAGATGATGTGGCCACGAAAAAGTGCAATCCTCAGGTTGCCGGAATGCATGTCAACTTCTCTAGTTCTGTAGTATTGTTTTTTACGTGAGTCAGATGAAATACTCCAAACTTTCAATATCATGATATAGGGGTATACCGGTATATACCCTTAAAAGCTTTCAGATGATGGATCACACACGGCTACTCTACAACCCTACATAACCTGCAGCGTTTAACCTCAGGAGCTTTACCCTACGTGTACCTGCCAATCTGCGAGTGTCTGAAAACAATGAAGACCTTGAAATTGAGCAGACCAGCATCGGTGTTCTGTGTGGGCCCCAATTTGGATGGTAGGGTAGTCGACATGGCAAATTTATACAATGCAGTATAGAATAAATATATTATATTTATATCATTGAATATCATTTTTATACATGCATATAGAAATTAGATGTTTTGAATGCCATATATAATATATATTGCATACCTTATTTTAAACTAATAAATAATATTAATTAGTTGATATATTATAGAATATAATATATATCAAAGATTTCTGTTTGAAATGCCTGAAGTATTTGGTACTATGGCCTTTGCAACCATCATCTTGACAATCTCTCAAGGTTGGACCGGGGCGCCGGGAACTTTTACATCAACAAGGTCGATAAGCAACACATTGCGCTCTTGAACATGCAGCACGATGAGACTCTGAAGGCTTGACATGCACGGGTACCCGCTGTCATTGAGGAGTATTATTTTATACAATGGAATTTAGTCTTAGTACTACTAGTGATTGTACATCGTGATTTTTGGCGATCCCAAAAGAATTTTCAAACGTGAACCATTGAATTGCTCAGATCACAAAACCTTATTTACACAAATAATCTGCACGAGTGCATGTCACTGTCTGCCCCGCTGCAGACCAACGAGAAGCAATCTGGAGTCTCCATCACGTGGACTGGCAGAGGTTTGCCAGCAGCGCATGGTCCTGAGCCATGAGTCAGTGCAGTCATGTTGAAAGCTGATTCGTATCACAAGGTACCACTTTGACCCGCTTGTGTTGTGAACCAAGTTGAGTATTTTTCATGGAGAAATGAGGATAGTTGATCATGATACCAAACCAACCTGAACAAAGTCATCAAATAACGGACGGTGTCACATTAGGACATGCCCAACTTCAACTGTTTCAGGGTAAACCTAGTTTTGCCAAACATACTGACCTGAATGACTTTTATTTGTGATTCCAAGGTGGGTTTTGGCAATCAAGGCGGCTGGTTGGGTCCCAGTGAAGGCAGATGTGCCTGTGCACGAAGACTAGCAATCCAATCATGATCAATCAAGTAGGTCTGAGCTTGAAAGTTATGCAATGTGTTTTCTAGAAATCAGTGAATTCTCTTCATAGCCACGGTATTTGAACACGGGCAAACCATCATGATTGAATCCGTGCAGTTCTTGTCCTGTCAGTGGACTTTACCCCAAAAAATGTTTGAAACACTTCCGCATGCCAAAGCTCAGTGTTTGCACCAGTGCTAGGCATAGGGCGTAGGGTCCTCGGTTGGTGGCTGTGCAGCAGCGATTTTGTGACCAGGACATGTGACCCTAAAACTGGTGGGTGCTGGGTTGTGTGATGGAATATGTGTACATTATTATTATTATTTATATAGACTACACTGTATTAATTTGTTTACATAATCATGATGATTTTGCGAGCGCCAAGCTGCCTTGACATCCCATCTACCTGCTAGCTGCTTTGATTTTGAAACTCTAAGACGGGACAATTAACCATCGTCGTGCGTGCTTCATGATTGTCGCGATTGTGTCATGTGATATCTCAATCAACATTGCACTACTGCACCCGGAAGTTTGGTTCAACATATTTTAGGCATTTTAGCCATGGCGGGCCCCCGAAAAGCATCATGGATGAAATCACCCTTGGCACTCACCACGAGAGCAGCGGCAACGATTTGTGCACTTGGTGGACCAATCCTACTGTAGCTCGGTTATATTGTGTTGTCAGCACTGGTGCCTCGTTTGCTTCTACTCAACTTCAAACTTGACAATCACATCACGCATCCCATGTGCCAAAGCCCTGCCCCCTGTCTGACCCAGGCTCCACATCTGTGATTATGTTGCACAGATAACAGATCCGAGCTCCCCGAATGCCAAGAGAGTCGGCTCCTCAGTGCGCCAGATCAGCAGCCAAGATGTCACCACACCGAAAAAATGTATTTCAAACCCATGTCAATCATATGACTTGATCTTCAGCTGATAGTGGATATATCATGTTCGCTATAGCAACCCATCGATCTCAGATATAATATATATCATGATTTATATGGTATATTAATGTATATTATATTATAGACTTGAGACCTGACATGACCTCATGTCCATAATGTAGCCTACTAAGGACATTGCAGCCATCGATATTTTCAGTGGACAAGCATCGGTATCGCATGCCTATCGTCAGGAAACCGAGTTTACCCAAGCGATTGGAATCAGTTATGTAGGCATTTTTCTTTGCAAGTTTCATCTCGGGCACATTGGTCATGCATGCATGTCGGTGTCTGCAGCGTTCGGCGTTCGTCTCCCAGGTGACAAGGATTTCAAGGCGTCGTTTCCTCAGGTCAACAACGTGATGTGGCAGCTTTCACAACTGCCACTAAGATTAAGAGAATGAACACCAGGAGAGCAACACCAATTGAAACCTATTTTTTTAATATAGCATCGTTGACAAATTGTCTATTATTTGTTGATATAAATCATGATGTTATATCAAAGTTTTTATTCTGGAAAATGTCCAACCAAACGAATGGAGGATTATGATCCATGTTAAAAATTCACTTGATTTTGGTGGTTTTGGGTAATGAAGAAGTTCCGGTACTGGCTTTTAATTCTCATCTCATTGTTTCACCCTTGGGTCAGATCATTGGAATGTCAGTGGATCACTTGGGGTTTCAACAAGTGACACAATATTATCAGACATGTGTATATATTGATGACTGGCCTCTCGGCTAAGCCTGAACTATGACATCGAGCAGCGACCCATGTTGGATGACATTCTGACACTGCCGGGTTCCCAGACCTAGGGTGTTTGACTTATTTATATATACTGATCAATAAATCTGACGGGTATCCCATCCGGAATCCATAGCATCTTATCTGAAAATGCTTTGACTTTATAATTTTTGATGTTGACTTCAAGAATTGCATAACATTTATTTTACATAACATCCATAATATGACATGTCTTTAATTGTCAAATCTTCGATTAGTTCGTGACCTTGTCCATTTTGCTGGTCGGTCAGGATTCCTTGGGGTGCACTTGTGTGTTAGCCATTTTCTGAAAGTTTGTTTTGAAATAAACCATGTCAACTTGAGAGATGACGCTATCCAAACTTATGGACCATGAAAAAAACAGGGAACTAGTCAAACCAATTCTGGCGTCAAAAGCCTTTGAAAATCAGATTCGGCAATTTATGGTTCAGTTTGTGAAAACAAAAATTACACATTGAATATGTGATTGAGCTTTTGCGACTGTCCAAGGCAAGGGTTTTTGCGCTTGGTGCAAATGGCACTTCGGGTGGTGGAGGACGGGGTGGCCCACGGAGGGCCACCGTGCTCGTCTTTCATTTGGTTGAACCGTGGGACGAGCAAACGATCGGCAGCACGTCCCATGGGAGACCAACTGGAGCCCACAGTCGCTCATGGCAACCAGAACCATGAATAAATCAGAATTATATTTTTCATGCAACATCATCCTAACTCAAATTGCAAAGTAATCTCATTATTGTTGTTTTTGTGGCCCAGCCCCATCAACATTGCTACCTTGAATCTGGAAACTAAGGATCATGGCTCGTTGGGCCTTGATTTGCATTCTTTGTATTGCAAGGTGTGTCTTCACGATTTCTGAGCAACCACGATCATCGATCATGAAGGCTGTAAAGTATTTCAAGCACCTGTCCCGGGTTCTACGCCAAATCATTCCGTGGTATGTTGTCAACTAGCCTGGTGCTTAAATCTGAAGATGGGCACATTATCGTGAAGATTGATCTATATCGATACTTTGTTAACCATTAATTGCTATGTGATGTGGCTTTATTGCATTGCGAATCAACAACTGCGTTTTATTCCAAACTTGCCCTAGCTGAGCTGAGTTGGATGGGCACATGGGGCCATTCGAGACCCAAACCGTCCACAAACTTTGGTACTGCGTTGGGGCCTTGTGCGTGAGAGTGATCATGATGGTTGATTTTGTGTACTGAATTTTATTTGTAAGTTTGGCTGCGGAGCAGTTCCACCAAACATATCATATGATGTTTTCACCCGGCTCCTAGGCCATTTCTTCCCGGACTGTACAAAAAGATGACCAAGAAGAAGCAAGCCCAATTGCGCAAATTGGCATCTGGAAAAATGGTGATTCGCTACCGTGATAGTAAGGGACGAAGCCGAGTGTCCCAGCCCAAGTCACTGTAGGAGGTGAATTTTCACAAAGCCACCAGCATCAGTACAGTACTGACCGTTGATCGCCAACTGTTCCCGGGGTAACACCAGCAAGATCCTGCTCAGGAAAGGTGGACCGAAACTGAAGCAGTCACAGGTATATCCTCGAGGATATGGCCGTCGCATCCAAAAGTTACACAGCGAATGGCTGGATACTTGTTTTAAAAATCACTGACACCAGCATATGCATGCATATTTAATTGCCATGGAGTCAATGATCACGCACAAACCATTGAAACGCCTAGCTAGGGCATAAAGATTTTTAACCCTTATATTATTATAGCGAAGGCTAGTCTGTTTTGACATCTCAGGTTTCCCATGCTGGCGATCTTCGACGTAACCTTTATGGAGATGATCTGGCCACGTTTGATCTTGTCCACGGGGCTCTAGACAAGGTCAGTTTTTTTAATTTAGGAACAGTTCAAGTTGACATCTGAATGTGAATGGTCCATGATAGTTCACTTCGAAGCCAAACTTTCAATATCACATGAAATGGCAAAGTGATCAAAGCTTTTGGACATGCCATGACACAAAGGTTGAAACTTCCTATAGATTCTATCTTCTACGAAATTCTCACATCATTTTTCCCACTTCAAGCCTGCCTGACGTGACCCCAGTTTGCGTCAGAAGCTTGACAGACTGCGCGACCTGCAGGCCAAGTCACTGCAGTGGTGGTCAGCAGCAAAGCTGGGAGATGTACAAAGCTTCCTCAGGTCCGAGAGAGACGCTGGACGTTATCGGCCGGTGCTGACCATGGGACTTGACTAAGTTGAACCATGGATGCCCCAAAAAGTATCCATGAATGAGCTTTTGACAAATTAGATGGATCCACACAGTTTGGGTGGGTTTAAACATGTTTGGACCACCAAAATGATCAAAGGATGTTACCTACAAGCTGTTTCTTCCCATCGGGTTTGACACGTGGCTCACCCATCTGTGTGATACACATACTTTGCAAAATGTATCAAAATTTCCTGCAATGAATGATTCATGGTATGTCCAAGATCATCAGACAAATCAGCGCTGAAAAAAACAATTTTGATCCAATTTGGATCATACCGGGTGCGTGGTTTTGGCGTGGTTTTGGCGTGGTAATCCTAAACTTTGCCGTGGAAATCCCAAACTTTGCCGTGGAAAACCCAAACTTTGCCGTGGTCTCAAAACCCCCAGTTTTCGGGTGATTTTGGTTTAGTTGTGAAAAGGGAATAAAAAACAGGAATTGATCTGGAAAATTGTGGAATGAAATCAAATTGTATTCCAACAAACCATTGCTTCAGGGATTGGTTTGCTTTTGTGGGAGCTTTATGTGTTTTGTGGGGATTGAACGCAGTGGCTCCAGTAATGTTCATGTTGCATCTGATTAGATCACAAGGTATGATGGGAAACATGACGAAAGCACGCGATGGATAACACAGCTAGTCAACACACTTCTCTTCGCACATCCTCTCATTATATTTTCTCCAATCCCAGGATAATCTCAGAACTGTGCAATATTTTTTATCATGAAAGAAAGTTTGGGTACTTCCGGATTTCGACCCATTTTGGGGGTGTTTCTGCTTTGCCCTCCATGGACGAAGCAAAGAAGCTCTTAGATGCTGCCAGAGAGCGGGACCAGCGCGTCAAGGCGAAGCTGGCATCACAACATCCTCAGCCGGAAGGCAGGACCGGTCGACCATTTTCCTGTCACACATGTAAAAAATGCCCGTGGCATGTAGGTTATATATTATCATGCAAAACAACAAAATTCTATAATATTACTAACATTACTAGCGCATCAGGTATGTGCGATAGCCTTTTGCCATGTCGATGGTGTTTTCTCAAGTTCCTGATTGAATGAGAACGGTATTGTTTTGGAAACCCATCATCAGTGATAACCATGCATGCATTCATAATGTGACAATGACCCTTCTCTTCAGTTTCTGACAAATCAACCACCTCACAGGCCCACAGAAGAAACGTCAGACCGCAGCAAAAGCACCTGCAGCAGCAGAGAGTCCAACCAGTGAGGCTTCAACTGTTCCAGGAACAGATGAACAAGCCAGAGCCATGGCAATCCAGAAGTACCAGCAAGCACAAAGAGAAGAATCTGCAAGGCAGCTCCAAGAGCAACAGCAAAAAGAAGCACAGCCGAAAAGGTTGCCAGCCACACCCTGCCTGCGTCGAGTGATGTCAATGTCAATTTTGCAGCAGCCTGCATCAGGGACACAATCACCAAACGAACCCATGGACACCAGAACAAATGACAACAACAACTCGCAGGCAGCACAGGCAAAGAGTGCAAGCACCACCAAGCAACAGAAGAAGATCCAGAAGAAAAACAAACAACAGAAGAAGAAGAAGAATGCTTGCAAGAAAGGAAACGGAAACACACCACAACAGCAGCTGACAGTGCAAGCACCACCAGCAAACACGCCCGAACAACAGGCCAACAAATCTCTTGACCCACATGACCAAGGACAAAAACAAGTTCAGCCTGAGCAGACTGTTAAACAGCAAGAACCTACCACAGTCGCACCAGACCCTCCACTAGCACCACCCTCCCCTGCACAGAGTGAGCAAGCCAAAGCACACTCTCAGGCACAAGCAACTGCAGTCAAGGCCATGCTGAACAGAGCCCAGACCGCCGACCTGGGTCATTCAGCCCCGCCTGCACCCTCAGCTCCAGCCCTGCCTGCCCCAGCGACGCCGAGCAGCACGGCCACACCCATGCCCACCAGTGATCTAGCCAAAGATCCGTTGATGAAGAAGAAGAAGGGGACAGTTGTCCGTAACAAAGATGCCCACAATCGACGGATGAGATTTTACCGATCGTTGGAGAGTGTCTCGACTGTAATATATGTAGGGTATAGCTCATGAATATGAATTAATTAGCTAATGGCCATTGGTATCAAAACACGTGAGCAGTGGACCACCTTGATTTTAACATGATATATCCACATGCGGACTCAATGCAATGCTTGACAATAATGACAGACTCATGGGCAATCCATATCGATAATCTTGAATTCAACATATGACGTATGTCACATGATTTGTAGACATACGTGCCAAGAACTATTTTTTATCATATGACATGTCACACAGGTATCGTGTATATAGTAAAGTGCAGAATATATCCTGCATGCATGGTTACTAATATGACACCCAATGCATCTCACTGCGCACATTGCAAGCCCAGGCTCATCAAGCCCTGATGAAATCCAGGACATGGCCGAGAATGCCCGCACAGGACAGTGCCGCAGTCAGTGTGCCTGAGGGCAGGGAATCATTGAGCCCGCTGCATTTCATATCTTTATTATGGCTAGACCTGAATCCAGCTTCATGAGGTGTGTGTGTGTGGTATCATCAATAGGAACATGACCTTTTGGTTCCTGCATCACGTTGATGCAACACAGACTTGAGAAACATAATCTTTTGAACCTCGCTGAACCTAAGCTCAGTAGTTTCATCGAACCAGTCACCCATAACAAAATCATGGTGTTTATCTCCACTTAGAATAATCTGATATCAAAACCCTGTGTGTTGTGGTATCTTTATAGTAGTGCTGAGACTTTTGAAAATCAACTGGCTGGCAGTGTTTTTGATTGTTCCTTATGGTTCCGAGAAATTGGGAGACACCTAACCAGCAGTGCCTGCTACAGAAGTTGTACGCTCTCTCCAGTTTGGTCTCATGTTGGACAGGTCATATATTTAACTCAGGCCTCTTACGTATGCCAACTTTGGAAGTACTATATAATATAACTAACTATTAGCTTTTGAATTTCTATATACACTTTAAAGCTTTATGTTCACGTATGTGGTTCTTGTTTTGAAACTATATTATATTGCAACTCCATACAAACTTAACAGCTAGCAATCACACCTGATCAGGAGGAAATAAGAGGCAAAAATTGGCAGTGCTTTTTGAGGAGTGGGTAAATTGTAGCGAGGACTGGCAACAAAGCAGCTTCGTCATTCGCATGAAGCAGCGGACGACGGAGCGGCAGAAGGGTGGACGCAGATGGATGACAAAAGCTGACATAGTCAGTAAGTATGCGCCTGGACGGACTGAGTCAGAAGCTAAGTCCATAGCAGAGGAAATCGTTGCACATAAAGAGCAAACACCGGATGCAAAGCGTCCACATCCAGACGCGCCTCTCAACAGTGAGATGACCTTGTACCTAGTCTGGGATGAACAGTTCGAGTCGACGGAGCATGACTCAGTTGTGGAACAGTTGTTCCGCCAGAAAGATTCGTCTGCCAAAAAGGCTTCGAAAGGCAAAGGATCGAAAGAGTCAAAGAAAAGAAAGGCATCATCATCGCCAGAAAACTCAGAGGATTCAAGTGAAGACAGTGACCGGGATGATAGCAGCTCAAGCTCGAGCAGCACAAAGCGAAACAAGAAACAGCATGACAAGAAGAAGAAAAGAAAGAACACCAAGAATAAGAAAACAAAGAAAGGAAAGACAGCAAAGAAGGACAAGGGTAAGAAGAACAAGTCAGAAAGCGTCAGTGACGTGTCAGATTCAGAAGACAAAGACCCGGAGGCGGAAGAAAAGGAGAGAGAGAAGGCAGCTGAAAAGGAGAGAAAACGAGCAGAAGCAGAAGCCAAGAAAGAGGCAAAGCGAATTGAGACTGAACAGAAGAAAGCGGCAAACAAAGAGCAGAATCGAAAGAAAGGTTTGGTCAAGAAGGTTGGGTATGGGGTCACTTATCACTAGCCATGCATAATATTCCAAAAATCAATATTAACATTGTATTATATGATATGATATTCTAAAAATGAAAATTGATCCTGGCTGTCTTTTCATGGTAATTATATCTTCTTTTTCAGGATGTTTTCGTTTTCAACATATCACGGGTACATTGACATCTCACAAGCTGTCTTCTGACAGGAGGTGGCAGCTTTGGATGCTGCTATTGGGGATTCTTCACGCCGGGAGGCAAACGCATCGACATTGTTCCTTGTCCAAATCAAACCAGCTAAAGCCAATCTAACCAAGTAATCACAAAAACCATATCATGCGCTAATAGATTTGTCAGTAAAAAAGCATCTTAATTTAGATTCTATAAACCATTCTTGGTTACACGAATTCAAATCGTGGTGGTGCATGTGCCCTTTAAGATGTTCATCTAATGTAGCTCCCAGTCATATCAGATCTTCACTTGGATCACGTGGATCATGGTGATGGGAATAAAAATATATGGAAGACCCGGGACATGCTTTAGAACTCTTAAGCTAGCCACTAAGACTTGTTTTATCTGATCATGATGTCCAAATATCTCTGCACTAGCTAGGTTGCCGTTTGTTTGTCACCTGCCCTCCAAGGTCTGTGAATCTCCGAGATGCAGTCATTCAAGATCTGCAGGCACATCGGAACAAGTTGATGACCAAGCGTGGAGAGCTTCAGGCTGCCTTGGATTTTGGCAAGGCTGGGTCAGGAATGGGGGTTTCCTGCAAAATAGTGATCCCTGTTCTGTTATATTATTTTGTATTATATTATATATTATATTATATAATATTATATTATATTGTATTATATTATTATATTATATTACATTATATATTTTTTATATTATATAATATAATAATATTATATAATATTTTATTATCTTATATTATATTATATTATATTATATTATATTATATATATTATCTCATATTTTATTATATTATATATTATGTCATATTATATTACATTATATTATGTCATATTATATTATATTATATTATATTGTATTTTATTACTATTTTTGTATAGTACCACATGAACGGATTTTGCAGACACTTGCGGGGTAAAAATCAAGTCCAACCGAACTTGTTTGGGTTGGACTTGATTTATGAGCCAATTTTTGGGCTGTGGTTGGGCCATCTGGAGCCACAATTTGGCCGATGTTAGGGGCAAGTAGGGATCACATGAACGGATTTTGAAGACACTTGATACTATATTATACTGTACTATACTATTTCTATTCATATTATTTATATTATAAAATATATTATATTTCATATTATTTTTATACTAGGTGATAAACTTCCGAAGTTTCAGAAAACACTTGATTTTGTGGGAACTTATCTGTTGTATCATTTACCAAATCATGTGATGATCGTATCATGAAGTTTCCCAAAGTTTTTGGGTATCAGTTCACATGGTTGATGCTGTTGGTAGAACAAATCTTGTAATCATGCCCCAGAGCAATGCATGAAACCCATTGCACATGTTTTAATATTGCGTCAAGTGTCCATCAACTGACGCAAGAATTGCCCATCAAACAGAACTCCGCTCCTCAAATCCAATCTCCCTGACTGGTTTTTCGGGCCGTCGTGTTTACCCAATCCTCAGTGTGTTTGTTTGATCAAAGGTCCACTGGAAGGCACCGTTAACCCACAAATATTATATAGTTCTAAAACGAAACTTTGCCTGCTACCATGGTTGTTGACGGATCGCTGGATCGCTTTCAACAACGTGATTTTCCCTGATGCCTGTCAGAACTATGGAATGTAGTTTGGGATTGGTAGTTTGCAATGGGATTGAAAATCATAGGAAAACCAAAAAAACATTGGCTTATTTCAGCTAGATGTTTTAAACGGTTTGTTTCGTTAGCATTGATTTGATCCCAAATCCCACGATCTCAAGGTTTTCAAAGTGCGGTACCACCAGCATTGCAGCCGCAGAATCTTGCATCCATGGCCCATCATGTGCTTCATCAGGTCAGCGACATGGAGGACCTGGCTGCTCAGGCTAAGGCTTTGGTGACTGACTACAACCGCGCAAAGAAGGCTACGTCGTAGCTTCAAAGTTTGGAAACAGTCTTATCGTGTTCGATGATGGAGCCATCTTTTTGCTGACATTCGATGTCTGATGTTCCAGGGAAACTCTGAAAAAAGACACCGGTCTGTAGATAGAATCATTTTTATCCATTGAATTTTAATAAAACCATCAAATAAGATTTGGAAAGATGTTTCGCTGTTGCTGAGTTCGGCGTTCGTATCAAAATGTGTTTCCCATAATCCATTTCCTGCAAAATCTGCAGGGATTCGTGAGCTGGCTTTGATCCATAGACTGTGCTTTCAAGGGCAAAAACACCCACCTATGTCTGGATCATGGATAGGACTGTTCAGTATGCATGCATCATGTACTTCGCTGTTTGTTGAATGCTGGATATTGATATAATTAAACATTATTAATAATATGAAAAATACTTCATGATGACAAATGAGGTTTTCTTCGTTCACACGGTCCATCAGTGTTGGTCCCAATCTAGTTCATAGGATGGGTGATGGGGAAGTGAAGGCACTGCAGGTGAAGAGCAATTGCTCTGAGTGGACCGGTTGAACATGCGTGACTTCACGCGTGAACCATGGTGGTATGCACGGGCGAAAACCAAGCTGAAACGTTGCAGTTTCTCTTGTGATTGATGTAATATGTTTCTGTTGTTTCAAAATATTTTCGGTTTATCATGGGATCAACCCAGTGAATTAAATTATGATAAAACACATGACAATCAATCGCCAAACTTAACCTGAATCAACACTCGAAATCTGTGTTGTTCCTGCTGGGTTTGCCATCAAATATTTTCTAAATTTCAAATTTTATGTATCAGGAATTCTGAACGAATCCGAACATGCACACTCAATCCAACTTGTTCACACCTTCCCCCGTCCCCCCGCAGGTGACGGTTTGGCCTTCGTTGCTCAATCTGCAATCGATGACGTCGCAGCTGGAGATCCTTGGCAAGCAATGGATGCAAGTGGCTGGACACCTTGGAACACCAGAGGACCAGCATGAAAAATAAATCTGCCATCAAGTACAGTACGCACCAGAAAAGAATTTAGTAAACATCAGTCGGTGTCATGAAGGGATAAACATAGCAAATACATGCAGGATATGAACACAGCTTAGCATTCGGGCAACATTTTTTGTGCCCTTATTTTGAAGCTATACATATTTCATTACAGTAGCTAATTGAATTTGGGGTTCTTACATTTGCCCATGCAAACATGATCCAAGGTTTCCAGTGTCAAGAGGGCCGTGAAGGGCGTGGATGCTCATGTGAAAGTATCTTGGCCTATGCATGCTCACATAACTGTTTTGTTAGAAAAAGGTCACCCAATGGAAAGACTGATGATGCATATCTTGATGGGCATATTGCCACCTTCACTCTGTCATCGTTAGGAGAGTGGAAGGAAATCTTCTCACCCTTGGACCCGTCGGCTGGGCTCATATTCTGGAAAGAATCCATCCCGAGACTTCTGGCGATTCTGTAGCATTCCGGTGGCTTCTCGGCCAGGAACACTGACTTAGCATGAAGATTGATTTTATTTTGAACTTTTGAACATGTTTGAACATAAGACACAATCAAGTACATCAAAGTCAGGAGAACCAATGAGGTCATCACTGTTGAATACTTGTTCTGATGATATCACAAATCTGGTTTCTCTTCAACAATTCATTTTGACTAAGCATGAATTTGTTCATGTCCCTGGGAAACAAGGAAAGTCAGAGACTCACAGTGCAGTTGAAGTCAAAAAAACCCGAAGGGGTTTGAGCTTCGAGAACTGGATGTATTAGACCCTCTTTCGGTATTGGACTACCTGTTCAACAAGATCAAGATATCCATCCCTGATGCATTGGTTCAACAGTACTGGTCTCATTACAGGTCTCCCGAGATTCAATCTCCGTGGGCCATGGACCACCCTGCTAGTGATCATCACATCCCCCTTGGATTGTATGGGGATGCGTGTCGCATCCGACCAGGGGAAAAAATGATTGGGATATTCTTAAGTTTGCCACTTTGGCGCCCACGATCCATCAGAAGCAGTCGATTTTTGCTGGCAGCTGTCAGGTAAGAACACATGTATCGCCGCAATACCCTTGATAGTATCTTCAGATACCTGGTTTGGAGGTTGAATTTGGCGTTTCAAGCCAAGTATCCATCTTGTAGCATCGACGGCGGTCCATTGCCACCTGGTCAAGCAGCCCGAGCAGGGCAAAACGTGGTTGAGGGAGGCAGAAAGTTTGCCATCACAGAGGTCCGTGGGGATTGGTGCTGGTTCAAAGACATTTTCTCATTCAAGTCGAGCTGGAAAGGAGGTTCTCAGTATCCCGTATGTTTCAAGTGTGAGGCACGGGTTCAGCAACCATTTCTTTACTATGATGTCAAGCCTGGCTCACCTTGCTGGCAATCCGAGCATGATTTGAGTGATTTTCTGCTGAATCAAATGCCCGAACAACCAAGTTGCTAAGCATGACTAGAGATGTTAAGTTTTTCAATTACCCCAAAGAAAAACCGTTTTTGTTGAATTTCTTCGGTTCTAGAATCAAAAATAATTATATACCTGTACTAATAAAGAATTACTCTACTACTTGCAAGTTATTTTGTTTTGGTGGGATAGGTTTTGAACCAGGCCCTTTGGCCCCAATTCTGAGGTCCATTGGTCGCACTGATCGGCTTCCATCCTGGACTTCTGCGTTGGTGCACTATGCACGTGCTAAACCTTGGCCTCCTTTACAGCACTAATGCCAGTGCGCTGATACTTGGCAACACGTGGATGTAACGTACCATGCCACACGCGACAGCAAATATATCTTGCGCTAGTTACAGAATTGTTTTGTTCATCTTTGTCATCGGTGATCTGATCATCAGCGTACTTAGTAACATTAGAAACCACGTGAAACACAAATGTCATGTCAGCATGCCGTGCATGCACTCATACTGCATATCTAGCTGAGGGTGATGCTCTGTGACGACAACTTTTGGCCCGGAAATACATTTGCGGAACAGCTTTCAAATGCCTATGATGACTTCCAAGCCTTCACGCAAACTCACAAAATAGCGCACTCACAAAAGTGCTTTACCCCTCGCTTGGTTGCTTGCATGCACGCACTGAGTACACAAGCTTAATAATGGGCTAGTACCTTATGTCTGTGGTTGAAAGGGTAGACATGGGTCTCAACCCCTAGTGATTGGTTGTCACGTAAGGTTGTGAAGAAAGATGGTTCACTGATGATGACTGCGAAAGCTTACAATGGCCGCTGTATCTTGGAGTGGCTCCATGATGCGATGAGGAGGGCCATTGCCAACCGATCTTTTTCTGATGAGAGAACGCCGCTGGCATACTTGTGCCTGACCCGTTGTTGCACTTACGACAATGCATGCATGGGTATTCAAAGTAGATTTGCGCATGCATTTCAAACTTACCACTGCTGTACTCTGCAATTTCAACCACTTTTGACATTGATTGTGTACCCGCATTTGTAAAGTCATCGGGTCAGATCCCCTGAGAGTCCCAGGGGTTTCCTTAGCACGTGATTTGATAGAAAGACTAGCCTGCGCTACAACATTCAACTAAAGTATCATGTCTGTTCGCGCTGGATAAGTGATATTTACAAGTTAATAAACTTCTAAGGCAGGTCCATCCTTTTGATGCTGAATTGAATTCTAGCCATTGTAAGTAAGTGCTGCAAGCCGTTTGAATCTCAATCAATGAGTTAAAACAATTGAACCAAGGAATGCAATGGCGAGAGTTTTTGGGATCATGGAAAGGGGTAAACGATTCCTGCCGGTGGCCTAATTTTGTTCCTCGCAAAGCAGTGATAACATTTTTACACACCCATTTCAAAAGCAAGAACGCGTCATGTTTGTTGATTTTCAGGTCACCTCAGCAAGCTCAAGATTTCCATGCTGCAGCGCAGACTTACATTGATGCACACATTGAGCTCACGCGGCTCTCTTGCTTGTGCCTTTGCACGCGCTGGTCTGGGCGTGAATAGAATACTTTTTCTGGTGCTTAAAAGCTGACGCGCATACTTAAAACAAACGACTTTCATTACATGTGCACCTACAGCGGGGTATGTAATACTTGTGTGCTTATGGTATATCACAATGTCATATCATGTATTTTACCATGCAAATGTGTTAGGGCGTCAGAGTTCATACCGCCAAAAATGACCTCTCCCCGCTGCTAAGGATTGGAGGGAAACCTCACTGGATCATCCGTCCCAAGATCCACGTGCCTTGGCCACTGCAAAGCTTGGGGCACCAAAGCAGTCAGGATAAAGGGCCCATGGCTGAGCTCATGAATTTCGAAATGAAGGGGCCATTGCTTCTGAGGCTCTTGGCCACGTGGCCAAACTGGCAAGACTTGAAAGTGCTTTGGCAAGATACAATTTTGACAAAAACATACAATTGGTTCATAGATGTCCCAAAATCAAATAACCACTTGCCCTGCTCTTACATGGTCTGAGCTTTAGTTGTATCAACCTTTCTCACAGCCACTGGCTTTAAGGAGAAAACCCGCGCTATGTGCACTGTTTCCATGATGAGGATGGAATGATGTGGCTAAAGCGTGCCTTGAACATCATCAGTTATCATTGAACATAACATGTTGAGTGCAGTGTGTCTTAAAAATGCATGGATGTGTTTGTTGTAGCTTAGGCATTTCTCTCAATGCCCACCAAAATCCACAAAAACAGCGGCGATATTGCATCAAATTGTCCAAGCTCAGGACTGAATTGTCTTGATGGCCATGTCATCAAAGTGCTTTATATGTTGTTTTTTGTTGCACGCTTGACATGTATGTGTGTGTGTGCCCATGCTTGGAGCGCTTAAATGCTTCTCTTCTCTAGGATGTTATCCATGAAATGGCGTGTGGCACAGCTCCTCTACAGCATTCTCGCATAAATCTGACAAAAGACGCAACTTTGACTTCAATGTGAGTTCATGAAACACTCTTGGCGTGAGCGCTGAGCATCCAAGGTTAAATGTCACGTCAGCACAGCGTGCGCTTTAGCAGTGGTCAAAAAGAGTGTGCCCAGTTGATGGATACTGTGTGCTCAGCGTGGTTAGCGTGGTTACGAATGTTGTGGCAAAGGCTAGTCTTTCTATCAAATCACGTGCAAAGGATACCCCTGGGACTCTCAGGGTGTATATATCTATCTGTGTGTGTTTATGCATTGCATAAGGCAAAATCCATCATACCATATTTCATTTGGTTATATTTAACATTATATGGAATGTACGTGTGTGTTGCTAATCTCGATTAACAGCAGTGTATAGCAGTGTTTCAACTTCACTCCATTCTTATTCATGCTTAGCCCATCTTAGCCCAGCCCGAAAAAGAATTCTGGGTTATTGCTGAGTGACTTCAAGTGTGTACTGTACTTTGCAAATCTTTGCCATGTGGGTTTATCATGGTTTATCTGGAAATAGGGCATCCCCAACTCCACTGGTCGATCATCATTTTCCCTCAAAAAAAGGTAATGTTAGGGTGGTACATCATCCCACATTTTCAGACGTGTAAGGTGCGGAAGGCAACCCAGGCCCACTTCACCAGAATTTGCCATTCATCGATTCATCCCTTGGTTCCATGCAATGAGGCATGGTTTCTTATACTCATCCTTCAATAATAATGGCCATGGCCGTGGATTTTGATTAACTACTGTACCTCATACGAATCCACAGAACCTGCGGGATTTTCTTCTCGCTGAGGACATGTTCAAATCCAAAGGGAGGCTGGGGCCTGGCAAGATGGTGGCCATCGACTTGCACACAGGTGAACTCATTGAGAACGAAGCAGTGAAGCAAAAGCCACTGGGCCACACACAAACGCTGATGGAGAACTGCTGGAGTTTGTTGAGATGTTGGATGATGTTGGATGATGCTGGATGATGTTGGATGATGTTGGATGGTATTTTTCTGGTGTTTTTTTCTGGTATCCGTTAGCCATAATTGGAAGACGTGGAGAGGCCATCCATCGCACCAAGGATGGCCTTCAAGAAGCCGTACGGTGATTGGAACAAGGAACGGGCGAAGTTTTGTTCTGATCATGTCCAGCTAGTTTTGAATATATGGAAGTCTTGATTGTCAGATTGTAACTATACAGCTTTTGCATGTAATATCATGTAATATCATGTAATATCATGTAATAGCATGTAATAGCATGTAATATCATGTAATTTTCATCTGCTTTTCTCTAGTATCTCTAGTAATGATAAAACTTATGTCATACCCTAACTCATCTAACTCGATGGCTCACTCCTTAAGATATTCAAATTCGTGAGTGTCATTTTCCCTTTCGCCCCTCGTTATGAGTTTTCCCTAGTGGAATTCCAGAACATCACCATTTCTATCCATTTCCTCTGTAACATTCGACATGTTTTTTCCGGTGGACGTATAATAAAACATCCCCACAGTTACCCTCTGGTTATTTAATATAGCCATGGAACATGGCCCATAGAAATAGATGGTTTACCGTTCTTAAAAATGGTGCCCATTGCTGGTTAAGGGAGCGAAGATACTGCAAATCCTCTGGTCAATCAGCATCATTTTCCCCATAAAAACATAGGCTGCACAGCTATGAAGCCCATTTTCAGACACACCCCAGACTCTTTGTGAAATATCCCGCAAGAATATCTTCCCATTCAAAGATGTTTTGAGAGAGAAATGTAGAGAACTCCATAGAATCAATGGTCATTTCAGGATCCTAAATTGGAGGTACGTTAGTACCATATTTTTGGCCATATTTTCTGGGGATATTCTCAAAAACATAGGCCTGAAAAATAGGCCTCAAAAAAATGGTAGGTACCTCCATTTTTTCTCGGTTCCTGAGTCATGGCCATTGATAGAACTCCTAATTTCTGGTGCTGAAATACCCTCTGGTTATGTCAAAATAGCTATTGAACATGGACCATAGAAATAGTGGTTTTACCCATTAAACATGGTGATTTTCCATAGTTTTTTGTATGTTTACCAGAGGGTCGCCAAATTTTGCCGGGTGATTCCAGCAGGTCTTTCGGGAAGCGATGGAGCCGCAGCCCTTTTTGGCCACGGATCATGAGCTGGTTGTGCCTAAGGCGGTTTGCACATGGGCCTGCCATGGGCCGTGTGGTTTTGGACATATTCATTTGGCATATGAAAATATATAGGGTCCCAGATCTTTCCAAATTTTATGGACTACCCGGTGACTACCCTATGATTTTTTGGGTTGAAATATGTCGAAATGATCCACACTTATCGCAAGAATACGATTCTCGAAAAGCAACATGCTCATTTTTGCATGATCAGAAGAGGTCCCCCGTTGCAAGACCCTCCCCCAGCCACAATCCTTAGGGGACCTCGTATAGCCATGGTCCTTGGGTTTTTCTGGTTTTGTCTGAAAATAACACAACTACCCCCGTTCATCCCATTCCATCTCACACAGTTGATCATCATGTTCCGTCATTTTGGCACAGTTTCTCATCTATATCAGGGCTAAACAAGATTTTGCCATTTCTTATTTCGTGCCATTGGGAAGCTGCTGCTGGTTCTCCCTCCAAAAGGACCGGGCAGCACGGGGACCGGGGCACGAGCAAGGCCATGGAAGAGAATCTGCTGACTCTGCTCTTCGACATGGGCTACACCATTGAGGCGCTTGATTTCGGTTGGTGCCTCCGATCCCCAGATAATGGAGATAATGGAGGTGGGTTTAGGGTTAACCAATCCCATAGGATCCATGGTGCTGCTATATATGGTAACATGGATCCCATCAATATACCCCCAATGTTAGCATATACCATACATGGATCCTATGGGAATTCAATTCATCATGGACTTGCATATATAAATATTATATATATATCCCATGGTTTGGGGCCAATGACTGCCAAGGAATTTGAATAGGGGGTTAAGATAAACATCAGGAAACTGTCAAACATGATCAAACAAGTGGGTTTCAACATGCTCAAACCATCTGGATTATAGCTGATCAAAAAAAAACACATACCTCAAAGAAGGGGCACCAAACATATTTCGAGCCAGTCTAAACCAGGATTTGCAGGGGGGGTATTTAACATGGGATGGGATTGCTTCGTCTTTTTCAACCTACTTGGATGATCCCAACTTTCAGGGATATCAGCCACCAGCGGCCATGGGATATCATGGGATGCTTCAGTTGATGTTTCTTCTTTGATTTTTTTGGCTTCAAATGAAATAGTTTCAGGATGTTTCAGGGGTCATTCATTTCGAGCCATGCCACGCCTTTTTTTTTTTACTGCTTGGTGGTGTCAACCTCTTGGTGTTTTTTCACATGTTTAATCGGAACATCCAGATTGCTTCGATGAAACCGTCAATTTGACCTCATTGTTGGTGGCCAGTCCCATTTTTGCTAATTCATGTCCCTTTTTCCAATCATATCCATTCATGTCCGAGTTTTTCTACCGGTTTTCATGTTGAACCCAACTTTTTTCTTGGGCCAAAAAATGTGTGATCCTTCCATTCCTAGCGCAGGACGTGGAAATGGTGGTGGAAACAATGGCTCAGACAGGAAAGGAACCCACCTTTTGTATGGGAAACGCGCCTCGGCCGCCTCAGATCTTGGTGGTCGGAGTAGCGGAGCTGGAAATGGGCTGGACATGTTTTTCAATGCCAGTTTCACAACATATAAATGGATATACAAATAGATTATATAAATGATGATTTTATAACACACACACACACACATATATATATATATATATAATGATCATGAATTATATATATAATGATCACTATATAACCATCCCGGTGAGGCATTTTTCAGCGACTCTAAGGACAAACCTCTGGCAGTACTCTCCAATCGTGTCCGGGGACTCAGATGGGTACCATGCAAGCCTTGTTTGGTGGTGGCACATGTGGTGAACCTTGGCGAATTGTTCAACAGTTCAACCCCAGGCAATGCGGCAACTCCTTGTTTTTGTTGGCGAATTCCCACTAATTGAGTGGGTCTTCGTAACTAGGGTCGATTAGTCAAACGGGTCGTTTTCATTGGTTTTCTAGGTTATAGGTCCTATAGATTCCTATAGGTCATCTCAGTTTCTGCCTTTTGAGGGGGCTAAGACAATTTATTTTTTTGGCTCGGTCATTTCAATGGTTCCCGGGTCCCTTTTTCGAAACCCGGTGGCTCCAGCTAGGCCCATGTGCTCTATGACTACTTCACCCAGCGCTTTGCACAGGCCAAGGGGAACCAGGGGGAACCATGGATCCAGCGCAGCGACAATGGCCATTGGGATCCATTGGGCCAGCCATTCGAATAGAATCAGGAGGGATTGCCATAGCTATGTGCCATTGTCAGTATCCTGGATATTATCCTCATTCATCCTCATTTTCTCTGGGCAAATATTGATGTAAGACTTCATCTTAGATATATAGGGAAATCCTCTGTCTCTCTTAATATGTGTACATATATATATATACACACTTCACACTTCTATACACATTCCTCTACACATGGCTTAGTAGCTACGTCGTTGTGATGAGTAATCGGTTCCAATCACTAGAACCTATCACTAGTTACTGTCATAGCCATGATGGTCATCGTTCTGTTCGGGGTAAACCTTGGTTGAGTAGGTTAATGGGCCGCAGAATTGTTTGCTATGGAGTTATGAAGGAATACTGAAACCAGCATTGGCCATGATTTCTTAGAGATGATACATTTCCCTGATAGTTACACTGAGTTATACTATGATGTCCCCCAGTTCAGTCCCTATGAGGCCCTATGACAATATGCTACCCTCTGGATTTTGCATAAGATGGCTGAAAAAATCCAACGTTACTGGAGGATGTCGTGACTTCAGTATCTTCAATCGTGGATTCTATCAACTGATACAGTATTCCAATGTATTCCAGTTGTTATATCTTCACTTATTTCCTTGATTCCATGATTAATATTCCATAAATTCAATGTATTATCCCCCATTGTTTTCTATTAGAAATTCCATGATTCCATTGTATATATATATATATATATTCCACCTATAGGAACCCGTGTGATATTCCATGATATCCTGCTTATCCAAAAAAGCTCGTTCGAGGGAGCGAGTTCGCCAGGTAACGAACCCTGCCATCGATCCCTACCGGGAATCTTTGGTGATGTCCATCGAGGTTTACCTGGGACGACAAGGCAGACATCAGGGGACAGGAGGAGCCCAAAGGTTTCAACAAAACTTTGCCAATTTTGGATGATAAAGTGATGGCACCCTGGGGGTAAACAGAAAAGCCAGTTTCAACCGTAGGATCTTCAACGGCCAGTTTCAACCCTAGAGTTTCAACCCCTAAGAAACGCCAGTTTCTTGGAGTATGATAAAGTATGATAAACTGGATGGCTCCCCAGTGAAACCGACGCTGGAGCTTTATGGAGATTCGGGAATCATGTTGGTGAACAAAGTGGCCGTTTACTGCTGGGTCTTGAGAGTTGTCCAGTTTTCGTCTGTGAAGCTGTGGTTCTGCAGAGGTAATTTGATGGCAGAAAGCCCGACGTATTTCCAGAACAAGGCCAACAATCGATTGGTAAAGGCCCGCAGTGCTTTTAGCAAGCTAGAGAGTTCGATTGAAACATTGGCAGTGACATAGGGAACTGTTGGAGCTTAGAATCCTCAGGCCAAATGCAATCATATGGATGAATTTGAGCATGACCTTACGTCGTGACGTCATTGGAATCATGGTTAGTAAGCGGAATCATCCCAAAATGGCTGTATGATAACAGCATATCAATATAACAGCTATTAGGTCAATGAATTACTATAATTCATCCAGAAGAATAGGACAATGATTTTCTACCATTTTCTCATCTCATCGCGTGCCCCTAAAACCTCCATAACCTCAAGCGCTGGTCGCTGGTCGCAGATTGACTCGCCATTCCTCAACGAACGACAGCTCTATGTCGGGATGGCTCAGGGAATTGCGCAGCGAAGATGTGCTCTTTGATATTCAATTGGGATTACCATCTGGTTATTTAACATAGCCATGGGACATGGCCCATTTATAGATGGTTTACCTATTAAAAATGGTGATTTTCCATGGCTATGTTAAATAACCAGATGGTAATTATTGGGGGCTTATTAACCACCAGCAACATCAACCGCAACAATGAAGGAATATCATAGCCATGTGTTTCTTGGTCGCCTTTTTTCCGGGGATGGTTGAATCCCGATATATACATAATCAAAGGAAGTTTAGGGGGAGAAACTTCCGTGTTACGGACTTTTAGAATGTCAGGGAAAGAGTTAGTCAAAGAAAGAGTTAGCAAAGAAAGAGTTCGTCAGGGAAAGAGTTAGTGAGGGAAAGAGTTAGTCAAAGAAAGAGTTAGTCAAACAAAGAGTTAGTCAAAGAAACAGTTAGTCAGGGAAAGAGTTAGTCAAAGAAAGAGTTAGTGAGGGAAAGAGTTAGCAAAGAAACAGTTAGTCAAAGAAAGAGTTATCAAAGAAACAGTTAGTCAGGGAAAGAGTTAGTCAAAGAAAGAGTTAGTGAGGGAAAGAGTTAGTCACAGAAAGAGTTAGCAAAGAAAGAGGTCGTCAGGGAAAGAGTTAGTCAAAGAAAGAGTTAGTCAAAGAAACAGTTAGTCAGGGAAAGAGTTAGTCAAAGAAAGAGTTAGTCAGGGAAAGAGTTAGTCAAAGAAAGAGTTAGTCAAAGAAAGAGTTAGCAAAGAAACAGTTAGTCAGGGAAAGAGTTAGTCAAAGAAAGAGTTAGTGAGGGAAAGAGTTAGTCACAGAAAGAGTTAGCAAAGAAAGAGTTCGTCAGGGAAAGAGTTAGTCAAAGAAAGAGTTAGTCAAAGAAACAGGTAGTCAGGGAAAGAGTTAGTCAAAGAAAGAGTTAGTGAGGGAAAGAGTTAGTCAAAGAAAGAGTTAGTCAAAGAAAAAGTTAGTCAAAGAAAGAGTTAGTGAGGGAAAGAGTTAGTCAAAGAAAGAGTTAGTGAGGGAAAGAGTTAGTCAAAGAAAGAGTTAGTCAGGATATATGAGGTAGTCAAAGAAAGAGTTAGTGAGGGAAAGAGTTAGTCAAAGAAAGAGAAAAGAAAGAGTTAGCAAAGAAAGTGTTCGCTAGGGAACGAGTTAGTCAAAGAAATTGTTCCCGCAATGTAAATGGGATTGCAAGTGGTGCTGGTGGATGAGTTGCCGATGGAGTTTTGAAGGAAGTCTCGCACGAAATGCGTTTTTGAGAGATAGCAGATGCACGAAAGCCTATGTTTTTCCATACAAAGTCCGTCCCAGAACCTCGATGATCTACCTCTGCGGTGCGACGGTTGCGAGACGGTCTCGTGTGTGGTCGGATCATTCTCGGATCATGCTCGGACCATGGTCGGATCGGTTCCGAATTGTAAATGGGGTTTCAACTGTTTTTCGTGCATGTGCGGTCGACAGAATTCCATTGTGATTTGCAACTGTAGGATCGTTCCCGCATTGTCAATGGGGTTGCAAGTGGTGCTGGTGGATGAGTTGCCGATGGAATTCCATTGTGATTTGCAACTGTAGGATCGTTCCCTCACTGTAAATGGGATTGCAAGTGGTGCTGGTGGAGGAGTTGCCGATGGAGTTTCGAAGGAAGTCTCGCACGAAATGCGTTTTTGAGAGATAGCAGATGCACGAAAGCCTATGTTTTTCCATACAACGTCCGTCCCCGAACCTCGATGATCTACCTCTGCGGTGCGACGGTTGCGAGACGGTCTCGTGTGTGGTCGGATCATGCTCGGATCATGGTCGGATCGGTTCCGCATTGTAAATGGGGTTTCAAGTGTTTTTCGTGCATGTGCGGTCGACAGAATTCCATTGTGATTTGCAACTGTAGGATCGTTCCCGCAATGTAAATGGGATTGCAAGTGGTGCTGGTGAATGAGTTGCCGATGGAATTCCCATTGTGATTTGCAACTCTAGGATCGTTCCCTCACTGTAAATGGGGTTGCAAGTGGTGCTGGTGGAGGAGTTGCCGATGGAGTTTTGAAGGAAGTCTCGCACGAAATGCGTTTTTGAGAGATAGCAGATGCACGAAAGCCTATGTTTTGCCGTACAAAGTCCGTCCCCGAACCTCGATGATCTACCTCTGCGGTGCGACGGTTGCGAGACGGTCTCGTGTGTGGTCGGATCATGCTCGGATCATGGTCGGGTCATGGTCGGATCGGTTCCGCATTGTAAATGGGGTTTCAAGTGTTTTTCGTGCATGTGCGGTCGACAGAATTCCATTGTGATTTGCAACTGTAGGATCGTTCCCGCAATGTAAATGGGTTTGCAAGTGGTGCTGGTGGATGAGTTGCCGATGGAGTTTTGAAGGAAGTCTCGCACGAAATGCGTTTTTGAGAGATAGCAGATGCACGAAAGCCTATGTTTTTCCATACAAAGTCCGTCCTCGAACGTCGATGATCTACCTCTGCGGTGCGACGGGTGCGAGACGGTCTCGTGTGTGTGGTCGGATCATTCTTGGATCATGGTCGGATCATGGTCGGATCGGTTCCGCATTGTAAATGGGGTTTCAAGTGTTTTTCGTGCATGCGTGGTGGACAGAATTCCATTGTGATTTGCAACTAGGATCGTTCCCGCAATGTAAATGGGATTGCAAGTGGTGCTGGTGGATGAGTTGCCGATGGAGTTTTGAAGGAAGTCTCGCACGAAATGCGTTTTTTTCTCCATTTTGGCGCTAGTGATTTTCCTTCTAAAAATCCTTTTAAAAAGTGCTTCAAAATCGTCTTTTTTTCGCTCTGGCGTCGAGATCCGGTTTTGAAGCTACAATTTCCGACGCCATTGCGCGTAGTTCTCTTGTGTTTTGCAACTCAGTCTCCGCAGATCGCATTGGAATGGCTGCGTCAAGGTTGCTTCTTGCTTTGGCTGCATGCGTAATGTCTTTTGCAGCTGGACTTCGTAAATCGTCTTGGAGTGGCTGCATGAAGGCTGCGAAATAAATTTGTTAGCAGATTTTCTCCATTTTGGCACTAGTGTTTTTTTGTTGCGCGTAGGTTTAGAGCAGTGGGAAGTGTGGGGCGTAAAGAGTGCAGTGTGAAGTGTGAAGTGTGAAGGAAGCAGTGGGAAGTGAAAAGTGTGAAGTGTGGAGTGTGAAGTTTCAGTTTGGAGTGCGAAGAGCGCAGTGTGAAGTGTGAAGTGTGAAGTGTGAGGTTTGGAGTGTGAAGGAAGCAGTGAGAAGTGTGAAGTGTGGACTGTGAAGTGTGAAGTGTGGAGTGTGAAGTTTAAGTTTGGAGTGCGAAGAGCGCAGTGTGAAGTGTGAAGTGTGAGGTTTGGAGTGTGAAGGAAGCAGTGAGAAGTGAGAAGTGTGAAGTCTGAAGTGTGAAGTGTGGAGTGTGAAGTGTGGAGTGTGAAGTTTCAGTTTGGAGTGCGAAGAGCGCAGTGTGAAGTGTGAAGTGTGAAGTGTGAAGTGTGAGGTTTGGAGTGTGAAGGAACCAGTGAGAAGTGAGAAGTGTGAAGTGTGAAGTGTGGAGTGTGAAGTGTGGAGTGTGAAGTTTCAGTTTGGAGTGCGAAGAGCGCAGTGTGAAGTGTGAAGTGTGAAGTGTGAGGTTTGGAGTGTGAAGGAAGCAGTCAGAAGTGAGAAGTGTGAAGTGTGAAGTGTGGAGTGTGAAGTGTTGGAGTGTGAAGTTTCAGTTTGGAGTGCGAAGAGCGCAGTGTGAAGTGTGAAGTGTGAAGTGTGAGGTTTGGAGTGTGAAGGAAGCAGTGAGAAGTGAGAAGTGTGAAGTGTGGAGTGTGAAGTTTGAAGTTTGGAGTGCGAAGAGTGCAGTGTGAAGTGTGGAGTGTGAAGACTTTGCTTCGTCTCTCGCTGAAAAAATCAAACGGTTGTCGAGGGAAGGACACGGTCGGGACAGGGTGTCTTTGAACTATAGGTCATTTATGTTTGGGAAACTTCCGCCGCCGGCTTGCCCGGGTCTATGTTATATAATTATATATAAATACCGTTTTCTGTGCATGATTTCAACCCTTTGGAGCTGTTTAGAACATTTTCCACGATCCATGCATATCCATGCTGGGAGTTTGATTGGTTTCTGGCTGGCTGCGTCGGGCCATGTCGGGTCCTCCAGAATCCGAGAAGAGGAAGATAACATAAGATAACTATTGCCTCATATGCTGCCTCATATGCTGCCTCATATCTTTGCATTATCTTTGCATGAACGTGAAAACATGTGAAAACACGCCACCCACTTCGGGCATTCCACCGCACCAGCCTGGTACAAGCTGATCGCCATTGGCTTGGTTTCATTTTAGCCCAGCCGAGAGCTTCTTAACGGATCAAGCTAGAGGCCGCGATGTATCGCGATTGCGTGACATTGTCACGTGAAGTCATATGATCAATCATGATCCAATCATAGATCATCATGGATGTTAGAATCTGATAGAATCTGATAGAAGTTAGAGTTAAAAGTGCAATATAGTGCAATGCAGGCACTGTATAATTTCTGTCCAGTCAGTCGATGAAGATCACTGTAGTTGAAAGCTGGCCCGCTGCTAATTTGTTCGCAGATGCACAGATCCGTATTGGGTCAACCTTGGGGGTGGGGTGATTTCATTTGCATAATTTAAACATGAATTATAGAGACTAATATGTATGAATATGTAGCAATGTAGTTCTGCCCAGTTGATTCGCACTAGTCACTACTAGATTTACATTTTTGGGGAATGATTCGCCGTGACCATATATTGTTTTAGAAATCTCTCCGCCTCTTCAGCCATGGAACCTGTGCCCGTTTTCGATCCAGACAACGGTGCCACATGGCTTCAGACCAGCGACGCGGTAACCATCACGGTGCCGTTGGGTGAAAAGCCGCTGGTTTCGATACATCCCCAGCGTTTGGAAGTGGAAGTAGCAACGGGCGGAGCGGAGTCCAAGATTTTGGATCACGAACTCTTCGCGCAGGTGTGGCTGAAGAGATCTGGGCCCGGGGGCCTTTTTGAAGCATTTTGGATGCCGCAAGAGTCCAAGAGTTGACAAGTTTCCGAAGTGAGATTGAAAAGCTGGTTGAAGCAGCGCCAGGATTTCATATGGGTTTCAATGCTTCAGCTAGAGTGAGTAAACTTTATGTCCAACTCCAAGTGACCTTATTTTGTGGTAGGGGAATCCTATTTTTGCACCCTTTAACTGCTCCTATTTTTTCTTGACCTTGCTTACCACCAATCACCAATGCCTTGGGAGGTGAATGTGGAGGAGTCTACTTGGACATTTTCTGACGGACATTTGGTGCTTGAGCTCATCAAGAAAGCTCCTGACTGGTGGCTGTCGGCGGTTCAGGGAGGACGACTCGGACCTGATCCCAACAAGACGCCAGCTCCACAGATGCAAAAGTTGGATGCCAAGATCGGGGAACAGGTCGTGAACAAGAAGGACTATGAGGGGAAGAGCAAATTTCAATGGTGAAATTGAATGAAATTGAGATATTTGAGATGCACATGTGACAACAAATTCAAAAAGACAGCATCAACAAGGTCTTCATTCTTGAACATGGTTTTGCTGGTCGCTGTCGCCGTTTGATCTTTGATGGAGATGGCCATAGATGGCCTGGCTTGTGCTGGATCACGAAAATGTTCACCTTGGTGAGTCAGGTCCACGTGAGTCAGGTCGTGGAAGATGTTTTTCGGAAACCATGTGCTGTTCCCTTGTAGGTGATGGTGGTATGTGTTGGTCGTCATTGCAGCTTGTAAGACATCTCGCAGAATCTCGCATGGAGAAAGCAGATAAGAAAAGGAGCTAGCGCATGATGAAGGGTGATGAAGGGCGAGCTCATTATGGACAAAAAAGTGCACAGAATGAAAAGCACCACCCCACCTACATCCACCTACCCTATATTTCCATCCGATATTTCCCGCGCATTTGATCCAGATGGGGAGCTTCCTAGGCCATCAAGAACAGTGGCCTGCTGACGGTTCAGCTCAGCACCAGATACGACCCCTGGATCCAAGATGGGTTCGGATCGGGAGGATCGGGAAGGATTCAGGAGATTTCGGATGTTTTTTTTTTTTTGATTGGTGGTTTCAAACATGAATTTTTAATGGGAAAGATCCACAATTTTTAATGGGTAAATCAACTATCAATGGATCATGTTCAACTATAAATGGATAGTTTTTTGTTTTCCATTTCAGATATGAGATAATATGAGATAATCATGGGATGTCATCCTTCCCATTGACTGACTAATATTTGACTTCCATATTTTTCAAGATGGTTATTGCACCACCAAGAAGTTTTTCTTTGTTGTTTTCGACTTCTCCTATCTGATTTTGTTGACACTGCGATGGTCCCGACCACGTCCAAGGACTTCAGCAAAGGACCCGGAGCTTTGGAAAAGGCGGTGTCCGACATTTGCTACGAGGTGCCTGCGGGCATCGCCAGCCCCATGAGGAGTTGTGCCCCTGCTTTCGTGTTTCAATGTGTGTCATACTGCTGTAATACTGGTATTTAATATATTATTTATTATATATAATATGGACGAAGTTTATTGTGCTGCATGTGCCACATAGTTCTACCAATTGAAAGTATTGACTCCACATGATGACTAAAAGCCTGGACTGTTTGCGGAACAATCCAGCGAGGCATCGAATGCCATTCGCAACTTGCCTGCTGCTTTGGTTGGGAGTTGAGCTTGGGAGTAAGCAAGGTTGTCACCTTAGTGTTGCAGTACCGTGAGATATGATGCAAACATACTATACAATGGCATGAGTCACGGCATGAGATAGGCTGGCAGGTCCTACATTTACAATCAATGCATTTAGACAAAATGTCCATCCAAACCCAACCTATATGTATATAATTTTGTATTCATTGAAATCCGGTAAACCATACCAATCTAAACATGAAACAAAAACTAGACAGGTCAACTCCACCATAACCAAACCATACCAATCCCATGTCACGATTTCCAGGGGATGGGCGATGGGAACCATCCCCAACTGGAAGTTCATTGCATTAGAAACCACCAATGGGATGGGGTCCAAAAATGGGATGTAGCCGAAGATTCCATGTTCCCATCATATTCCCACCTATTCCCCGCTTAGCCTCATATATTCATATATATTCTGTATTCCCATGTGTTCCCAACTCAGTTTTCCCTTCATTCTCCCATCACATTCCCAAGGATGCCCGTTGAAGTCCCCAGAACATGAGTTTTTATTTTCTTCCCTTCGCTTATCTTCCTAGAGGTGCACACAGCGATATATCCAAGTCATATATCCATGTTCTTAGCAAGTTCCCCTTAGCAGCCCGGAATTGGTTGTAGGATACCCCTCTAATTTGAACTTAAAAACCATGGTCCTAAAACAACAATCACATCCAATCCGTTCAAATTGGGCAAAAGCACTCTGAATCCAACATCCAACGTCCAACTATACCTTATGGATCCAAACACCTCCTGAGAAGGTACTTAACTCATCTGAACTCCTCAAATCATACCCCCAACATCCCCAAACACTAAGAAGGCCAAAAGTGTTGAAAACATCTGAAAACAGCAACTTTTTGTGTTAAAGATCCTCAAATCATGGTAGCCTTCTGTTCACCCCAAAATAGCTACGCGATTTTCGCAAGATCATCGCTCCAGGCAATGGTGCGGAGCTCATCATTTTGTCGGACGTGCCGCGGAACTCCGACTTCTTAGCCTTCGACCTGGAGGCTCATTTGTTAAAAGACATGGAGGATTTACAACCCATAGGATCCATGTATGGTATATATGCTAACATTGGGGGTATATTGATGGGATCCATGTTACCATATATAGCAGCACCATGGATGCTATGGGCAATGGTTTCACCATGGTTTTCTGTTTTTTTTTTGTCGCCGTCGTCGTTTCTTTTTTCCTCCGAAGACAAAAGCACAGAGGAATAGAGAGAGATTACTGAGTTGCGGTTTACAGGAAGGGGGTGGCCACAGTTTTTGCGATGCAAATATGGGCTGCAAACAAATCCAGTCTGTGAGTAGAGAGTTTTAGTGGTTGAAGCAGAAAATCTCGTGGACAATATAGCGCCACGCTTACGAGCCTTTTTGAATGAGGATGATTCTCGACTAGAGAGAACAATTTTCTAGGTTCCATATATGTCTTATTGGTGTGTGAGGGGTTCGAAACCATGCTCTTGTTGAAATTCAAGAGATGGCTAGGGTTTCCCAAAGGGTCATTCAACACTCTTAAGACTCTTAAGTCTTATATAAGCACTTTTGGGCAAGCACGGTACCAGATTACCATGTCCAGCCTCTAATAATTATCAACCGACTTGCCAGAATCCCTCAGGGGCCAATTGTATGGTTTCTGATGGTGTTTGCATCTCAAAAATTTTCCTTCCAAACTGTCTAACCCCAAAGAAACGTGATGTTTGTGATGTTTCAAAAGAACTATGGAAATGTTGTGACCTTGTGAGTGGCATGGTCGTGACCCCCTGGCAAGATGCCCCTACTTTTGGGTCGAAAACAGGACCCGGATATCGGTTTGGAGAAGTCGGTGCTGGCGATACCACCTCTACTGGCCGTGGGTGCCGTGCATCACTACCTCATACAGCAGGGCTTACGCACCATGTCCTACTTTTTTTTCCATGTTTTTCATCACATTTTCGGATCACCTCCGAAGATAACTCGTTTATTGATGTTTATTGATGTTTATTGATGTTTATTGATGTTTATGCATTCGGCATTCGGCGCAGAAGCGATTTGGAGTCCCGGCTTGGTATTGATCTGAGGTACTCAGCACTAGTAGTTATATGGTACCCTGCGATGATTTATCGGGTTTGGAAGCAGGTAGATGTAACGAAAAGAGGCGTCGGGGGGATCTGGAGGCTTCAGCTCCCTTTCATCCCAGGCACGCAAGCATCCTTGGTGGTGAGCACGGGCCAATGCTGGAGCACACATCATTTTGCTTGCTTGATTGGTTGCTGGGACCTGTTTTTAGGAACTGGTTTATATCGTATTGGTTCATTATAGTATTCATTTTTTTGGGGGGTGGGATACTTGAAAAGATCATTCTTGGGGGGGCAACAGATTTTTATCTGAGCGCTAGTTCAGTTGGCATCTGTTTGGGATTCAGGCTATGGTGCATCGGCAATTTGTCCGTACCTGTCTCTTGCGCACATTCGCAGATGGCATGCAACTGACACTGGGCACGGGAGGTGCAGAGGCACCAGCTGGCAGGGGGTCGGCGATGTTTCTCCTTGTCCATTGCAAACGTGTGACCAAAGGAGTGCTTCTTTCGTCCCCAAAAATGAGCATTGTAGGGCCAAATATTGGTTGCAAGGAAGCCAACCTAGAAACTAGAAACGATGATTTTAATTGACTTTAACACTCAATTTTTTTGATTTTTTTTGCCTCCAAGTCAGATCACTCTTGGCAAGCATACAAGTAATTGCTCTCCATCAGCCAAGGGGTTTAAACTGAGACGCCGACATTTCCTGCGTCCATACCTCATCACAGCTCCCAATATTTGCAGCCATTCCCGGAATTGGACAAGAAAATTCACAGGAAACTATGGGAAACCGTGATTTTCAACGGGAAAATCGTTATTTTCACTGGGAAAACCCGTGCTTTCCTCTAGGTTTTCCCTTCAACCACTCCATGCACAGATCCCAAGGACAAAGGTGCTGCCAAAGCGGATGGACAGACGGTCGAAGCTTGGAACCATTTGGAACCACGCGGAACTTTCCAGGCGATCCGAGAATTGCAAAGAATTCGGCAACCTGGTTATAGATAAATAGAGTATATAGATCATTCTAGCGAATTATAGATACAATTGTAGAATATCAATGAATATCATAGATAAGTATAGATATTATAAATCATTATAGATCGATCATTATACCATAGAAAAGCATAGAAAAAAACATAGAAACAACCCTTTCATGGGACATGTTACGCTTCAAAAAATCAGATGGTAAATCATTAAACAGCCTCCCGTAAGGAAGAGCTTCAGAGCAACTACAGAGCCACTTGTGCCGATTGGTGCTGCTTGGATGTGCATCCCAATAACTGGTAATGGTTAGTTCGCCCAATTCGAAACAGGATGTGCACCTTCTAACGTTTGGTAAACTGCCAGTTTGCTATGGAAATCACCATCAAGATAATTGCGGAAATCATCAATCAGTTACAATAAGATCAGTAAATTGCTGGTTGGTGGTTTCACACATTTTTTTATTTTCCATAATATATGAGATGTCATCCTTCCCATTGACGAACTCATATTTTTCAAGATGGTTGAAACCACCAACCAGATTGGATTAAATTAGTAATTTTCCATAGCTATGTTCACTTACTGGAGGGTTCACGGAAGTGGAAATGGGAACAACACAGACGGCGCGTCGATGGACACTGATTGTGATGCACATCCAAGGGGGGGATCGGGTGGTACTTGGAGGATGGCCACACTTAGCAACTGGTTGACTGAAGTTATAACAATAACCTATACCCTCTGGTAAATTAACATAGACCCTGAAAATGACCAATTTATAGTGGAAACTAGTCTTCCAATCCCTATCTGGCAGGGTCTATGTTAATTTACTGGAGGGTACTTGTTATATAAGTGGGATAAGCCTAGGAATCGGGGATTTTCGGATTTTCTCGACCATCACTTCAACTGGCTTAAGGTCGGTGTTTTTTCCCCATGTTTCATCTATGGTTTCACCTATGGATTTCCAATCGGAAATCCATGGAAATCCAGCATTTGTCAATGGGAATTCCAGGATCCTAAAATGGAGGTACGTTAGTACCATATTTGAGGCCATATTTTGTGAGGATATTCCCGTAAACATAGGCCTCAAAAATAGGCCAAAAGTATTAATGGTAGGTAGCTCCAATTTCAATTTAGGTTCCTGAAATCGCCATTGGGGACTTCCAAGGATGCGGTGAATGCAGGTCTGAAGAAGATCATGTCCAAGATGGGCTGCCCGGCAGTGAAAATGTCGTCCTGGGATGATGAACATGATGAAGATTTTATGGGAAAATCAGGATCCAGACTCATTATACTCATTCTTGGTTGATCTTTCTTCGTTTCGATAAAAGGGATTGGGATGGATTGGATAGATAGAGTTATAGAGTTGTACTTGGGTGAGCATCCCAAGAACGCTAAAGTAGGAATGTGTGGAGTGGCCCCGTTTCGATCTCTCCAGAATGGTCTAGACTTGCAAAATGACCAGGATGAATGCACCATAATGCACCTAAACCAACATGGACCCCCCCAAATAGCCATACTGCATCCAGTAGGAACATCCGGAGTTCGAAAGCTCAAAGTGGGCTTCCGGAGTTCGCAAGTTCAGATGACCCACGACATCTTGATTCAGGTGGCACCATGAGTGACCTAGCAAGGCAGACTAAGGCAGGCAGGCCCTGCCGTTGAACCGTTGTCATTTCCCAGCAACATACGAGGCATTTCGGTCCTGGAGTCCTACCGTGGGGCGCAGATCTTCCAGCACCTCGGCTGCCAATGGGTCAAACCATGTCAAAGCTTCATTTTTCACAAAGGTTAGTGATTCATGAAAAGTCAGGTGCATCGGCTTAGACAAGAAGGTCATCGAACGAGCCTTCACAGGCAGGGAAGATCCTGGGCTTGGGTGATCCCGGAGGTAGTAGAGGCTATTAGTTCAGCGGTGACGTGTCAAAAGGGGCTGTTGAAAGAAGCCGAAACAATGGCAGTCAGAGAGAATCCTGGGATATGGGTAATCTCTCCAAGACAGTTGGATGATGTTCAAATGGGATGATCTAGTAAACATGATGAACCCAAACAACAAATATAGGCATGTCCTATTCCACCATTTGGTGCTCTGCGCCTAGAATTATTGGATTTGTGTGTAGGTTTACCACATATTTCAATCATGTTTTGAACCTAAGGAACCCATTTTGTTCCAGCTGACTTCTCATTCGTTCCTTGCGATTTTGCATGCAGGTACCCCTTCAACCTGTGAAGCCCTTGGCTTTACCGACATCGCCAATGAATCCATGATGTTGCTTGGATCTCCAGTCATCAATCAGAAAAAACTCGAATCTTTCTGAGGTCAAGAGCCAGCTGGATCTCCTTCGACCAAAAATCATGGGAAAACGCCTTCAACATCACCATTTTCAACCATGAATTTCTCACCATCGCAGGTTGAGAAACTTCTTCACGTTGGATCCATTTATTCAGCATCCCCTTACCGCGGTCAGGTTCCACCGTCGCGCCTTTCCAGAACTCGATGATACGCCGGTGGCTGAGAAGTTGGAATTCGCCGGGTGGATGCTTGGACCGGAGCTGTGCGGCGAGGTCAGAAAGGTTCCAACATGGTCACAGTATGTTCCAGTTACATCCAGTTACATTATCTGGTTGGCGGTTTGGAACCATGGAATTTTATGACTTTCCATTCAGTTGGGAATGTCATCATCCTAAGTGACGAACTCCATCTTTTTTTCAGAGGGGTAGAAAAAAACACCAACCAGTTATTCCACTGGAAATCAGCGCCGTGTTGATGCATTATCTTAAATTTGAAAGCCTGATCACTAATCAGCAAAGCTAGGTTTAGTACATTTGACATGTCAGATCATGTCAGTCTCAGTGCTCTCCAAGAAGCAGAGGGATAATTCATGATAATTCCTGTCCTATCCTTCTTGACTAAGATAAGATTAGTGTATCTAAAGTGATGTGGCCGTAGCCATGATGAGAGGGGTTGTGACGGTCCGACATGATTCAGTTGGGATGCCCTCACTGTGTGGTTGGTCTATTCAAGTCACGGGGATTTGATTTTTCTAACATTGACGGAATCAAATTATATACATGCTTACATGCTAGTAATTATATATATGTGCTAAATATAATATATACATCTATAATCATACATATATGTACATATATTTATAAATATACTATATTTATATGAAAATGTTATATGTATGGAAGAGATATATGATTCCAGAAGTATTGTAAAGTGCCCTCCGGTGTATCGTTCCCAATTCCCAATAATTGTTGCCATGTTCCACATCCAAAACGGAAAATTGTGGGGCGTGGTGAAATGATTGGACATGACTGGACTCGAACCCTTTGGTCCCAGCCTACCCCATTAGGCCCTAACCTACTCCCTACCCCCTTACCATTTGATCACTTTTTGATGTACCCTCTGGTTATGACTAACAGTTTGCCACGGTATAGATGGCCCATAGAAATAGATGCTTTACCTGGCTTTACCTATTAAAATTGCATGGTGATTTTCCATGGCGAAGTGCTAGTCATAACCAGATGCTGGTTGGTGGTTTGGAACATTTTTTTTTTTTATTTTCCATATGTTGGGAATAATTCTCCCAACTGACCAATATTTTTCAGAGGGGTGGCTCAACCACCAGCCAGTATGGTATTTGATCTCGATCTGAGGTACAAGTATATCAAGGCCAAAGGTGAATTCCACATGAACAATCCTGAGATGGCGAGGGCTTTGCATCGCGCCGTGCGCGACAATGAACCCTTGGCCTACGAGGAGAACCTCATGCCCTTGGCCAGCCAAATTCTAAAGGTTGAGTTATGATAGTTAAATGATTGTATATTGTATATCGTTGAATCATCCCAGTGTTTCCTATGTTCATTTGTTTTTTATAGTGATAAACACCTATTTTATCCAATTTTGAAAGTAATAAAGTTTTAATCAAGGGTGGTACATAACCAAAAAAACATATTGTTTTCTATCATTTTCTATATGTTTCATGTATGTTTTTCGTGTTTCTATTTATAGTCAGCTTGGAGTAGATATGGAAAAATCAATCTTCATTAAAATGAGATGAATCTGAAAATTACCATATTCTATCTATAGATCAGGAGGATGATATTTTTTGGGCTTAAATCACTGGGCACCGCAGGAGTACCGACGTCAGATCATGGACGGCCGCCCCGTGACCGCCATCCGCGACCTCTTGGACTTCAGCTCAGATCGGCAGCCGGTGCCGCTGGCCGAAGTGGCGCCTCGGTCGGATGCGCCCCGGGTTCCCCCCGTTTGACCATGGAATTATGATGATTTGACCATAACCCATAGGATCCATGGTGCTGGTATATATATATATATACTAACATAAAGGGGGTATATTGATGGGATCCATGTTACCATATATAGCAGCACCATGGATCCTATGGGTAACAAATTGTAGTTTCACCCTAGAAAAAAATCTAGTTTCACCATGAAACATGGTCATTGAACGTGGTTTAACATGATTTAACCATCAGACAGGGTGATTTTCAGCCATTAGAAAATTGTGATTAACAATTAACCATTAATTGAACATATTGGGGATGTCACCAACTTTTAGTTGGGAATGAAACTAAGAATATAAGAAAACAACTGGATGGTGCCCCAATCCATAGCTAAGTTGAAATTATCACTAGTATTTAGATGCGAGATCTTGTAAAGAAGAGAATTGCTCAGAAGAAAGGCCTTGGGAACGGAAAGAGTGTGGTAAGGGATGTTATGGGAAGGATCAGATGCATGCCTGGAAGAAGAAAAAACTGCGTACGAAAAGAGAATTGTAGCGAAAGGGAAGGCTGGCTTAGAAGATGGACGCTTGCTTATGGAAAAAATGCTCTAACGAAAGCCCGTACTTGGGCAGAAATGCCGGTTCACGAGAAGGGCGCTCTTTCGGAAGAATATCTTGGACGGGTTAGGATGAACCGACAAGTTGGGGAACATACTACGGAGATGCCATGAGATGCCAACGGCAGCCCCAAGCCCCTTGGATCCCTTGGAAACTCCGATAGTGGGGACCGGTGCCAGGAAGATGCCGTCTCCATTTGCAGCCGCTTCGTGACGGGCGGAATGTCCTTGGGCGCTTTGTCCCGGGAAGCGCACGAGGTGATCGCACTGGGGATGAGCCTTGGTCAAGTCGTCCCCGGGAATGGCGAAATTGGCCAATTAGCTCATTTTGGGCCCTCAAACCCATGTGAAATGCATCTAAAACTGGGAGTTTCATAGGATTCCAGTGACCATGAGGATTTAAGCTGCTGCCAATCAACAGCACGTTGGGCGCCAAAAGAGTTCTCCTGCAAGCTGGCGATTGGACCATTTCATACCATTTCAATATTTCATTTATAATATACAGGGTCTTGCAGCTGAACCCTGAAATGGAGAAACCTATTTGAATATCATATATTGGATGAACATCCCCCCAAAAAAGTTATGAGCAAATTCTTTGGTATGTTCTGGTTTTGCAGCTCTTAAAACTCGAAGATGCAGGGTGGATTGGCAAACGTCCCCGCTGAGGAATCGAGTTGGAGGGATGAGCAACAGTGGTGAGGGTGGAGAGGATCCTCTTCGCTACAAGCCCCTTCAGGATCTTGGCAAATGATCAGATGACCCGTGAAGCTCTCAATGTCTGTTGAAACAAGTGGCACAAGTCCCTTCCTGTGAACATGGCAGGGAAATTGCCCAATTTCATGGGCATTCAAATAGGAAAATCAATGAAAATCATGGAATTCCATGGGCCGTGTTGACACATGGCTTGGTTGAATTACTGGAGGGTATTGCAGGACGTGGATGAGGACGGGCATTCTGCATCCTTCCCGCATTTGCAGGGTCTGAAGCTCAACTAATGCAAGGGGTGGGGGATGAAGTTTGCTTCGCTGGGGGTAATTTTTTATGTGTGGGCAATGCTGGGCATGCGGGACTTTTTGATACTTTTTGTATGAATCCAATCTATACCCTCTGGTAATTTAACATAGCTATTGAATATGGCCATTTATAGTGAGTTTTCCCATTTAAAATGGTGATTTTCCATAGTTATGATGTATGTTTACCAGAGGGTATATAATCTATGACTGAGCACTTCTATGGGGGTACCAGAATCCACCTGCCCAGGTCCCAGGTTTCAACTCCGCATCTCCGCCGAGGTCTGAGAAATGGCGATTCCGCTACTTCGGCCACCAAGCAGGCCACATTGATCCACGTTGAATCTCATGTCCATGGTAACTTGCTTACAAGTTACAACTTCCGACTTCTGACTTTGGAGATATCCATGTAGATCATCTAGTATATCCCATTGTATCCCCACCTTTTGATAATTTTCCCAGCCCTCTCTGGTTGCCCAGTTTTTTCTTGCTGAACTCCCTGTGTGTTCTCCTCTGTTTTCCAGGTGGCTTCCGGCCGGTTTGGCGTGACGGCAGCGTACCTCCGGAGTGCCTGGAACAAAAACTCTGGTTTGCATAGGGGTCTCACCAGCAAAGATGAATTTTGAAGAATCCAAAGGAGGGTGTCAACCACCAAAGATTCAAACAAGAGTAGAACGACTGCCACATGGAAAACAAGCTTTGGCGTGCAAGCATCAACTGCGGCAAGCATCATGGTTTATCATGGTTTATCCACCTGGATTTCATCATCAAAAACAAAAATTAGGCAAAATGGGGCACCAAATAGTTAACAAATCAGGCACACGGCATACGCGGACCCAACCAGCATTCTGGGGAAGTCAGTACCCAATTCTGACCCGTACTCATCGTCTATTTTTTTGATCGGTGTCCCAATCCCAAACTGATTGAATCCCCCTTTTGGATCTTTATGAGTTTTATGCTCCTCAAAATGCAGTTAGACTTCACCAAGTGTTCCGCAAGGTGCAAAGCAGCTGGAGATAAAGCTGCTTGGTTCGGTGAGGGGCAGATCTCCAAATCGGGCTTCAGCGGGATGTGACCGGCTCCCAGGATCGCGCAAGGGGCGAAACCGGGTGAAGGTGGACAATTGCCGGGCCCAAAGGCGCAGATGTTGGTTGTCACTTAAAGAAATGGCAGTGTGTCAAAACCTTGTACCCCTGGTGAACATCAAAATAGCTGGTAAATGGACGTTCATCCCCCTAAAAATGGTATTAATAGGTATTGATCCATACCCAAATGGCTCTTGAAAAGGGAAAAAATTGGGAAACCCATATTTTCCAAAGTGATTTGGGGCCAAAAAACTGATCTTGGGGCTCGTGGCATTCCATCTCAGGGTGTGACTTGCGCAGCTTCTCCTTGGCAGTTTGGTAGCGCACAGGTGGATGAATACATCGCCCGGCTGCGAAATAGCGTACCGAAGCAGCAGAGGGTAGCAGAGTGCGAGCAATTGGCAGGTTTTTGGAAATACCCTCTGGTAATTTAACATAGCTATAGAAAATCCACCCATTTTTTAGTTCGGTAAACCCAGGTAAACCATCTATTTCGATGAACCATCTATACCATAGCAAACTGTTAGTCATAACCAGAGGGTACGTGGGAAGGTGGTTTGGCTTTCAGGTCATGGTGGAGAACAGGTGTTTGATTATGGTTTTCCTCTTCCCCTAATGGTTCTATAATGTTCTATATAGATCTAGATCTAGATACATCCTAGATTCATATAGATCTAGATCTAGATAGATCTAGATTCATATAGATCTAGATCTAAATAGATCTAGATTCATCTAGATCTATCTAGATCTAGTATTATCTAGTAATATAGTCAGAATGTCATTTCTCAGAAGAACCATGTTTTTTTTGGAGCCAAAAAATCCGACCGTGATCGCTTCCGCGGATCTTTCTTTTCGGGCCTGGTGATCCCCTTGGGGCCTGCGATGTTTTGTTCTCCTGTGAAACATGGCTCCAGATTAGATAACTATATGATACTATTTATAATATACTATCTATAATCACGAAAGCTAGCGTCAGCTAGCTGGAGTCTTCTTGCTTTAGCAAGTATTCCGGGGGCTGCTCAAGGACATCACGTGATTTTTCACGCGAAAGGGGGGGACCCCCCCCCACCACCCCACCACCCCCCACCACCACCACCACCAGCATCATCATCATCATCATCATCATCATCATCATCATCGTCATCATCATCGTCATCATCATCGTCATCATCATCATCATCATCATCATCGTCATCATCATCATCCTCCTCCTCCTCGTCATCGTCCTCGTCATCGTCATCATCATCATCATCATCATCATCATCATCATCATCATCATCATCATCATCATCATCATCATCATCATCATCATCATCATCATCGTTATTCAATTACATTTTATCATTATTGGCAATTATTGGCATTATCACGAAAGCTAGCGTCAGCTCGCTAGAGTCTTCTTGCTTTAGCAAGTATTCCGGGGCTCCCCAAGGACATCACGTGCTTTTTCACGCGAAAGGGCCCCCCCCTGCCCCCTCCCCCATATATATCATTGTTATATATCATATATATCATTGTTGCATCCTTGTTGGGACGAACAATGCCGCGACACGATGATGATGACAGTCCCTCCGCAACTCACCTCTTCCCTTCCTTCTTTCTCCTACCCCGCTAGCTTTCGTCATCCACCCCCGGCCTCAAGTTGTTATATTAAGTGATATTAAGTGATATTAAGTTATAGTAAATCTTAATATTTTATTGGACTGTTTTTTTTTTAAAGATCTTCAACGATATCAACAGCCGTTGAAAAAGCCATGGGATCTGCGGCTCAGGTGCCTGGAGTGGAACTCATTTCACCGCCGCCGCACCACGACATCTACTCCATCGAGGACGGGGGTGTCTACGGTGTCTACCGGCACTGCAGGGCTGTGAAGTAGTGATATAGCCAGTAATATAGCTATGGAGCCTCTGGTGATTTAACATAGCTATGGATGATGGCCCATTTATGGATGATTCATGGTGGTATTTGCCCATCAAAAATGGTGATTTTCCATGGCTAATAGGGAATGATGCACAATAACTATCAATACTAATCCCATTCCCCCATTCCCATTCATTCCCTACGTTTAACACCAGTAAGAATAATATTAATTGGTGATATACCTAAAATATTAGCAAAAACATATTCTACAGAATTACTAAAATTTCCAAACCAGCCATTGAACATACTGTAGCAGATGAGTGTTTGGAAACAACCCATTAATCCTGCAACCAACACCATGACTTGGTCTTCCAATGACATGGTCGGCTGCACCCTCAGTTTGATCGATGAATTGTTTGTGCACCTCGGATCAGCTAACCCAAAGCTGCTGTGGTTGTATTTGCCAGGTGAGTTTTACAAATACCACCACGTGGGGAAAACATGCTATATGCTCAGTAATTACATCATAAGTGAATCACAAGTTACTTCGGCATGGAGATTGACACGACATGCTTCCCAACCATCCTCTTCTTCTGTCTCCTGGATGTTTGTTCACCTTGTAGCCTGTCAGTAGATCCTGATTGCAGCTGCTTATCCCACTTTTTTTTTGCTAAAACGCCTTGTCTTTTTTGTTGATGTCTAAATCCCCACCTGCTCCGTGTCTGGGATATTAACTGAGATAGATCACCTCAAAAATCACCCAGTCTTCGAGGTAAGAATGCCAGCAGCATGGAACCTTTCAGGACTTGGCGCAGCTGATTTTTGACCTGCACCAGGCCTATGGCGCAGTGGCTGTGCTATCTCAATGACAACCATCATCTTTCTGGGATTGCACCTCTTTCAACATCTTTCAAGCACAAAACGAAAGGGGAAATATGGGGACATGATTGAATCATTGAAAAACGAGGCTTAATGAGGCTTAATGGATGGTTCATAGATGTTTATAGCTTATGGAAATGGGGGGTTCTGAACCTGCCTGCTCTATTGGGGACTCCAACATCTGGAAGGATGACAGATCACAAACAACGACCTCCTGAAGGAACAATGTGGGTCTCCCCCATGCCACAAAACGTGTATAATTACCTAGATGATACTCATATATACGCGCGGATATGGTTGGAGTTCTCCTGTGCCTGCAGACATATGCACCAGTTTTTGAGACATGACATATGCTGGCGATTTCAACTCCGTGCAGGTGTAAAGCTGTCAACAGCAGAGTTCTTGTCCGCAGTCCAAATGATTTTTTTTTTGAAAATGTGACTCGCTCACCATAGGGCTGGTAGGGCCGGCCTCCAGACGTTGAGGAAGTAGGAGGCAGAGCCCCGGCCTGCCACGACTCGAAGCTCGAATTCTTACGTCATATTGATGTCATATCATTGTGATACCCTCTGGTAATTTAACATAGCTATTGAAAATGGTCATTTTTATTGGGAAAACTCACTATAAATGGCCATGTTCAATAGCTATGTTAAATTACCAGAGGGTATATTGTGATGTGATGATTTCTAAGATATAACCCTTCTACCAGCCATACCACAATTATCCACAATTGGGGTTGGAACGGCGGCATTATATGGCGAAGTTTCAACCCCACTTGTGGATAATTGTGATATAAATTCGAATGCAAACTCTCCAAACGGAGTTCTACATGCACGTAATAGTCACTCTTATGCGCCAGATTTTGCGCTTCACTTGCTTGCGGGCATTCTCATCGTTTCTATTCACTGAGACCATGCGAAACCCAAGTCCTACAACACAGTTCCTCACATATTCTTGGACATACTATATAACACGCTCATTGCCATTTCCAACATTCTTTGCATCGTTTTGCATTGTAACTAGCCTGAGCGCAGAGCAAGAGTCCCTGCACCTACTGTACTCAGCTTCGCACAAAGAGAAAACTGAAGTGAAGCTCTTTGTGCAGTTGGAATCAGATGAGGATGATGATTGAATGAATGGAACGGAACGGGAAGGGAAGGAAATGATCTTGATTGATTGTTTTATGGTACAATTGACATATATATATATATAATTGATATGTATATACACATATAATATTTACATATACATATGCATATACACACACATATATATATCTACGTATCACATATACATATACATATACAAATACATATATACATATATATATGCATACATACATAATTATATATATATATATTACAGTGTATGATATGTGTTCATGGGTTTATAAACCAACATTCACATTGATTGTCGTGACGCAGTGTGCTGTGGCCAGGTGAGTCCGGAGGCCAAAGTCTCGGTGAAGTTGGTGGCCAACGCAGGCATTGGCACCATCGCCGCCGGCGTGGCCAAGGCGCGAAGGTCTGATGGCCGGTTTTACCATGTTTTTTTCTGCATGAAAAATGGGAAACAAATGGGGATGACGTGGTCAAACAAGTGGTGATCACATGGCATTGTCATGTTTTTTTTTTAAATGTTTTTAAATGTTCTTTTTTAAATGCTTTTTCATGGGATAACCAGTGATAAACAGCAATGTGGGAGGACAATGGGGGAAAAAGAACTGGAATGTAGCCTACTTGGGGGATCTTGGGGGGCTTATTCTTATCGGTCCCATGGTGAGTTCACATTGGATTAAGTTGGGATATAGGCCCCCTGTGTTGATGTGTTGATCAATGTTGAAGTGATACGCGACTGGATTGGCGACTTTTTTAACTCAAGTGTTTTAGTATGTTGACATGATGTTGTAGTTACTAACTTGAGAAGGTTCGACACACTTTTTTTTTGTTCTAATATGTTCCAATGATTCCAATACAGTAGGGACAATGGCTTCATTGTCGGTGTCATGTTCCGAAGCAAATCCACATGGTCAAGCCAGGCAAGACGTGAGAAGCAAGGCGAAAATTCACGAAATCATCGGAAGAAATGTGGCAAACCCAATGGTAGCCATCCCCAATTGGGTTTATTATTGGGTATACCCCTGGTAATGGCATGATTTGAAATACCCCCAAGTGGTTGGACGTGCTCGGTGAATGGGATGGTTTATTGGCTTCACATTCCCAGCGTCAACAAACTCTTCACGCTTCACAACTTCACGTTTTCGCATATAGGTCGCTTTTTTTGTTTTTTTTTTTATTTTTTGCCACGTTTTTTGCAGCCAGATCAGTTTTTTCGCCAGGCGAATGCTGACGTGATCCAAATTTCTGGACATGATGGCCAGGCCCTCAGCGGCCCCCAGGCGTCGCTTCATGTCGCTTCAAGCGCTCACAGCCGCTGGGCCATTTGTGGCCACTGAGGTGGCACTGGTGCTTCGCCCTTGAGTCACTTGGGAGTCGCGATGGGAGTTCGGTGCTGGGTTTATTTCATACGGACGACTGTGGAACCAGGGTTCCGAGAAGTTTATGACTATCCACTTTGGATATCTTTGGATTATCTGAGAATAAGGTTCCAGTATTCCTGGGAATTTCTGGGAATTCCTGGGAATTTCTGGGAATTCCTGGGTAAATTGCAACAACCTCACTGCGACCTTGGTTACAAAGGGGAATGATCCCCAAATGGTCCAACATTTCAGGCTAGTGAATTATTGTAATTTACTCATGATGATTATTGCCCATTGTTGCCCACAAACATCGAAGATTTTCCGAGATATATCGAGACCATAAATTTCCAGAGCGTAGAGATCCGACAAATTCAGCGATGTTCCGCCAAGGCAGCATCATGCATGCTGGTGGCCCATGGGAGCAAGGACTTTGCGAAGCGCCTGGGATGATGAACGATTTGATGAGGGTATATGAGGTCCTCCAAAACTCTAAGAAACTCTATATAGGGTATATTCTATAGCCATTTAATAGGGATAATGATCATTAACCATTGGGTTTAGGGGTACACAACATTTTCAGACACACCCATATAGTGCCTATAGATGAGACATGGCATTTGATAAAAGTGAAAAATTGCACTGTTTACCAGACAATTTTCCAGGTTTTCGACTCTACCTGCTTGAAATCCAATCCTGGAGGATTGCCGTACGTCAAGATTGCTTACCCATCAATGGGGGAACATTCATAAATAGACCAAGGCATAGACTACTCTCTGGTAAACTATGGCAAACTAACATAGCTATTGAAAATGGTCATTTATAGTGAGTTTTCCCATTAAAAATTGTGATTTTCCATAGTTATGTTAGTTTACCAGAGGGTAATCAGCTGAAAGATATGTTTTCCTATGTTTTCCTCTTGTTGGCTTACGCTAAGATATTTACCACCTTTTTGGGGACGCCAAGGGACGCCAAGGTTCAAGATGTCCTGGTTGACAACGGCCTCCGCGAACGTGTGACGCTGCGAGTGGATGGCGGTATCAAGACTGGCTGGGAGACGCGGCGGAAATGGATCATTTTGAGAAATGGGATCTTGGTTAATCTACAAAATGTAGATCCCATTTCTCAAAAATTTTTGATCATAATTTTGAGAAATGGTTAATCTACACTCTGGTTATGACTAACAGTTTGCAATGGTATAGATGGCCCTAATCGAAATAGAATGAAATAGATGGTTTACTTGGGTTTACCGAACTTAAAAATGATAAAATGGGTGGATCTTTCCATGGCGAACTGTTAAATAACCAGATGGTAAATGGATTATAATACTGGTATAACAACCAATAGCAATTAAGATGATTCAATACAAGGATCGAATGGGTATATCAATGGGGTTAGCCTCTGGTAAACTAACATAGCGAACTGGAAAATCACCCACCATGTCTAATAGGTAACTCAACAAATTAGATTGCAATTTTCAATAGCTATGTAACAAATTATCAGAGGGTACCTCTGGTAAATCAACATAGACCTTGAAAATTACCAATTTGTAGTGGAAACTCATTTTCATTAATCTTCCAGCCCCTATCTGGCAGGGTCTATGTGAATTTGCAGGGAAACCCTGGGGTTAACATAGAAAAAGATGTGGAAAAGCCATGGGAAACTCTGGGAAAATGATCGAGGGTATCTCCTTGTAATATACCAGGCTTTATCGAGTCGCAGTTGAGATCATTTTGCTCACAACAATTGTTCCATACTCAGCCAGCTTTGATATTGTGATATATTGTGATGCCCTTTTTAGACAGCAGGAACCAATTCGTTTTCATGCACAACCTTGAGGATCGGCACACATCTTCATGAGCTGTTTTTCATTATATGAGTCAAACCTGGGCCCAGGTCACGGTCACTCCCCCTTGGCCAATGTTATGTTCAGATATGTTCAGATGGCCACGGCCACAAACCATCGTACCAACCACCAAGTACAGTCCATTAGGGCAGCGGCAACAGCGGTTGTCCAAGTCGTGCCACCTTTTGAAAGTTCAAGCCCTGGGTCAAATGGTGGATCCACTGTGGGTTTTGGCGACCTCACTGCTAAAATAATCTGAAAAAAATGCGAAAAAATCAAACTATATCCAGAATTATCGAGACTTGGATGATCTTGGATGATGGGAACAAATTGCATCAGACATCATCAGACCCTCCGATTCAGGATGATTTAAGTAGGTTTTCATGGTGCAACAAGCCAGGGTTTCCGGTCAAACATTTACAGATAACCTCCATTCTTCATGTCAGAAAGGTTTCCAACTGTACCGACTGCATCCCAATGTTCAATGGTAAAAACCAGGGTTTCGGATGTTTCGAGCCAACATGTTCCTAGCTTTTCCCTACAAAATCCCCTTTGACGACCCCCAGAGGACCCCCCCGTTCCTGCGGTGCGTCTTCCTACGGAGCCAAGGACATTGTCGTGGCGGCCATGATGGGTGCGGAGGAGTTTGGCTTCGGCAGTGTGGCCATGATTGCGGAGGGATGCCACCTGAATCGAAAGGGGGGGATGGGGGATATTGGGGGATGATGGATGATGGATACTACCCTCCAGTTATGACTAACATAGCCATGGTATAGATGGCCCTAATCGAAATAGATGGTTTATGATGGTTTACCTATTAAAAATGGGTGGATCTTTCCATGGCGAACTGTTAAATAACCAGAGGGTAATTCATGAGATTATGATAGATGATACCAGATGATACAAGATGATGTGAAAGTCTGGTAATTTAACATATAGCTATTGAACATGACCTGTGTGTATAGTCCCTTCTCCCTATTACTAAATCTCCCCTAAATAACAAGAGCTATCCCAAATTATTGGTTTTGGGAAATTTCAGCTCGGTCAATTTGAGATTTAATTGATCCCCTTTGGAAAACAATTAAAAAATCAAGGTCCATTTGAAGATCCTACCTCGTTAATAATAAAAACTAGCTAACCCCGGGGTGTTTTTTGTTAGGTTCCGTTTGTTAAAATCGAAAATTTAAGTATCTTTTATTAAGGTTTTAAATTTAATATTAGGGGAAAGCTTTGAAATCCAATTTTTGGCAATATTTTAATTAGATTATAACAGGAAATTTAATTGATTTTGAAAACGCAAATTTAAGTTTTTTTTTTTTTTTAAATTAAGGTTAATATTAGGAGAAAGCTTTGAAGCAATTTTTGCTACTATTTTAATTAGATTATAAAAGGGGAATTTAATTAACTGGTTGGTGGTTTGGAACATTTTTCATTTTTCCATATATTGGGAAGAATCGTCGCAACTGACTAATATTTTTCAGAGGGGTTGAAACCACCAACCAGTTGAGGTTTTTGATTTAATATTAGGAGCCAGCTTCTCCCCCGAATATTAAATACCACCTACCAGTAATAATAAAAACTACCCCTAGGTTTTATGTTTTTTTGGGAGGGGGCATTTAATATTAGGGTGAAGGGATTAGTATTATTAACACTGATTTTCATTTTTGTTTACTAGAGCCCACAAGAGTATATAATGATATATGATATGTCTGATTTTACATGTGCGTTTTAAGAAACAATAGGAAACAATATTTGTATGAAACCAAACCGTGAACATGAATTCTAAATCATATGAATGTGGTACTGCAAGTCTGTTTAAAGGACAAACATCAAAACCCAACATTGATCAACTGACATGATTTAAGGGCAATCAAAAAAGTAAACCACAACGGGTTTAAGAGCCTAGTTTTCAGGGCCTGAAGAGCATTGCCTACCACCATTTTGGGCTGCCAAGCTTGCTACAAAGGTCAGAGGATGTTTGGAAGTCTCAATTGGCATGCGAAGAACATCATCAGAACCCCATTTTGCTTTCCATGTATCAATGAGACATGAAATGTTAAATTTCGATCGTTGATGCTCTTTTTAAATTTGTGTTCGAAAAATTTAACGATCGTTTTTAACGTTAGATCTCAGCCGCCCCACCCGGGCGACTCAGGTATCATGGCAAGGGTATGCCACATGAACCGATGTCCCGTGGGCGTTGCCACGCAGAGGGAAGACCTTCGAAGCTCGGCGCAGTCTGGGTCTTTCCCTGGGTCCATCTGGGTCCCCGAGCCGTGGCGATTTGTCACACACATAATTCACAACCATTGATATGTTGTTTTTTTTAATGTTAAACTAACTTGAATATATTTTTAATTTTTATATACTTTAATGTTGATCAACCAAATTCAACCACGGTGATGAACAGTGAATCACTTGCACTAATAGTTACCTATATTTAGAAGGTTGGAAGCAAGGAGCATCAAGCAGCCCACGTGAGGAAAGAAGTTCCCCGGGACCCCAGAGCATGTGGCGAATTTCATGCTCTTTGTGGCTGAAGAAGTTCGCACCATCATCGCAGCGCTGGGTGTCTTGGATTGTCTTGGCGGGTCCCGATGGCATGGGGTTGGCATCGATAAAAGCACCCCGCTTTTGATGGTTTGTTATCAAAGCTCACCTCATTTTGGTGTGGTTTAAGTCCCAAGTTGTTGTCTTCGCTTTGGTGATGTGAATCTATATATCATTTTGAGTTGCTGCACTGAAGTTGGCCAATGGTCACCAGCTAGGTTTGTTGCTGAAACTCCCGATTGGAGATTGGATCTCTACCAGTCGTTTAATTCCTTCTGTATTGGTTAATCACCCCAGCTGCCCTGTTGCATTATCATTTTTTTCCATATGAATCTCAATCCAAGAGGCAAAATCCACATGCTTGCTCACAAAATCTCATTTTTTGGTAATCAGAACTTCAAAATCTCCATTTTTTTTTAGTTTTTCGTGGTCAAAATCCACATTTTGAACTATTTTTGAACCATTTTCTACCTTGGTGGCAGCCACAGTTCTTCCACCTCCGAGGTTTCCGGTCCCTGGAGAAAGTCATCGGGCGCTGCGACCTGCTCCGTCCGCGCGCGGAGGGCGCGCTGCGGCGCAACGTGCCGCAGCCGGCGCTGGCGTCCCAGCCGAAGGCGACGGCGGGGCGAAGGCCAAAGAAGTTGGCGAAGACGCTGGGCCTTTCAAAGTCACTTACCCTCTGGTATTTTTTAACAGTTTGCCATGGAAAATGGATGAAAATGGTGATTGATAGTTGATTGACCCATTAAAAATGGTGACTTTCTATAGCAACATGTTAGTTTACCAGAGGGATCCAGAGGGTAATACATGTTGATACCCTTCAGTAAACTCGAACTGGAAAATCACATCATTTGTCATGAGTTGACCAACTGCTGACGGGATCATTGGACCTTATTTTTTGAAACATTTATCTGGGGAAATTATGTTGTGACCTCACTGTTCTCCCGAACCCTGGAATCATGGTCAATAAGGGAAATCATCCCCAAATGGCCGAACTATTCAGGTTAGTGAATTATTATAATTTACCCAGATTTATAACTGGTTGATGGTTCGGAACATTTTTTATTTTTCCATATATTGGGAATAGTAACCCCGACCCCAACTGACTTTCATATTTTTCAGAGGGGTAGGTATACCACCAACCAGATAAGTTCAACCCCCAAGGTAATAACGGTGAACCAGTGAACCCTGTGTTTTGGTAAACAAGGAGACACCGGGGTTGGGTGCAAAGCAAGGAGACCACCTGAAGAAATGGTAAGTTATGTTAGACACTACAGGAATACTGGTATAATGGGGTTATATCTGATTATATATGACTATTATGTGAAAGGAACTATCAGGTAACCATTTTATATCTGATTAATTCTGACTATATATTATGTGAAAGGAACTATCAAAGGACATCAAGGGACCATTTTATTCTTATTTCTCAAAAACATTCAACAACTACTACACCTTACCCAGCGTGGGCATCGCAGCAATTCTGAGGACCTCGGTCGTGAATTTGGAAAGTTTCTACGCAGAAGAGAGGCCCAATGAGGAGAATCGAGCCTCATGGGTGGGCGCTAAACGCAGGATGCCCGCGCATAGCAACTTGGCAGAAGTGGTTGGTGATATAGGAAACAGAGTTTCTTATGCTTTTTTCATGTCGCTGTCACCTAGCCCGTTAAGGTATATAATCTATTAACCCATATCCATCCATATCCAAATGTGCCAAATTTGCCTATCCCGACTCATGCCGAAGTCCTCTTTCGCATGACCACAACGAACTTCAACAAACTGTATATTTTAACCAATACCTTATCAACAGTGGTTGCTAGTTGAGATTATTGAACTTCAATCGAGGGTTGGTTCACCCACTGATTTGCGTGCGATGTTCATCCCAGTTGCATATGGATTCCGAACCGCTTAAGATATACCATCCCAAGTTACGAACGGGTTGATCATCAATCATTTGCTTAGACCGAATAACTTGTATATACCTATCATACTATATATATATATACTTGGATAGGCCTTAAACATGTGAGCAGCGCCGAAAACCTACAAGAAAATCCAAGAAACCAAGACAGGATTTTATTAAAAACATTCAATCAACTTCCTTCGCGAAAGCCTCCGCAAAAGAGGAGGTAAAATTTCTAACCACGAAAGGCCCGCAAAAACAAATATGATGGACTTAGCGTCCGCAAAAGCTAAACGTGTGGTCGCGTAAGTACCACGAAAGCTCCGCGAAAGTCATTTGGGAGTAGAGATTCGCTCAAAGGGTTTTCAACACCGCTACGACTTTCCCAAAACCTGGAAGAACTTGGACAAAAAAAAATATAGGTCAAAGATTTATGGCATGGCAATGCATGGCATGGCATGGTTTCATATATGAAAACATACATCCATACTGTGTAATCTCTGTAATCTTTGACCATTTCCACGACAGGCAATGGTTGTGTGCTGGACGACGACATCTTGGGTGATACCTCGGTGGCCAAGGTCCTGGAAGAGAACGCGGGGCGCGTCCAGAAATCCATGGAGATCAGGAGCAGATCCCGATGCCCGGGGTGAACTCACCCCATAGCTCCACGAAGGATGTATGGCAGTGAAAAACATACACCATACGCCATGGTTTTGATGGTCATTGTAATATGATAGGCATCAATCTTGCATAATTATATTATAATATGGGGCCATACGTGTAGATAAGTTCCTTGCTTGGATAGAATGGGATAGAATGTTGGGTTTACTGCGGTATTCGCAGTATAACATGTTGGTTCAACAAGAGCCTGAAAGAAGCCGTCTTGCTCGGTGTATCAGTTGGGAAGATCTATGGGAAGCTCTTCATGTTGTGCGTGAGGAATCCTAGGTGCTTTTGAGGGTTCTACTTATTGAACATGCCACATTCGCAAAGTGTGTGTGAGGTTCCATGTTGAATTCATCAAGCGAAACTCCTATATTTGGATATATTTGGCAGAAGGAAGCCAGGCAGTCCTGTAAAAATATGTAAACAAATCAATATTCTTGACCAACCAGCATCAACCAACTCCGTTCTGAAGGTCAGTCGTTCTAGTCAACCTAAGTAATTCCTGCTGTTTCTCACAGATCCCAGCAGCGTTCCCCGGTGAGATCGGTGGGCCGCGAGGAACACCGACAGATCCTTGGGTGGCCGCATTGCGGGGACCATTGCGGCGAAGTATGGTGACCACGGTTTCCAAGGCGCAGATCCAATAGATCTGCTGTATTTGTTCAGAACCACAAAATGGTCATGATCATTTACTGTATTCAGTGATTCGAATCCACAAAAAATGATCAAACAATATCAAAATACATGGATTTATGTGGATTTAATCATCTGTAATCATCTATATAACATCTGGAGTTTAACCATCAGAATTTCTGAGTTTCTGGTGGAAAAAACAGACCTCACTGGCCGACCCACCTTTTGGAGAACCGGGATGATGACGGGTGAAGCAAAGCCAAGAATTCGTGGAGGTGGCATAGCTAGGCACATGTAGATATGATTAGATATGTTCCAAATGTGCATATAAAATTATGTATTATGATTTTATTATATGATAGTTTATCATATATTATATATGAGAATCATGATATGACAATTGTAAAATCCACGGGATACAGTGCCAGGAATTGGGTTTCCAAGTCCCAGCTGAATGATTTAAGACCGCAGGATAGCGTGAGCTCGGGAATGCCCTATGTGTGGACACCCTATGGTCAATGGGAGTTTCAGGATCCTAAAATGGAGGTACTGTACCATATAAGACCATATTTTCTGGGGATATTCCCTTACATAGCCCTTACATAGGCCTTATATATATATATATATATGGTAGCCTCCAATTTAGCATCCTGAAATTCCCATTGATATGGGTTTGTTCATTTTGGGAATGTTTAAGAATTCGACCCACTGCCATATGGGTGTGACTGTAATTTTCAGAGAATGGTGGGATATGACCCCGTGGTTAGGTGATTTTAGGTCACCATCGACACCCATGTGGCATGTAAAAAAACCGGAGATGGATGTATAATCACGGACTCCTACTTAGAATAAAAAGTTTTTTCCAAAATATGAAAACCAGTACTTAGAATAAAGCCATTACGAGACGAATCTGGTACTTAGAATAACTGTACTTAGAATAAAAAACCCTGTACTTAGAACATATATACAGTATATATACATATATTGCATGACATTCATCAACCCTTGAGAGACAAAGAACGGTTCACATCAAGAAGTTCGGCTACAACACCCACATATATCATATGAGTATGCTGCTGCTCTATCGATATTGTATATTCAGGTGCGAATACCTGTTGTGCATGACCATATGCCATTGATTTGTGGTTGCTACTCACTCATCACTATCAACTTCATACTGCCACGCGTAGCTCATATCACCAACGTGTTGCATGTTCTAAGTACGTGGTCCTGCAAGCTAAAATGAGTTTTTGCAAGTGGTTGCTGCTCACTCATCACTATTAATTTTATACTGCCACGTGTAGCTCATATCACGAACGTGTTGCATGTTCTAAGTACGTGTTCCTGCAAGCTAAAATGAGTTTTTGCACGTGGTTGCTACTCACTCATCACTATTAATTTCATACTGCCACGTGTAGCTCATATCACAAACGTGTTGCATGTTCTAAGTACGTGTTCCTGCAAGCTAAAATGAGTTTTTGCACGTGGTTGCTACTCACTCATCACTATCAACTTCATACTGCCACGTGTAGCTCATATCACCAACGTGTTGCATGTTCTAAGTACGTGGTCCTGCAAGCTAAAATGAGTTTTTGCAAGTGGTTGCTGCTCACTCATCACTATTAATTTTATACTGCCACGTGTAGCTCATATCACAAACGTGTTGCATGTTCTAAGTACGTGTTCCTGCAAGCTAAAATGAGTTTTTGCACGTGGTTGCTACTCACTCATCACCATCAACTTCAAACTGCCACATGTAGCTCATATATCAGGACCGTTTTGCATGCTCCAAATATGTGTTCCTGTAAGCTAAAATAAGTTTTTGCACGTGGTTGCTACCCACTCATTACTATCAACTTGATATACACTATCGTGCTATATGTACTGCGGAAGACATGTCGCTGCAAGAAATATGATCCGCAAGTAACTTACCAAAACAACACTCATCACAGATCAAACAACATCATGCTCCCATAGTTCTAAGTACTGCTGTTCGGTGCACTGTCTAAGTACCTGATTTTTGTTCTAAGTACCTAACCAGTACTTAGAACAAGTCTCCCTGCAACTTGGGAACACATGTTTTTTCCAAAAGTTATTCTAAGTACAAGTCGGCGGCTATAGTGGGATTCCATTTTCCGATCAATTCGAAGAATGGCTAACATGGGGACCAAGTTACCCTCTGGTAATTTGTTACATAGCTATTGAACATGGCCATTTATAATGGATTTTTCATTAAAAATAGTGATTTTCCATAGCTATGTTAGTCTACCAGAGGGTAAATCGTCAAAATAAAAGTACATAGGACGTGTGGCAGGTATATTTCTCAGTCCTCCAGAGACAGTCCTCCGCCAGATACGAGAAATATGGGGCAGACAACTGAACGGTGATTTGAGTATGGGTCAGAACCCAGGTACCCTTGTGTTCACATTGAAATAGTTGCTTGCTCATGGATGTTCATCCTTGCCATTGTGGTATCATGGGCTAAAATAAAGATCCCAATTTATCAAAATATAGATAATTCTGTGTAGAAAGTAGATTTGGTAGCTAACATGGGGTGGGATAATGCTTGGCAAATTTGGTAGCACAACTTTGCACATGTTCATGATCACCTTTTTTTGGTGCAAGCTATTTGCGTAGACAATCGTGAGTCATGTCTATTTGATGTTGGCTGCAGGGCAAGGACAATGCCCACGCCATTGATGTTTCTTGTCGACGGTACGTGCGTTGATGGCAATACATTCCACAAACATAAACCTATATACATTGTACATTGCTTCGTCAAAACTTTCTTGAGATATCTTTACACATTTGAACATGTCTAGCTACAGGTTGTTTGCATGTCCGCCACTGCCGCAATGGAGGTGTGTTTTCTGTCAGGTGCGACTCTTGCAGCCCTTGCCGTGGATGAATTCGAAGGAAAGACTGCAAAGGCTGTGAAACAAGCCTTGGCAGTTCAGATTGGTGTCATCAGATTTAAACAACGACTCTTCTCCGAAGATGGTTCTGAGATCCCGGATGATGAGGTTTTTAGCTCCGCTCCAGTGAAGCTTCAGATGGTGGTATTGGATTTTTATCCAGCTGATGCTCAACGAAGCCAACAAGTGATCTCTGCATCTATGGAAAATGATTTGATCGCCCTGGAAAAGTTCCTTAATAGCCCTTCCAATCCCAATGTCACAGACGAACATGGCAACACACCATTGCACTATGCTGCCAGTGAAGGACATGTTGAAAGCATGCTGCTTTTGCTTGAGGCAGCTGCTGAAAAAGACCCAACAGGAAATCACAGGATGACACCATTGTTCATTGCAGCTCAGAACGGCCATCTTGATGTTATCCGTCATTTGGTGGAAGTTGGTGCTGACAAAGATAAGGCCAGGGATACCGGTGCAACACCATTGTACATTGCAGCTGATAACGCCCATCTTGATGTTGTCCGTCATTTGGTGGAAGTTGGTGCTGACAAAGATCAAGCACAGAATCAAGGTGCAACACCATTGTACATTGCAGCTCAGAACGGCCATCTTGATGTTGTCCGTCATTTGGTGGAAGTTGGTGCTGACAAAGATAAGGCCAGAGATACCGGTGAAACACCATTGTTCATTGCAGCTCATAATGGCCATCTTGATGTTGTCCGTCATTTGGTGAAAGTTGGTGCTGACAAAGATCAAGCACAGAATCGAGGTGAAACACCATTGTTCATTGCAGCTCAGAACGGCCATCTTGATGTTGTCCGTCATTTGGTGGAAGTTGGTGCTGACAAAGAGAAGGCCATAGATACCGGTGCAACACCATTGTTCATTGCAGCTGAGAACGCCCATCTTGATGTTATCCGTCATTTGGTGGAAGTTGGTGCTGACAAAGATAAGGCCAGGGATACCGGTGCAACACCATTGTTCATTGCAGCTCATAATGGCCATCTTGATGTTGTCCGTCATTTGGTGGAAGTTGGTGGTGACAAGGACAAGGCCATGGATACCGGTGAAACACCATTGTTCATTGCAGCTGAGAACGGCCATCTTGATGTTGTCCGTCATTTGGTGGAAGTTGGTGCTGACAAGGATAAGGCCATGGATACCGGTGCAGCACCATTTTACATTGCAGCTGAGAACGCCCATCTTGATGTTGTCCGTCATTTGGTGGAAGTTGGTGCTGACAAAGATCAAGCACAAAATCAAGGTGCAACACCATTGTTCATTGCAGCTCAGAACGGCCATCTTGATGTTGTCCGTCATTTGGTGGAAGTTGGTGCTGACAAAGATAAGGCCAGGGATGACGGTGCAACACCATTGTACATTGCAGCTGAGAACGCCCATCTTGATGTTGTCCGTCATTTGGTGGAAGTTGGTGCTGACAAAGATAAGGCCAGGGATACCGGTGCAACACCATTGTTCATTGCAGCTCATAATGGCCATCTTGATGTTGTCCGTCATTTGGTGGAAGTTGGTGCTGACAAAGATAAGGCCAGGGATATCGGTGCAACACCATTGTTCATTGCAGCTGAGAACGGCCATCTTGATGTTGTCCGTCATTTGGTGGAAGTTGGTGCTGACAAAGATCAAGCACAGAATCAAGGTGCAACACCATTGTTCATTGCAGCTGGGAACGGCCATCTTCATGTTGTCCGTCATTTGGTGGAAGTTGGTGCTGACAAGGATAAGGCCATGGATACCGGTGCAGCACCATTGTTCATTGCAGCTCAGAACGGCTATCTTGACGTTGTCCGTCCTGACAAAGATCAAGCACAGAATCAAGGTGCAACACCATTGTTCATTGCAGCTCAGAACGGCCATCTTGATGTTGTCCGTCATTTGGTGGAAGTTGGTGCTGACAAAGATAAGGCCAGGGATACCGGTGCAACACCATTGTACATTGCAGCTCAGAACGGCCATCTTGATGTTGTCCGTCATTTGGTGGAAGTTGGTGCTGACAAAGATAAGGCCAGGGATACCGGTGCAACACCATTGTACATTGCAGCTCAGTACGGCCATCTTGATGTTGTCCGTCATTTGGTGGAAGTTGGTGCTGACAAGGATGAGGCCATAGATACCGGTGCAACACCATTGTTCATTGCA